TCAGAGTATGCGGCCTCCTTCTTCCTTCTAGCTGATCACCTACGCGATGCTGCTAATGTTGTCGCAACCCAAATGGGCGATCTTCAACTTGCCATCACAATCGCCAGAGTGTATGAGGGAGACAATGGTCCCGTTCTGCGCGAACTGCTAGAAGACAAGCTTCTTCCCGAGGCCGCTGCGGAAGGAAATCGCTGGATGGCCTCCTGGGCTTTCTGGATGCTTGGACGGCGAGATATGGCAGTGCGGGCACTCATCGTACGTTTCAAAATTAAGCAGTCTCTCGCATTCACTAACCTCGCTTCAGTCTCCAATCGAAACCCTTCTTTCACCCACTCCGACCACTCCAGGGAGTCCCGGGCGAGCAACACTTCAATCCAAGTCTTACCTCTCCAATGACCCCGCCCTGGTAGTTCTATACCATCAACTCCGAGAAAAAACCCTGCAAACCCTTAAGGGTGCCTCGCAAGTCCGACCCCGCGAAGAATGGGAGTTCGTGCTCCGCAACGCCCGGCTGTATGACCGCATGGGCTGTGACCTTCTCGCCCTGGACCTGGTGCGTCACTGGGAATTCCTGGGCGCCCCTCCCACCTCCAAGTCCTTGCAATCACAACCATCCCTCGAGATCAACGAGAATGGAGTCGACTATCGGAAATTGCTTCGCCGGCGGAGCAGTCTGGTTGTCGCTGATATGCCGGTCCGTCTTTCGAATACGGCTGGCGCCGCAGATACAAAGGATTCTTCTGCCATCGACGATTCCCAGCAGAAACCTGCACAAAAACCGAAGCCCCCACCAACCATGTTTCACGAGCCAGATGCGAACTCGTTGCTGGATAGCTTTGGGTTCTAGACTGGATTTAGTGTTTGATAATGTACTCTCAGCGAACAATTTCTTTTCTCATATTGATTATATGTGCATCTCAACAGCGACTAGGCATTGTACATTTCTTTGGAGGTGATTGTTCGGGTATTCATTTTAGTAAAGTTTGAATAGCTTGGCATGTATGAGATGATTGGTATCAATGTTTTTTGATTTAATATACAGAAGACTAGCTAGGTGGTTCTTTTCCATGTCCAATAAATCGCTCAAAGTGCTGGTAATGTCCAATGCAAATCTTTCTAGACAAGTCGCGCCTTGCGGTTGCGCAGCACAGACAGCTTCCTCCTTGACATAACAGTGTGGTTTGCAGGAGCAGTAGCGTTCTTCTGGTGAATCTTTGCATCTGGCAGGTGTCTTGTGGCGTTATGCTTTCCAGTGACCAAGTGCGAAGAGTGCTTCGCCTTCATCAGCTCCATGATATCATGAACGATCTGCTCGCTCTCAGCATGACCAGCGTCATTGACACGGCTCTCATCTTCAGGTCGGCGCTCAGATTGTTGCTCCTGCGCTACAGACCACGAGTTCGAGTTCGAGCCTGGAGTCTGCATGTTGTTCGCTTGCTGGGTAGAGGTTGTCTCATCAAGCCGAGGGATGTCCTCGGCTTGGTCTTCCAGAGACTCGACTGCAGCATCGCTATCGCAGACAAGCTTGATCCACACCTCGCTGTATGCGGCGAATTGCCGGGGCTTGCATTCGCTCACTTCGACACCATTGTGGAGTTCCTTGGTGATAAGTGGTGGTTCAATGCACCCGGGGACCTCGTGGACGGTGATGTTGCAGTTTGGGCCACTTTCGGGTGGGAAGGGGTGGCCTTTCTCATGGGAGACCAGCTCTGCGTCTACTGAGATAGCGCTAACGAGGTTGTGTTCGTAAGAAGGGACGCCGATATTGGCGCAGCTTCCAACAGTGATTTCTTGAGCTGGGGCCGTTTCCTCATAGTTTTCGTATGTTTCGAGGGTGGAGAAAGGCTCGCCGGGGCAATTGGGGTAGAAATGCGTCCATACCCGAGCAATTGTGTTGGCGTGGATGGGGGTAGAAAGGAGGAAGAGAGTAGCAAGAGAGGAATGCATGGTTGCCAAGGTTTTAGATCCTTAGATAAGATGCTTTTTGTCTTGAAGGAGCTGAGTAGACAATGCTTGATAGTAGCTTGGATGAGCAGTTAAACCACCAGGACTCTTCTGACCCTTATATACGTCCTCATTCCGTCTGATTGAGATCGAGATAATCGGATGGCGGGTAAGAATGACAGGCACGGGGCTGGCGGGGAGATGAAACGAGGCTCGCACACTCAACGAAGTAAGAATGGTCTTCTTCGTCATACTCGGTGGCGGGTGATTTCACGCAATTCATTCAAGCGCCCGTGGGGGGGCCAGATCGTACATTCCTTTACCCGAGTAATCGATTTTATGTCGATCCAGCACCACATGGGATGCTCTGATTGCTCGGTGTGGAATGCGAGCGCGCTTTGAGCATTCCTGGGCATGGCGGTGCGCCTATGAAGTGATTAGATCGCGAGTAGATCGTGGGGCGATTGTGTCAGTTGGCTGGTGGAGCTGTCTATCTGAGTCTTGTTGTCTCTACGACCAAGGAAAGGAGAGCATCATGAAGATGTAATGTAAAGGATAATTCGAGACCATCTGAGGTCATTGGTATATCGACAAGGCCGTAGAGGTTTTGCTGAATTCTATCAAAGGGAACACCATCTTACTTCATCTTCTTCACATCCGAGTTCTCCCTAGATCGAGGCTTGTACTTCAAGATGGATTCGCCGGTCTCGTACCCGCTCAGCGTATTCGAACGCCTTCCTCTGTTCCTGATGGTATGAATCTTTCGGTCGATCTCTTCCAAATCACCTTCCGAATTGATGGTGCTTAATCCCTTCATAATAGGCGCAGCGGCGGGACCGGTTGACCTGCTTCGGCTACGTTCCCGACTCGTGGCCTCGCTAGGCGGCATGCTTTTGAGGAAAGATTGATAAGCATCTGCTTTGTAAGGGTCGGTGGGGATCTCGGCATCGATATCTGGAAGAATTCCAAATCCGAGATCATTGATAGTCTTTGTCACTTGCTCTGAAAGTGCCTCTCGGTGATTTCTCAAATCTGACAGTGACGAAGAAGCCAGTGGATCAAGGGCCACGAGAAGTGGCATGAGGGATTTGATGATATCCATTCCAATTTCTCCAAATCGAAGCGCTGCAAAACTGACAAAAATCATGTGCGTAAAGAAACCAACTGCGAATACCCACAGAGGGATGAAGTCGGGGATGTATGTTCGTGCTACCATCCACCATGGCACCGATTGCGTGTAGTAGCCGTCTAGGCGGTTGTAGCGGAGCCAGACTGTAACGATAATTGTGTAATAGGCGTAAAGAGTGGGCGCCAGTCCCATGGCGACAAGGATCTTCCAAGTTCCGACAACATCACGGCCTTGCAGCTTTACGACCGAGGCAGCAAGTGCTTTTCTTCTCTTCTTCTCTGAAATCACTTTTGTTGTCACGAAAACAGGCCAGAATAGTAGAACACCGGGAAGGACTCCAACACTCAAGACAAGAAGTTTGCAAAGGCGATAGATGAGAGTGATGAAAGTGAGCCACCAGGGCTTCTCTTCCACATTGCCCCACTCGACCTGGTGGTCCTTGACTCCAAGTGACTCCAGGCGCCTATTGTAATCCTTGACAGATTTTCTAAGGCCTTGAATCCGGGGGTCATCATGGTATTTCTCATAGCCCTTGAGCAATCGTCGGTTGAATTCAATGACTAAGGGAAGTGGAATCTTCTTGCTGATTGGATTGTAGAGTTTTCGAGTGGACTGAACCAAAATTAAAGTTTCGTGGTCGGGACTGATTTGAGTGACAGCTTCAAGGCCTTCGTAAATAGTTTCAAGCAGAGAACCCACGGCATTGCGCTTGCTGGCGCCTCCGGCTTTGAAGGCCTCAATTTGATCTGGGTGCACGTGGATGGGTCGGCCGAATTCAATGACACCTCTTGAACGAAACTTGTGTGCATGGAAATAATTCATGCCGCAAGGAACAATAGATAAGCCGCAATTCGGATCCTGGGCCAGCGCACCAAGTGACATCAAAGCAGCACCCGCCTTCAAAGGCAGCAGGTTGGAACGATCGTGACTACCACCTTCAGGGAATATACCTATACAGCCACCCTGGTGAAGCTCTTTATAGACTGCATCGAACATCTGGCTTTGGTCCACATGAGGGGCGAGCTTGAACGTCACACCCTTGCCGCCCTTCTCGCTAGCAGGCGGGGAGTTGAAGGCCTTCTTGAGTCGAAGCGAAGTAGGCCCCAGAATCTCGTCAATCGACGCGGTTTGGGGTCCCTCGGGTCCCTTGATGGTGAGTTGTCCGCCAGGCATATACTCGGGTTGAGTGAAATCGGTATCAGTACCATTGATCAAAGTTGGATCACTGTCCGGCTCCGCCAGAGAGATGGTGCCTTTGCCAGGCTTAGCCAAATCCATGGATCGCACAACCGGAAGGGCACCCATAAATGATGCGAGAGTCCCGATGTAAGGCTCGTTCATCGATTTTTGCGCAATCAGGAATGAAACACGTCGCTTTGCCTGGGATTTGAGCAGATGCATCAAAATCGCCGAATCAACGAATTGATTGGCATGGGGGGCAGCCACGATCAAGACAGGGCTTTTTTCCGGGATTCGCCATGCACCGCGAGGGTAGATCTCGCGGAAGAAGAGGTCCAGAGCGAGAGTGAAAAGCCACAGGACCAAGTCATACAGCCACGGGATCATCCGTCGGCGTTTGTCCGGTGGACCCGCCATGATCGCCAGAAGATGGAGATCCGGGGTACTCGAAGCTGCAGATTCAACGGTCGCTGATCATCCAGATCATCCAGAAGGGGAGGATGTTGGTGGGGAGATTGATGCGTGAGCGACGTGTTTGTGACACGTCAAAGTGGAAAAATGAGGGGGGAAGCGGAGAAGAAAGAAGCGCGCGGGTAAAAAGTCGACCTGCCTAAAGTTACACTACGTCAACAAAACACATCACATCATGCCAGCCACTCGACTCCAGCGGATTAAATTGAGAGTATGAGAAATATGGAATATTTATGAAACAGGATCCGAATCAAATCATGTCTTTCGTCGGCTCCAACTAAATGTCAGAGTCATCAGAGCCTTCATAGTCTTCAGAGCCATCAGGGCCGCCGGGTCCTCCGGGTCCTCCAGGTCCTCCAAGACCACCGAAGCAGTCCATCTTGAAGGAGACAAACCCAGGGTCGAGGATGTCAGGCAGGCATTGTCCTTGGGCGACAGGGCCACCCTCGAAGGGCAGGAAGTAGATGGGGTTGCCAGAGCAGTCTTCGTTGTTCCAGACGGTCACACCAGAGCAATGCATCGCATCCTTGGTGTCGAGGTGGGCATTGAAGGAGTAGTAGTCGATGCTCCAGTCAGGGTTGACGGTGGTCTTGTCACAGGTGACTGGGGTAGCGGTCACAGCGACCTTGAACTTGGGCTCGCCAGGTGCTTCTGGGGAGCCAACATCGCACTCCTCCCAGGAATTGAATTCTACACTCGCGACAGGGAGAGCAGCTTGGGCACTGAGAGCCAGGGCAGCCACGGAGGCCAGAGTCTGGATCAGGTCAGCATTAGCTTTTGATGGCTGAACAATAATCTTGATCGCATTCTAACCTTGGAGAAGTGCATTGTGTTTAAGAGAGTGGACGGTTTCTGCACAGATGTCGGAAGACCGGTAATTTTCTGGTATCAAAAGAATGAATGAGGTCGGGAAAAGATGCCTTCAACAAGCACTTCGACCTCCATGGCGTTTAAGTAGACTCCTTCAGACATTCTGGAACGCGAAAACATGCGACCCAAGTAAACACGAAGACACGACGGAAATTCGCCTAGCGAGAGTGCGGAATGTAGGCATTCAACTGGGATTGGCGAAGATCTTGGAATGTACGAGCCTTAAGGAGAAGTTTAGTTGGACTCGAGGGTTATGGAATGGATTTCCATCAAGGGACAGCCGATGCAGTATTGGCCAGCGTCACACCAGACATACTCTGCACCGATCATCATACTCCTTCGGGCAATCTACAATAAGTAGACCCTTGCCAACACGGCCTTAAAAGATTCACAAAACCTTCATTCACTGGAGACAGTTAGTCATTAATTCTGAAGACTGTCGCTGGGTCTAACGAAGGGTTAAATGTTGGGTCGGGCTGGGCAAGGACCCCTTGCGGGATAGCAAGACCCCTAGACTCCTCACCATTGATCTGACAACGTGTGATCAATAGTGCAAGCCCTCCAAGGCTCGAATAAAAGACTCGAAGGGAGGTGAATAGTGTCTGATTGATCATTTTGAGCGTTTTATTCCGTGTGTTCCCGCAGCGGGACATCAGAAAGCGAATATTGCACCTAGATTCAGTTGGGACGGGGATCCTATGCTCATCTGATCGTATGAAGAAGACAAAAGATTTTGCCTACAAGCGATTTCTCTGCAGAAATATTCCTTCCATGTACGGAGCACAATTCTAGCCGCTGGGCCTTCAGATCAGAGCGTTTTGCTTCCTATTTAGGGAAGTCCACACGCTGAGGCTCGTTTAAATAGCTTCAATTCCCTCTATGCCCAAGAAGGTAAGCTGTACGTACTGACATGTGATTTTTGCCTCACGCGATGCTCTAGATTTCCTACGTTGTGACGTTACTGCAAACCACTTTTCGAATTCTGAATCGGTTGGGATGCGCTAAGGGCGTTCCCCGCATTTCAGATCGACCATTGGAGCGGTTTTCCATGTGAATCCGGGGCCAGTAGTGCGTAGAGATGGTATATTCAGTGACACATCAAATAGCTGTCTATGGGTAGCTAAGAGAATAACATCTAGGCAGAATAAATCATAGTTCCCCGTAAACTTAAATTGTGATATCACTGTCAAACGTGTTTTCACGGTGGTAGCATGTGGGCAATGGACTCAACTACTAGATAAATCCGAATCATTATATAAAAGTCTTCTGAAGTTGAGCACTGGCAGGTCACGGTTCAACAAGTACAAGTACTATCTGCCTGGTATACATACTACTAGGTTCAACTCGACTACTACTAGGTTCTACTTACTCCTAGTGGGCATTAGAAACTCGAACTTGAAAAAAAAACCACTGGCATCCAGGCCAGAGTCAACCACACTCCGAAGCACTTTGTCAGAGTGTTCTTTCAAAGTAAAACAAAATGTCTACTACGAAAGAACGTCTCGTTCTTCTGATTCCTTCGACCATTGTCGAGACTCTCCTCATCATGGCCATTGGTATAACAATGGAGCGACCAGCTACTATTTTTGCTTACGCGCTATCTGTCAATTTTGTCTTGATGTTTATATGGAATGTCTTTATATGGCCATTTTTCCTGAACCCATTGAGGCACTTGCCAACGGTACATGTATGGAACCTTCAAGACAACTTGGACTCAATATATTGCTACAGCTAATCATCCCTTGGCTTTAGGGTCCTCTGATAGGTGCGAAGGTGTTTATGCGTCATCCTCGTGGCAAGATTGCCGTCGATTGGCTACGAACTATACCAAACGAAGGCCTCATTCACTTCCGCGAGGTCTTGAACATGAGCTTTCTGGTCGCTACCAACCACCGAGCGTTGATGGATGTCTTACATACAAACAGTTATGACTTTGTGAAGCCTCCAGGTGGACGGGCTTTCCTTGCCCGTGGCTTAGGATATGGGCTCATCCTTTCTGAAGGCGATGTCCATCGCGCGCAGCGCAAGGCCGTCACTCCTGCTTTCACAATCAAGAATATCCGCAGCCTGTATCCCTTGATGTGGAGCAAGACACAACTGTTTCTTTCTCAGTTGGAGAACGCAATCAGACTTGACCCTGCGCCCGGCGAAAAGTCTGGACAGGCCGGGTTTGTTGAAATAGGTGGATGGGCAAAGTAAGTGGATCCCTCAACTCATCTGATAAAAGCAGCATTCTTGAGAAGGATCTAGCCAATCTAATCACAAATTCGTTAGTCGCTTGACCTTGGATATAATTGGCCCCGCGGCCATTGGGCGTGACTTTCAGTCACTTGAAAACGAAAATGACCCCATATCGCAAAACTTTACAGCGATTCTGAAGCCATCCGCTGATTTACTGTTCTTATTTGCGGTCTCGCTCATACTGCCCCAGTGGATTGTCAAAAGCATCCCCTGTAAAGCAAATATTGTACTTCCGCGCAAGGTAGGCTATCTACGAACAGTATTTCACGACATTCTCCAAGAAAAGCGAAAACAGCTTGCGTTGGAGAAAAGCCAAGACAAGAATATCGAGGGTGACATTTTGGGTACAATGATGCGAGGTGGAGAGTTCACTGATAACGAGCTGGTGGATCAAATGCTCACAATTCTGGCAGCTGGGGTATTTCTCTCTCTTTATACTAGTAAACATAGAGTAATCAATAACTGACAATTCTACCGCAGCATGAGACAACAGCTGGTGCTCTCACTTGGTGCTGTTACCACCTCAGCATCGAGCCGCACATCCAAGATAATCTCCGACAGGAAATCCGCGATACGATTCCTTCCCCGGACGCTTCTGTCTCATGGCAGGATCTAGAAGGAATGCCTTATCTTAATGGCGTTTGCCAAGAAGTTCTACGACTCTACCCACGGTCCCGATGACTGGTCGCGAATCGATTCGAGAGACCATAATCGCGGGCAAAAAAATACCCAAGGGCACGACTGTGGCTTTATGCCCACAGGCCGTCAATCGCAGCTACGAATTCTGGGGCGAGAATGCAGACCAGTTCCTCCCGGAGCGATGGATCGACACGGATTCCGAGACAGGAAAAAAGTCTCCGAACAAGCACGGTGGTGCATCGACAAATTTCGCTCAGATTACGTTTCTCCATGGGCCACGCGCGTGCATCGGCAAGGATTTTGCAAAGGCAGAATTTCGATGTGCGGTTGCGGGTCTTTTTGGAAAGTTTCAACTCCAATTGAAAGAGCCCGAGCAGGAGATTACATATGGGGGAACTCTGACGAGTCAGCCTATTGAGGGTATGCATTTGAAATTGACCAAATTGGAAGGTTGGGAGTAGTATTGTGTGAAAGACGGATTAACTAATGAGATGAGCTGTTATGTTATTAATGAGAGAATTGAAATTGATGTTATTTTTTGCAACAATTTGATTTCTCGACGTAATTTGACTAGTTTCTCTTCGGAGATTCACAAGAGCAAGCTCGGTATCGTGAGCGACTCGTGCTTCACATATGCTTAGAGGGGCACCTTTAAAGAAGATAATGGGATTGACAGCATAGGATGAATCGATCCACGTGCAGTATTGTCAGTGCGTCAGCTTGATATTGGGAGATCATCATCTTTGGGACGCACCCTCCCCCTCCCCGCACTCCAATAATGGGGAACTCCACATTACAAGGGCGACCACCAGGGGACGCTCAACAGGGTTGATCGGTTCGTGTTCATGGCATAAGCGAATAGTATTCCAAGATGTCTCGGTATTGACAGATGATCTACCGGCGCCAGCACCGAGGTAGCAAAGACCGGCGCCCCTGTGATCTCGTTCAAGAGGGGCTGACCGAGGCAGCCCTAATTTCAGGCCGCTTCGTTCATGTGGGCCGGGCCACTCCAATATGAAACAGGGTCCTGTTATAACTCAAATTTGGGCCCTCGAGACTATATATAAATATTTTTTTTGATTACAATCAAGAAAATACTCCTCTTTTCAATTGCTCTACAATTTAACCAACATACACCATGACCGTCACACCCGATTTGTCGACCGGGTATGTCGGAAACCTGACACCCGACCAAGATGTAAAACTGCGTGAACTATGGATCATTCTGTTCACCTCCATTTCTTCTGTTCTCTCAAAGATATATGACGTGCCCATTCCAAAGGGCTCGCCAAGCAAGCTATTCGAAGTTTTTGAGAAAATCAAAGAGCCGACTGTCGATGCTATCCTTAGTGCCCTCAAGGAAGATGACGCCAACGATGCACACCAGTCAAATGGCACCAATGGCATCAATGGTACCAATGGAGCCAGTAATTCAGAAGATACCAATGGCGAAAGCCAAGAGCAAAAGTCACTGGATAAGGTGGACGACCTCATGAGTAATGGCGATGCCCAGAAAAACATTAAGAAGGAAATGGCGACGCGAAAGGTTTCGCCAGAGCACTTTTCTGTTGTTTTCGATCAGCTGCGCAAGTCAGGTGTCAGTGATTCGGAAATCAAGTCAATGGAGAAAATCCTGGCAAAAATGACACCTCAGGACATGTGCTTCGCTATCCTGAAAATGGCGAAGCAGGAACACCCTGATAGCTTATTGCTTCGGTTCCTACGAGCAAGAAAGTGGGATGTTGGGAAAGCTTTCACAATGCTGGCAACCAATATCTTGTGGAGAAAGGAGATGGAGGTTGATGATGATATCTTGCCCAAAGGAGAGCTGTATGCTCTTGAGCAATCTCGCGATGATAAGCTCTCCTCCAAGGAAAAGAAGGAAGGTAATGATTTCATTGCGCAGCTGAAGACCGGCAAGAGCTTTTTGCACGGTTTCGATAGACAGGGCCGACCGGTCAACTACGTGCGAGTCAAGATTCACAAGCCCGGGGCTCAAAGTGAAGAGGTCCTCGAGAGATACATTGTTCATGTTATCGAGTCAACTCGACTCATTGTGGCCCCGCCCGTCGAGACAGGGGTAATGTTACTGCCAAAAAAAAATACAATTCGACACGAAACTGACAGCTTTTAGACGATTGTCTTCGACATGACAGGGTTTGGCCTGTCAAATATGGTATGTTCTTATGAAAGAAAATTGATAAGCAAATGGACTGACTTCTATTGACAGGAGTACCAACCAGTCAAATTCATTATCAAGTGCTTTGAAGCAAATTACCCAGAGTCCTTGGGTCAGCTGCTGATTCATAATGCACCTTGGATTTTCTCAGGTAAGCCAGTAAACATTCTATAACATTCTATGCAATCAAGTTCTCACATATCAAAGGTATCTGGAAACTCATCCATGGCTGGATGGACCCAGTTGTCGCCTCCAAAGTGCACTTTACCAAGTCTGTCAAGGACTTGGACAAGTACATTTCCCGAGATCAGATCCCAAGGGAGCTGGCTGGCGACGAAGACTGGGAATACAAATACCTCGAGCCCAAGGGAGATGAAAATGAAATAATGAAAGACAAGTCGACTGGTGATGAGATTATGTATGAGAGACTGATGATCGGTATAAAGCTACTCGCGACAACAGCTGCATGGATCTCGGCTACCACCTACGCAGAGGGCAAACAAGATGCCATAAAGGTGGAAGAACTGAAGGCGCGACGCAGCACAGTCGTCGAAGACTTCAGGCAGAACTACTGGAAGATTGACCCCTATATTCGGGCGCGGGCGCTCATTGATCGATCTGGGGTTCTTGAACCCGGTGGCAGAGTGGTGGTGACCCCAGATGCCACCAAGAAGAATGGCTCCAAGTAAGCGGGTTCTGTTTAGATTGAACGAAGCTGGTATTCTCGGTACTTTTTTATATCCCCCTTCATGTATTAACCGATAAATGGAAATCAAATGTGGCGAATTATTGGGGCACTACTAAGTGGACACCCCATTTGGCTATCTGAACACCCTATCTGTCTATGTAGAAAAGGTGCTGTATGTGTATTACCACGATCTACAGTAGGAGGCCAGAATTCTACTTTCTCACCTTCGGATAGGTAGATGAGTAGGTACCTAGGTATCTACCAGTGCTAAATATCTCAGTAACTAATAGTATACCTAGGTACTATCTGATCGGGTAGATCCTACTAGCACAAGCTAACTATACCCTATACTAACCATATCTACCGCATCACACCTTGTCGCCAAAATCCTTGGAAGTGTGTATAAACTACTACTATATTTTAATTAGGACCGACTCCGTGGTGATACACTTACAACGCCTGTTCTAAATGTACAGGATAGGGTGTTCAGATAGCCAAATGGGGTGTCCACTTAGTAGTGCCCAATTATTGATGCTTTCGATGTACCTTTGCCAATCGCATTCATATATCACTTGAGACTCAGCTCACGAACCATTGCCCACATGGTAAATTCCTCTGCGGCGTCCCAGAACCCCTTCGGGCATTTTTGACTACCCACTACCTTGAAGCCTTGCTTCAGCCAGTAGTCGCCAGCGTTCTCTTTAGCCACTCGGATCATAATCCGCGCTGGCATATTTCCCTTTCCACTCTCGCTTCGACGCCGCAAGAGTTCGTCTTCGCAAACTTTCACCAGACGGCCTGCCATTCCTTTTCCACGGAATCGAGCATCGGGCGGAATAGCCACGACCGCAAGCTCATAGTCTCCAGGGCAGGCATGTTTTTGGAAGAGCTGGTCTACTTTGTCATTGACCAACTCTTCACTTGAGTCGTCGCTTAAATCATCATAATCATGGGATTCCCACAGCCCATCGTCTTTCCATGGCTTCATGCTGGCGGTGCCGACTACTTCGAGAGAGTTGGAACTACTGGACGTGAATGCGACTGCCGTGAAGCCATCAGGTCCAAGTTCTTCCGTGAGGTCAGAATCGGATCGCAATCTGATTTTGTCATCTGAGAATTGAATTTTCTCTGTGTGCATGACTAGATAGCTGGCATTGATCATTCGAGTCAGATCGGAAAGCCATGGCTGCGAAAGCAGCTCGGCAGATGTGAAGAGCGCAGTCTGGATAGTTGGCGCAGAGTCCATGATTTTGGGAGAGGAGGCTATGCAAAGAAGGTCGTAGCGAGTCGACCAGAAGAAGACGTCGTATTCAGAGAGGGTGTTAGAATGTTGACTTTGGCCATCTAAAATCTTCGCTGTGACATTTTGAAGATTATGGTGGGGCCTGCCAAAGAGGAACGCACGTCCGTGTCCACTGAGTCATAGGAACTGTTTGGTTCGGGCTGGACTTACTGTTATTTGCCTGGCGTATCCCGAGAAGAGAATGCGGAATGTCCCCGGCTTTTGTCTGTCGAGTGGGGCCGGTCAAGCGGAGTTATCCGATCAGACAAGAAGAATTGACGGGGGCTGTTCACACATGATACAAACAAGATTCTGAAATATTGTAATAGCAAGCCTTGAGAACTGTATATTAATCAAAAAGTCTTAGACGCAGCCTGGTATAGGTAGTTAAAAGTAGATATGCTACCCCAAATTTTCTCCCGCTATTGTGATGTTCAGGAAGTATATCTCATAACGCAATCTGACAGCCATAAATGCTCTCAGCTAACCAGACAAGAACTTTTCGATTCTCTAATAGTCTCCCTAGACATCTGATATTCGTACGACCGGATGCTAGATAGCCAAATTCTATCAGTTTTGCTTTAGTAGTGGTGCTAGTTGATCACATCGCATAGCCGTCGAATTTCAGGACTAATAATACAGGACTGCGACTATTCTCATGAAAATTAAACATATCACCGAAATCTTCATAATTGGAACCTCCTGGGGTACCACGACCCATAGTCAACTGCTGGATGTGCTTTTATACTTCTCAAGGGCCAGGTGACGTCAGGTGACCTATCTTATCGTGGCCCGGGATTACCAAGCTTCCCCAAGTTCTCAAGGGTTTCTCCTCCTCCAAACGCTCCCCATGACGGATTTACTCGGCCAATGAATTACCAGACCATCAGCATGGAAGGCGATGCCTCCGTGCCCCATCATCGCACGGTCGACCGGCCGTCATTAACAGACCCGCCCGCAGAGCCCTTGGACGACGTACCGCCGAGCCCACTACGAACCCCGACTACCTCCGCGCAGAGCTTCACCCCGCGCTCACTAATCGTCGGCCTGATAATCGGCGCTCTAATCACCTTCTCAAACACATATTTTGGCCTACAGACAGGATGGATCAGTACGATGGCTATGCCTTCTGCTTTGATCGGGTTCTCGGTCTTCAAGGTCCTTACCAAGTACCTGTCGTTCCCGTTTACACCGATCGAGAATGTCCTGATCCAGACTGTAGCCGGTGCAGTGGGTACAATGCCGCTGGGATGCGGCTTTGTAGGTGTGATTCCCGCTCTTGAGTTCTTGCTGAGGGATGGTGAAGATGGACCACTTGGAGATGGCGGGGAAGGTGAAGGCGGCCCTCTAAGGCTAGGCTTCGGGAAATTGGTGGTCTGGAGTCTTGGGGTTTGCTTGTTCGGAGTGGTATTTGCTGTCCCACTGCGAAAGGAGGTCATTGTGCGTGAGAAGCTGCGCTTTCCAAGTGGTACCGCCTCCGCCCTGATGCTACGGGTTTTGCATGGTGCGGGGAAGGACGAGAAGTCTCCTATATCGGCCCAGCGTCAGAGCAGTGATATGGATGGCGAAACCAGAGCAATCGATCAACACAATGGGGAGGAGGAGACAGGCCCTTTGCTTAAATATACCGATACCGAGGATCAGACAGAGGATCAGAAGGATTGGCGGTCCAAAATGCGTCTGTTAATAGGCGCATTCGTAGTATCAGGCGTTTATGTAAGACCCATATTCCCTTATTGGATTCCTTGGAAGACTCAAAACTAACTCAATCAGACCCTCTTTTCCTACTTTGTCCCTTTTGTTCGTGATATCCCCTTATTTGGAGTGGGGATTGCGCATAATTGGCTATGGACCCTCAACCCGTCACCAGCCTATATCGGCCAAGGCATTATTATGGGACCCGAAACCTGCATGCACATGCTATTTGGAGCGGTGATAGGCTGGGGCATCCTCTCACCACTTGCCAAAGCTCGTGGATGGGCCCCTGGGCCCGTGGATAGCTGGGAAGACGGAAGCAAAGCCTGGATCGTTTGGATTTCGCTAGCTATCATGCTTGCCGACTCTCTAGTCAGCCTAGGATGGCTTGTCACTAAGCCATTGGTCAATCGTGCGCCTGCATGGCTGGCTTACCTCCGCTCAACTCGAATTGCTCGATGGATCTCTCTACGACTTCAACCTGGCGATCATTCGTACATCGATTACTCCTCGCTAGACTCAGATCATGAGCCACTACACTTAGAGGACCACGAAAATGACCCCGACCACGCCACTCACTGGGTGACACCTACAGCAGAAGACGAGGACGCCCCGCCCTCTCAGTTGATTTCCAACCGCACAGTCATGATCCTACTCCCACTTACCCTAGTCCTAAACGTCGTCTGCATGCACTACGCCTTCGGCGACATCATATCCCCATGGCTATCAACACTAGCCACCCTCCTCGCGGTGCTCTTATCAATAATGGGCGTACGAGCCCTGGGCGAAACAGATCTGAACCCAGTATCCGGCATCAGCAAACTAACCCAACTCCTCTTCTCCCTCGCCACGCCAGCATCCCACTTCTCCCGCCGAACCGCACTAGTAACCAACCTCCTCGCCGGCGCCGTCTCGGAATCAGGCGCACTCCAAGCCGGCGACATGATGCAAGATCTGAAAACAGGCCACCTCCTCGGCGCAAGCCCTAAAGCCCAATTCTACGGCCAGATGATCGGCAGCGTTGTCGGTGCCGTCCTTTCCACAGCCGTCTACAAGATGTACGTCAACGTCTACGAGGTTCCCGGCGACATGTTCCAGACACCAACGGCGTTTGTGTGGATCTTCACTGCGCGGCTCGTCACTGGCCAAGGTCTTCCTGAAATGGCATGGCAGGCATCTTTCGTCGCGGGATCAATCTGGGTCGCGCTGACAGCCGCGCGTATTTTCACCGCTTCACCTTCCTTTGCGCAAAACGGTCAACTGCCAGCTTGGCGGTCTTGGATTCCGGGTGGAATTGCCGTTGCAGTGGGAATGTTCAATGTTCCTTCTTTCACTCTTGCCAGGGCTATTGGTGGTGTCATTGCTTGGTGGTGGGCAAGAAAGCACGCAACGTCCGCGAATAGTCGTCCTGGATCCAGCAGAGCTGGCATGGAGAGAGGTTCTACGCGCAGTGAATCCGGATCCCCTGAGCAGGTAGCTGAAAAGGCGGATGTGGCTTCTTCAACCGTCGTTGTTCTGGCGTCGGGCCTGATACTCGGCGAGGGAATCATGAGTATAGTGAATCTGCTTCTGGCAAGTGGTAAGGTGCCTCATCTTTGAATCGATGCCAGTGCTGGCCTTTATGAACTTGGCCTTTAATGAAGCATGGCAATTGAATTGCATAAGCTTTTTTTTTGGGCATGTATTTACGCATTATCATACACCATAAATAGGTATTAGATGACTTCAATGTTTCGGTTATACAAATATTTCAATGTGACGAAGCCTCAGGCTTTTGCGGGCTATCAAGATCCCAATCGATCAAGTAAGAAAGTGGGACGTTTTTCCAATCGAAAAGTTGTAGGATTTTAGATAGATATCTAGATACGACCTCGCAGATCCTCCTCAAAATGTTACAGGTTCCAGGGTATTCAAACTCATCACCGAGTCATTCGCAATCACGATCCATCCAAGCAAAGGAGAAGATGCAGAAACATTCTTCACATGCAGAAGTCAAAAAAAAGTCAAGTGTAGAAGAAAAAGGGGATTGGGGAAATAGGGCAAAGCAGACATGTGTAGGTGTAATTAACTTCGAGACATGGGTATATCCAATACCAGGAAGGCATTCACAACGGGTAAAGGCATAGGTAAGATGGAATGAAGGGAAAGTAGAAAGAAATAAAACAGGAATCGGCAGTGGTATGTAAGGGGTAAGAAGTTCGTCACGGAGTCGTACTAGGCAGGCTCGTTTCCGTCCAGCGGGGAAGGTTGTCAGGACAAGGCGATGTCTATGTTCTTGGGGAAATGCTCATTTACGAGTTGCACACCTATGCCTCCTGGCTACCGACAGGCTTCCGGTTGATGGATCCCTGAGGGGAGATAGGAGGGGAGGAGCTCGCGGGGGGCGCGGAGGCTGGAATGGCAGGGAGCTGACTGGTAGGCGCCGGGGCAGGAGGCTCTGCAGCCAAGGGGCTCGGCTTGGGAGGGAAACCAGCGCCCACGTTGGGTGGAGAAATATTACCGGCACTGTTGCTGCGCTGGCGCTGGGCAACAGGCATGGCGGGACGCTGCATGCCAGGAGGACCGTAAGGACCAGGGCTCATGGAACGAGGTACAGGCCGGGCCGAAGGACCGGGCGACATGGAACGTGGACCAGGTCGTCCTGGTCCTGGGGACATTGATCGTGGACCAGGAGACATCGAACGAGGAACTGGGAATCCCGCGGGGGGGACCTCCTGGGTAAGGGCGCTGCTGGGGTGGTGGACCAGAGAATCCAGGGCCACCAGGACCGGCAGGGGATCTAGGGCGTGCATCTCCGGGGTAGAATCGACCAGGAGGCATGCGGCCGTTAGGACCCATCGGCGGGCCGCGAGGACCAGGACCAGGACCCGCACCAGGGGGTGGACGCGGGCGAGGCTTCACAGGACGCGCTGAAAGGCAAGATCGTGGTGCCACTCCTTGCTGAGAACGGTCGAGGCGAACACAAAGAGCCTTAATAGGGGGTTAGTATTTATTTCTAGAGAATCGGTTTTAAGTATGAAGGACTCACCCATCCATCGTCGTATTCATGAAGCATTCGCACCAGTGTACCGACACGGAGACCGATCTCGTCCTCCGCTGAGGGATTGAAGTCCATTTGAACTCGGTGAACGTTATCAGCACCAGGACCAGCAGCAGCACCGGCGACACCAGCGGCGCCAATTGCAGCAGCTCCACCAGCAGCCATAGCAGCCGCTGAGATTGAATCACCATCGGCACTGACGGGACTTGGGGAGGTACCAGGGGCCGAATGAGCGACAGACTCAAACGAAAGGGGGCGGCCAGATTGTCCATTAGATGATCCTTGGGAAGCAATGGCTGCAGCGCCAACGGCACCGACAGCCGCGGCACCAGCAGCACCAGAACCAACATCAGCTGTGGGACTAGCAGCAGCAGTCTGATCCACGGGGCTGAAAGGATTGACGGGGTCGTTGAAGGGGTTCTGGCTGCTGCTCGCAGACTTGGGCGGGGTGGGAGGAGGTGAGTTTCCTGTAAGATTGCGCGAAGTAGCTGCTCCAGCACCGACAGTTGCGCCAACTGCAGCACCAGCTGCGGTAGCAGTGGCAGGGTTGAACGAAGCGCCGTTGCTAAGATCCGGAGCGAATTGAGTGATAGGTCGAACGTTAAGAACCGGAGGTGTCGAAGGAGTCGACGGCTTAACAGGAGGCGGAGGCGGGAGATTGAATGCCTTTTCGTCCATAGGCTCGGCAATTTCCTTGCTCTGCTTCTTCTTGCGAATGAAGAAGAAGATCAAGGCGGCCAAAACACCGACGCCGAGAATGACACCAATGGCGACACCCGCCTTCGCACCAGAGGACATGCCCTGGGATGCGGCGCTGGTAGTAGACGATGCACTCGCGGCGGAGTCCGTAGCTGATCCAGTCGATGTGGCGGCCAAGGCATTGATATCTGTGCTAGGGTCGGCAGTAGTGCTGGCAGAAGTGATAAAGGAGGACGTCTTGTGCGTCTCGGCAGTGGTTTGAGTAGCGGAAGTGTGCTCGGTGGTCTTAGTCACCTCTGCCTTGGTGGTATCCGTAGTCTTTTCCGTTTCCCTGGCAGTAGTCTTGGTCGAGGTCTCCTTCTCGGTGGTTTTTTCGGTATGCTGGGTCTCCTTGGCTGTTGTCTTCTCCGTCGTAGTGGTTGTGTCATTATCGGCGGTCTTGGTAGCAGTAGCGGCCACGGCAGCACCAACACCGGCGTTTTGGTGGGCAGTCGCAGTCGTTGTAGTCGAGTCATCATCGTTACCGCCCATCATTGTTTTGAAACCCCCCCACCGCGCCTTCAAAGTCCTGGGACAAAGTCTTGTAAACGTAGACTATATCATCGCCGAGTCCCCGTTCCTCCAGAGCCCCCTCCAGAGCCCGCTCCTTGAGGGCTTGGGCGGGGCGGTGGATGTTGTGGTGTGCATGCCCGTGCACCATGTTGAAAGATGTTGATGCTTCTTAATATGGATCGCGAAGCGAGTTGAAGTTGAAGCGGCAATCGCTTCTAAAGAGAGAAAGAGAGTAAACCGGGCCCAGGCCAGGATTCCAACGCGAGTCGGACGATTCCGAGCACCGCGTCTGTGGTAAGTAAGCAGACCTCTCGCGTTATGCGGAATGTGGATAGAAAGAATGGACAACCGGATATCGAGCGCCGCCGATAACCAGTCGAAAGAAAAGAAGGGACAACGACTTCCAGGCCGTAGGGGAATGAATGAGGGGGAGAGAGAGGGTGAAGGTGAAGGGAGAAAAAGGGAGACCGAAAGGAAGAGACCGGCTCACCTCTTTCTTCTCCCAACGGAGTTCCCAGATGAGTTCAAAGTTCCCATGCAACCGGGGAGGGACCCTGACCCGGTATTTGGTTGTATTGGAGATACGAAGCTAACCAAATTCAGATAAGATCTGGGATTTTGGATGCCCTGAGTGGTCTAATATTTAACGGTACCTGGTAACTTCCATACATGAAATGAGGACCCCCAAATACCCAATACGAGGTGGTCGAGACCCAGTGGCACCGTTTACTCTCGCACTGGAAATTTGGATAAATTTGGATTGGATTTGGGGAATTGAGAAGGATGGATCCACTAGATACACATTCACATGGGATCCAGATCGACTCTGTGCGATCGAGGCATACATTCCTCCATGTACGGAGTCCTCATCATGGACTCATCTCCGTACACACTGGTACATACACACTGATGAGATGAGATGAGATACCCCGGCCCGTGGCCCCCATCTCGTGCTTCGCTAAGAACCCTGCGCGGGGCACAGACTCCTTACAGTTTCAGTCCTTCATCATCATTTGCCCCATCCCTGCAGTGCTAATTTCCGGTCTTCCCGGCGAACCCTCGGCTCTGGAACCGTCAAATCAAATCGTTCATCACATTCAGCAGGCGATGTCCCATTCCTCAACTCCGGTGTCCACCCAATTCGATCCCATTCCTTCGCATGGTGGTTATTTTTAATGTCGTGGTTGCTCCCAAGACCCATAATTAAATTAATTGCCTGAGGCGAAGCCGATCCTCTCCCCCTTTAGATCAATTGTGCATTCTGCCGTGACTGCTGCCACCCTCAACCCTGAAAATGCCAATGACAATGCCAATGCCTGTTCCTGTGCCTGTGCCTGTACCTGGCTCGCGAGGCTGATGCACGGCCGCCACTCCTTCTAATTTTTGTGGCTGAGAGGATGTTTCAAATTTCATCATAGATTAATGTGTGGAGAAGTAAGGATGTCGGAGGGCCTGTTGAAATTAACGTCCGTTCTCGAGCCACCTTTCTTTCTCGCGGTCGCTTACCTCTTCAGCAGAGAATCGATGCTGCGATTCATAACAAAGCAAATGACGTACCAAATCCCGCCCGTTGGAAGATGAGCCCGGCAGGATGTCGTCCCAAGATTGACTTGGTAACGGGTGGAACTCCACCTTGCCCCAGTCCGGCAACTTGAGTATCTCCTATACTTCCAGTTAGTTTCAAGTCGTCATCTCCTGTCGATAAATGCAATAGGCTTCATCCTTACAGGCCAATTCTTCTCATCAGGGGTTCCCAGCGCCTTGAAAATTGAGAAAATAAGCGACAGATCACTCCCAATGGGCCCGGAATCGAATAGCTGCCCGTGTCCGACCGTGAGAGCTTCTGCCACAACACAACCCGCGGCCCACTGATCTAACCCGGTACCATATCCCCTATACCCAAAGAGTACCTCGGGGGCACGGTAGGATGTAGTCCCCACGTCTGTGATCTTCTGGTCGGCCGGCTCGGAGCCTGGGTCTCCTTCTTTCCAAGAGATGCCAAAGTCGGCTAAGTAGGCCGGGCCTTCGGGTGAGTCCATCAGAATATTGGACGGTTTGATATCCCGATGGATAATGCCGAGCTTGTGAATATGAGCAATCGCCTGAAACAAATCGCGTAGAATGTGTCGCGTCTGTGTCGCAGTGACCATATCTCGTCGCAGTAGGTGCTCAAAATCGTACCGCAGGAAGGGAAGGACCAACACTAGTCGACCTCCATCGAGAGTAAAGGTCTCAATTAACGGGATGACCTTTTCACTGCTTGCTTCACGAAGTAACCGTGCCTCTCGTGGTGCATCGTGAGGAGCTGTCATGAGATGCGGAATGGTGATTTTGACGGCTCGTACCGTGCCATCCTTGGCGGTTGACTTATAAATGGTAGAATGAAGTCCATCAAAATGATGGAAGCATGATGCATATTGGCCGAATTGTTGACCGACCGATGGGTTTATAGATGACGATGCATCTATATCTAGCTCTTGGTGGACATGATCATCTGGTTGTTGGTCCGAGCTGATGGTAGCCGAAGTGGAGGATTTGGATATTTCCGCCTCATCGATGGCTTGTTGACACAAATGGTCATACTCTTTCTGAAGCCCAACATGAGCGTGTGAAGTTCAGATTGTCTCTCAACGTAATAAGAACGGACCTTGGAGGTAGCCTGGTCGTAGAAAGCAGTTTCACATTGTCTGGCCTGTGCTTGGGCCTCGGTGAAGGCAGCCGACGAAGATGACTGTTGATAGGCGGAGGTACTACGGATATGTATGAGAATGGCGAACACGGAACACAATTGGGATCATTGAGACTCAATTGACTGACAGTGACTGAATAGTCCTGAGACGATCCGTAAACCCTAGGGACTTTTTCCAGTCCATGTTGTGTTGAATGCAGGATAGTTGACTGAAACTATAGTAGTTACTAACTTGGTGTCTGGCAGTGACAACCGTGTATCATGTGACTAGCCTCAACGGGGCAGCAGAGTCACGAGAAGCTGCACGCTGATTGGCTGTCACCCCGAGAGGTCGCCCTTCCCGGCCATCGTCATTCCATCCCCATGGCCGCCCTCGGCGACACCCTACGATTCCCGCATTCATTGATTCCCCCGCATCCTCTTTCTAAGCTCCTTTCTTGTGCGCTCTGATTCATCGGATTATGCGCTTCTTGGATTGCACTCAATTTTGATCGCGACACCATGGAACTCTCTCGGCAGGAGTACCCGGCGCTGCTGGTATGCTTGTCTCCTCACCCAGCTCATCGAGCTCAAACTCGTCCTACATGAATACCCACTGACTGCGGAAACAATGTCTCTATTGGTTTAGGCTACTCTGCATCCCCATCAAGCAACTACCATCCTCAATGATCGCATTCGCGTGATTAACAAGATCCATACGGATATCGCGGACTTCCTCCAGGTATGACGGCCGAGGTCTGGTTTCCGCCAGATCCCATTCGATTTCACATTCTTGAGATATGCGGGGTGTGAACTGACCTTTGGCCGACAGGAACGACGTCGCTTGGAAGAGGTTTACGCCCAGAGCTTGCGAAAGCTGGCGCATCGCCCCCAACTGGATAATGGCGCTGCATTGGGGTGAGTGAGATCATCTTGGAGAGGATACTGTCGCCCGATTGGCAGCAGCTAGAGATGCTAATCATTTGATAGTATATTTCAAATCCCATGGCAACGAATTATCAACGCCACCGAAACCCTAGCCGTCTCGCACGAGACCCTTGCGAACAAGATCGAGGAGGACGTGGAAAGGCCCCTCAGGGAGTACAGCAGCAAGAATCGCGACATGCACTCCATGTCTGGAATCCAGAGCAATCTGGCTGGATTGGCCAAGAATGTTGAGACTGCGCAGAAGAAAGTGGACAAGGCGAAGGGCAAGGGTACGAAGGGCGCAGACAAGCTAGCCAGTGCTGTGGCTGAAGCAGAGGAGATGAACCAGCAATGGGAATCCCGCGCACCTTTTGTCTACGAACAACTTCAGGCTGCTGACGAAGGCCGACTCAACCACCTTCGAGATGTCCTTACACAACTTGAAACACATGAGGTGGACCAAGTTGAGCGGGGTCGGCAAGCCGCGGAAAGCTGTCTAAACGTTCTTCTTAACGTCGAGACCGCCGATGAGATCAAGACATTCGCTGCCAAACACGCCGGGGATAGGGCGCCTCTCTCGCCGGTCACATCGCGGAGACAACAACCCCAGGCGGAAGCTCCTCCTGTGGCCCCTGCCACTCCAGCTGCAGTTTCGACACCTGTCACTGAGCCACTTGAGCCTCCTCGCTTCCAGGATGATGCGGCTAGCCAGCGATCGGAATCTGTGCAAACTCCTGTTCCAAGAGCGGAGACTGCTCCTGCTTTCCAAACACCACCAGGTAGGCCCTTGAATCGATCTATACTCTTGTCAGATGTGACTAACGTGAACTTATTAAGCTCCCGAGGCAGTGCCCAGGAACACTCCTTTGGGTGGGTTGAGGCGACTTGGTACCGTGATGAACCGTCGCAAAAGTGTGATTGGGCCATCGGGTGGAAGTTATGAAAAGAAGCCCGAGAAAAAGTACCGCAGTCCATTTGGTCCTTTCAAAAGAAGCGAGTCCGCTAGGGATATGCAAATCCCGGAATCGCCGCCAACAACTTCATCGGGCCGGCCAGGAACAGCCTTGACCGAGGAATCAGGACGGAATCCCAGTGTCTCACAGGATCGTACAGGGGTGGATGCTATCGTGCCTGCTCCAATTTCCCACCCAGAGCCTACAGCTATGAACGGCATTTCGCCAGAGGCCCAAGCTGGACTTGTTAGCAATGGCACTACTCAGGTATGCGGCATTCCTCTGAACAGATCTAGAAACTTGCTGACAGTATTCCAGGCCCACGTTGACTCCGAAGGATTCACCGAACGGCCGTCAACTATCGACGAGATAACGCGTGCGCAAAGAGAAGCATCAGGGTATGTGAAAGCTTGTTTGGTGGTTGAGGACATGATACTTACGAAGCTCCATTCACAGATTCGAGGATTCTGGTATGAACTTGACTATTCGAGATCAACCTATCTTCGAAGATGAGAACCAGGCCCAGCAGGCAATGGATGACATGGCGAACACCTTGCGCATGGTAAGTAGTACCCCGAGTCGTCGAAATCCCCCAGTCATTGTACTCATACATTCAATAGCGGGCTCCGATGAGACGGAACGCAGGCACCATTCGGGGCCGTCGCGACGTACGAAACACAGTTTTCGTTCCGAACTCAAGCGCGGAGATGACAGCAACCCAAGCCGCACCAGAACTATACGCCCCGTCCTCGCCGATCAGACATGCACCGTCTCCTAGCAATGCGACAGAGGAACATGCTATGTCAGACACCACGTCTATCCGCTCAGGACACACAATCCAGGGGGCCGCCCCTACCATTCACCCCGAGCTCCATGAGTCGGGTCTGAATGCATCAATTATTGAAACAGTAAACGCATGGTTCTCTGAAGGCAATGTGACCAAATCTACGGTAGTAGGGGAACTGGCATTAGCCCACAATCCTATCCCAGGGAATGCAGCAGACGCCCTGAAAATCCGTCTCGAGAATTTCCCGGTGTTGGAGAAGGTTGCCGCCAACCCACACTTTGTCCACGGAGACACCGCGGATGAGAAGCGCGGCGAATACGACATTCAGCTCGGCAGTATTGCTCGACCAATCCCAACAGTCGCTTTCAAGTACCAGCTGCACTTGGATCCCAGCAACCCATCAGCATACTGTCCAGTTATCTTTAAGCCAGCCTGGAATCTGCAAGAGCTTCAAGCCAGCGCCATTATTTTCTATTCCCTCAATCCTGCATTTATCTCGCAGTCTGCTGATCCCATCGTCCTGAAAAACGTCGTCCTGACCGTCGGCTTGGACACTTCGACCGAGGACGAGATAACCAAGCAGCCACGCGAATCAGTCGCCCATGCGAGCAGCGCCGTCATGCATCCGAACTCAGGCGCTAGCTTCCGCCGCAAGACTTCCTCAGTCACTTGGAGGATTCCTGAGCTGGAACTGAAGCCACCCGGCTCCGGTGAAGAGGGCAAGTTCCTTGTGCGCTTCTCTACTTCTACCCCCGGACCTCGCAAGGGCAACGTCGAGGCCAAGTTCGAGCTCCGTACCAATCAGATTGGTTCCCGACTAGGAATCAGCCAATCTGTCTCAGACGCGTCCGCGAAGGAAGCCGACCCATTCTCTGACGCCGCGCCTTCGAGCCCGGCCCTCTCTACTACCTGGCAGGAACTCCCAACTGTCCGTAAGCTCGTCGGTGGAAAATACGTCGCCGCTTGAATAAGTTCCGTGTGATCTATATCTATCTTGTTCATATATACCCTGTCTCGAGTCGCGCTTATTCTTCACATCTGTCTTTTCCTATGGAAGATGCGAGGGAAAGGCGAAGAGAAAAGACTGAGGATGATTGATAATGTTTGCCCTTTCCCCCCCTCCCCCTCCTTGTTATGGCCCTTTGTCGGCTTTCCGTTCCTTGCAAATAGCGCCTCTTTTTCTTTTCTTTTGTGATTTTGGTCTTGTAGCTAGGCATTTAACTTGCGTATGTACGTTGTGAAGACTTCGGCCTTAACAGTTTTCGAATCGGAATTCTCTCCTTGTTTATTTAAGCTTAAATCTCTCCCATCCCCCCCCCCCCCCTTTTCTGGGGTAGAAATTTGACATGTTATGAAGTTTTACATCACAACCCAAGCCCACCAACTCCGAGTCACTACCAACGAGCCTTAAACAGACCAAGGTCGAACCGCATTCAAAAGATCCAAATGAACCTGCGCATCCCCAGTTCTCTTCAACGCCTCCTCAAAGAAATCCGGCCCAATCCGCTCACTAAAAAGCAAAACACTCCCCCCAAATGAAATCCGCATAGCTCACAGTCGTACCCAAGAAGAACGGACCCTCAGTCTGCTTCAGCAAAGCGGTAGTTTCACGCAGCACAGGCTCCGCCTCATTCCACGTTTTTTCTCCGCCCTTTGTCTCTTCGAGCTCTTCGACGCTCATCCCGACAAATGCCTTGCGGGTCCGGTACCAGTGTTCCAGGCTGGCTTCGTTGAGGATTCGCTTGGGAACCTGGTTGAGGAATATGGGCATGATGGCGCCCATGTATTTCCACCAGAGGGCGTCGACTTGGTTCACGATGCTGTTGTCTAGGTGTAGCGAGGGGGAAGGGTGCTTGCTTTCGAGGTATTCGGCAATCGGGCGTGAATCCATCATGTATTTCCCGTCGGGGGTGATGATTGCTGGAATTGTGTAGCGGGGGAATTTCTCGTTGGGTGGGAGACTGGAATTGCGATTGGTTAATATGATATGAACCTTGGAATATACCGGTAGTAATTAATATCTTTCTTATAGTTACTTGGAGACGTACTGGTTCTCCAACTCGGGTGTGATCTCGGGGTATTCCAGCTAGGGTGGGTTAGTACTAGCTATTATCGTAGCGATTGGTTTGTTTCATGTACCCAGCGAGTGTTATAGTCAATTCCCTTGAAGTTGAAGACAAGACGAGCTATCAGGTGTTACGATGTTAGCAAATTGAGGCACAATTGATTTGTCCTGACACGGTAGTATGTATTGATTGACAACGCACTCTTCCAGGGATTGGGGGTCCATGTCAAGCCTAGTGACTTGCTTGCAAGATCGTAGAAGGTGTACTGTTTGGATGACATGGTTCAAGCTCAGGAGTTACCGTGGGTTCAATTGAGATGGAGTTCAAGAGAAGGTACCATTCCACATGAACAACCCGAAGTTACAATTGGCGGGGCATCCCATGGTTATTTATCAGCACGGGTGGAAATCATGCCGATCGTTCGGTGGTGGATCCTCGTACAATAGACCTAAAGCCGAAATCCTGCCAAACAAATCCCGTCGGGCTCCGAATGTGGAAAGTAAGGAATTTGACACTTCTTTCTAGTCAATTTTCATGAGACGTGGTTGGTTTGGGGTGCATCTAGCTATAGAACCTCGGAACTTGAAGCTAAAAGCTGATTGTAATTTGAACCTTCAAGTTCGCATCAGCATGGGGAGTAGGGGGAGTAGAATAATATAAACTTGAAGTGCCAGTAGCTCTGACTGTGACTCAGACTAAGAGGCCTTAATTCAATTACACTTAGAAACGAGACTCCTCTGGTTTATGGCTGAAAGCCGATCTTTCTAATTGAACACTGGCATCTAAGCCATCCGAAGTAATTCCATATATGATACATAGTGCAAGCACATTGGATTGGATCACATCGCATTAAATCCTAGCCGCTCTGGTCGTCTTATCATAAAAGTCCAAGGTCATAGCGGCCAAGAAGCAGGGTATATCCTTCCGTTCCTCTACCCAGAACTTGATCAGATGCTTGATCTCCATCGCGAAAAGACTATTCGGCCCCCCCAGAGATCTTCATCGTGCCATTTTCACCGTCAAAGACAATTGAGTTCTCGCCTCCATCACCCATGCTACCAGCGCCGCGGGAGTTGGAGGGATCATCGCCATCGCCGTGGCGGTAGGCCGAAGAAAGATGGAACATAGAAGTCACCCGAACACGACCGTTCGGGAGGAAGTCGAGTTTAAAGCCGAGCAGAGAGGCGACTGCTTCGCGAAATTCGGAACTCTTGGCCGTCCAGATTTCTTTGAGACGACGCATGCGTTTCTCCTTCTCTGCGACGACGCGGTCCATATCTTGCATCTCCAGCTTGAGACTGTCAAGCGTGCTTACGGGGACAGCTTTCACGCCTGTCTTTTCACCGCGGAGTTGGGCGAGAAGAGCCTGATTTTCCGTACGCAGTGTTGTCAATGTGGACATCTTGATCTTCTCGGCCTCGGCGGTCGGGTTGTCGCGCAATTCGAGTACACGAGTGCGCGATTTCGATTTGAGAGACTTGATCTGGGACTTGGCGGCATCCAGTTCTCGACGGCCAAGTGTGGTGGCCTGTTCTGCTTTGGAGAGGGCCTCCTGCAATTTGCGGTTCTTCCGTGTAAGCACTGAAAGACGTTCGCTGTCGGCCTCGCCTTCTGCTGAAGACAGGGGGCGTTTGGTACCCCGGGTCTGACTATCGTCTTGAGCTGGCGGGGGTGGTGCTTCTCTCTTCGAAAGTTCCTCGTGTGCCGTTTGGAGCTCATTGCGGTACTCGTCCACAATTTTTTGTAATTGTGCAATCTGCTCTGCCTTTTGCTCGTCATAGCTCTTTTCTTCATTCATGGTGATCTCCTCCTCATCAAAAGCCTTGAGTTGAGCCCGAAGATATTCGACTTCCTTGACAGCCAGAACACGCTGTCGTTCCAGCCGTGACTTGGCTCGAGCCTCAGCTACTGCGGGAGCTGTACTGGGGCCATTGACAGAGGAGGAGGCTCGTAGCTTTTCGACTTCTTGGAGGAGGGTAGCTTTTTCATTCTCCAAGAATTTAATCGCTTCATCCTTCTCGAGAAATTTCGCTTCAACAAGGCCAAGTCGATCAACCAGAGTCGCCATTTCAATTTGCTTCTCCGCCAAGGCTTTGACAACTGCTTCAGGAGAATCGAATTCAGCAGACTGATTGTGATCTTCAAGCAGGCTGGTCCAAGATTGCCGTTCATCCTCGAGAACCTGCTTTTGAATCTGAAGTGTACCAACTTCGGCCTCCAAGTCCTTCATAGCCATCAGCTGGTTCTCGAGCGACCTCTTTTGCTCTTGGACCACCTCGACGTTCTTCTGAACCTTCCGTAGATATTGTAGTTCCGCGCCTTGTTCCCGATTTGTCGTCTCCAATTCGCGAATGTGGCTGACTTGCTCCGAAAGTTCCCTTTTCAGAACAGCCAGTTCTTCGGCATCCGTCCCCTCGGATTTCAGGCGGATGTTCTCCGACTCCAGCTCCGCAACTTCGGTTTCACGCTGAGCCAACTTTTCTTGGGTCGTTTGCTGAGAGGTGCGAGCCGCGTGAAGATCATTTTGAAATTCTTCAATGGTCTTTTGAAGAGATGCCCGAACGGTTTCCAGTTCGCTTATTTGATACTTAGAGTGTCGTTCTTGGTCGGACAAGCGCGCTTGTGAATCCTCTAGCTCCTCCTGTAATGTTTGCCTTTCATCCTGTAGTGTTCTGTTTTTTCGTTCGAGGTTTGTCTTGTCAGTGAGCGCCTGCTCCTGTGCCTCCTTTAGTTCCTTTGCTAAGGTTTCGCTCTTGTGGATGGCGCGGTTGGATGTCGACTCTGCTGCCTGTTAAATAAAACCATTAGCGGAGGAACTCAGAAGGATCTCAGGAGAAGGATCACGTACTTGCGCCTTTCGAAAGTCCGCATCCGCCTTTATTTGAATTTCTCGAGTCTCCTTCTCGTGTTGTAAGGTTTGCAGCTCCTGTTCTTGCTTGATATTCTCGAGTTCGTATCTGAGAGTGCTGACTTGCACCCGCAATTCATCCTTTTCGACATCTGTACCTCAAGTTTAGTGTCTCGTCGCGTCTTGTCTTCGTTGATGGGTGGATGGTTCCTCACCGTGTAATGGGTGTTGCGGTAAAGGTTGTGAATGAGTAGTTTGAGTAGATTGCCTCAGCGACCTCCGCGCACTTGCTGGGGTAGAAGGTGAGGCAAACCCAGCAACCAGCTGGGATGCTGGTCGCGTCGACTGACGACTTGAGTCCATGGGGGCCCACGGTGTTGTTGGTGGTGTTGGTGGTTGTGGGCTGTTTGCACAAAGAGCGTCAATGAGACTCGGACGTGGGCCAATTGTCTCGAGCCCCTTGAGAAGTCACACTTCGCACTCTAGCTCTTAAATCTGAATGATATATGAAGGGAGTGTCTTGAGAGTGTTAATGTCACTGGCGACTGCGGCGGATGTTTGGGCCTTAGTCATCCGACCAAAGCTACCGGATCGGGACTAGCGTCTTCAGAAATTATTTCGGAGCAAGAGTTGCGCAGCGCACTTTTTCTCTACGCACCATCAAACACCACCCCACCACCTCACGACCCCCGTTTTTTTTCACAATCGTCATCATGGGCAAGGACAAGGTCGAGAAGGAGAAGAAGCGCGCTGAGAAGAAGGAGAAGCGTTCCGACAAGGACGGCATTGCCAAGCCCAAGAAGGAAAAGAAGGACAAGAAGGACAAGACCGCTCTCGCCGATGCGGTAGAGAAGGAGATCACCACCCAAGTCCTCGAGGGCCTGGACCAAGCCGCCGCTGCTGGTGTCGCCGACGCCGAGGTTGATGCCATGGCCATCGACCGCCCCGTCGGTGCCATTGTGCCTTTCGCCAACCCTCTGGTCGAGGACAAGCAGGCCAAGAAGGTTCTCAAGACCGTCAAGAAGGGTATGCCAATCAATTCCTCTGAAGAATCGTCATCTGCGTCTATACTCTTCTCGTCTATATGTGCTTGTAGATTTGCCTTGCTCCCTCTGCAACACGCTGCAGGGCCGGTGCAAATCGAACGCATATTGAAAAACGATACGGACTGCCATCCATTTGAACTAGTCACTAATCTATTTCTTGCTTCACAGCTGCCGTCAACAAGTCTCTCAAGCGCGGTGTCAAGGAGGTCGTCAAGGCTCTCCGCAAGTCCGCTATCCCCGCCGCTAACGCCTCCATCGATATTCCCTCTGCGGTCGTCATTCTTGCCGCTGACATCTCCCCCATGGACGTCATCTCTCACATCCCCGTCCTGTGCGAAGACCACGGTATTCCCTACGTTTTCGTCACTTCCCGCGCTGAGCTCGGTGCCTCCGCCGCCACCAAGCGTCCCACTAGTGTGGTCATGGTGACCCCCAAGTCTGCTGGCAAGAACAAGGATGCCGATTCCGAGGACTTCAGCGGAGTCTTCGAGGAGTTGGCCAAGCTCGCCAAGAAGGAGTGCGAGAAGCTGACCGTTTAAGGTGATTGCTTGCTTGCTTAGTCCTTTTTCGCTTTTGTACCCACCTTCTTGGTTTGCTAGTGGGTTCACGTATTGTGTACAGGTTATGGTTCTCGTCTGATAGGACTATGCATGTCTTTGGGGGTTCGGCCTTTGGGTTTCTATATCATTTCTTTTACCATCTTTGCTTTTCTGCAGTTCGGCGTTCTATCAACGGTGTATGAAAAAAGGCAGGAAGAATTCCCAATGAGAAATTACCCCATGCATCCATTTAAATTTAACATCGTACTCGTCAAGGCATATGGCATCTGCCTAAGTGGGCCCCCATGCGATTTGGCTTGCCAATAGATGACATTTCATGTGTGCAATCGGCGGGCCTGTCCGTACCTCGGTCCTGCAGTATTTTGATTGATCTCCATTTCATAGATTTCAACGGTTCTAGTACGATACAACGGCGGAAGCACCTAGTCACACAGCTTGACATCTTGCCGATATGGCACTACTACGTGCCTCACCAGGTGACAGCACGGTTACACGATCACTGATGACCCTAGGTTGCAAATTGAACCTACCTAGGTATCTACCAACCCTACGAGACAAGTGAACAAAATCTTAGCAGATGGCAAGTTGAAGTATCAGTGTCACCACTTCGGGTTGAGAGAGAAGAAAGGAAAGGAAAAAGAATTAATTGACAGGAAAAAGGAAATCGCACTGGCCTCGACTAGCGTTGAATGTAGCCGATCGGCCTTGCATCCGCTCCGAACTATTAGACCAGTGGCGTTATCATTCCAGGATGCTGAATCTGATCAATCCCTTTTTCTCTCTCTTATAGTGTCTAACAAGGGGAGGAGAATTTCTCCATACATACCGCACCAACGAATGAGATCAAAAATGGCCAATTAGAAGGAGATAGACTCGGAAAACCCAACTCGGCGGGTTCATCTATCTTTTGCCTTGCCCCTTCTAGATTTTAGACTTAGTTTTCTCCCTCGAATTGTTGGTGTTTGGTAGGTTGTACGCGGTATCTTTCTCATCCAGAGAGCTTAGTGGCCCTTGCTGAGGGGCGGCCCCCGGTCTCCCCTGCTGCCCTACCCCAAACAGTCAATTATAAGAAACCGCCGCCCCGTGGATTGTGAGCTCTCTCTTTCCTTTCTACTTTCTTTCATGCATATTTCATACATATCATGCGTCACCCGACATTCGTTCCATAATCAATTTATTCTCTCCTTAATACTATAATCGGTACTATATTGGCGCCGAAGATGATCGCCCTCTGTCCTCGCGCCTGGGCCGTGACTGTGCTTCTTTTGACAATCGTACATCCGGCCATATCTCGTCCTATACAATTATCGCCATGGGCGGAGAGTCACGACATTAGTGATTCAAATATACAAGACACGCGAATACCCTACGATGAAGGGAGAAGTCTTTCGTCTCTCGAGTCAGCACAGGCCAAATTTAAATTGGTCAGTTTCGCATCTTTTCTTGTCCATCGTTAGAAGATCCGACTATTCTAATACTCTACAAAGTCGAACTCAGTCAACAGTGACCCAGCCATTGAGGGCGAAGAACTTGACAACTCATATACTCCGGGTGACGATGTTCCCACCAAACCAGTTGTATCAGTCCTGATCCCAGTTTCACCCAACTCGATCAACCTAGACCAAGTCTACGGCAAGGACGATCAAATTAGACATGATCCAATCAATGTGGTCGAAGTGACGAGCAAGAAATACGGCCAAATGCTGGGCCGCCCGAAAACACCATATGATGCGATTCATAGTTACGAGTCGGAATTCTACTCGGCTTCGACACCGAGATATTCGTCCGGTCACTACATTTCGTTTCTCTCTTATCGTGTTTCCATCCCTCTTTTGAAACTATTTCCCGCATCTTTCCCAGCATACCCGCTCCCGGGTATTTTTACCACAGTTGTGGTTCTTCTCGCCTTGGTGTGGGTTGCGATTTTGACAATCGGGCTGGTCGAGTTTGGGAACTATTTGTGGAACAGTCGTGATGAGGTGGGTGAGGCAGGGCAGAACACAGTTCAAGATGGATTTGGGGATGATAATGAAGAGCATGAACTTGCTGAACGTGGAGAATTGTCGAAACTACCTCTACATTCGGTTGGATTTCCTATGCCAGTGGCAGAGAGTCCCGATGACGAGGGCTCACTTTTGATCTCAGGCAGCTTGGACACAGAATTGGATTCGAGGTCTGATGATCATGGAGTATCTGGAGTCATTGCTTATCCAGGTTAGCTAAGCGATGAAATACTCAAGTGTAGCGATGAAATACTCAAGTGTAGCGATGAAATACTCAAGTGTTCATATGCTACTTGAAGACCAAAAAACCTTTAATCAAGAAGTTATAATTGTTTCGAAATTGTGTAGATCTATTGTACAGCATGTAAATCCAGACACTCATCATCCGTCGTGTGCCCAGCTCCAGGCATGGGCTAGCTAGATTAACAAAACGCTTGCTAGCTCAAGTAAATTCAAGAAAGCAAAGAGGGAAAAGCAATCCCATTTTCTAAGCGCGCTGGTCCCGCTCCAGAGCTTCGAAGGAGGTCGGGTTACCAACGTGCTCCTGACGAGGAACGCCAGCACTCAGCGCACTGGTGGCGGTAGTTTGCTGGAACTTGTTGATAGCAGCGCGGCCAGGGTCATCACTGGTACCGATATCAGAGTTGAAGCTGGCATTATTCGCGGTAGAGGAGTCGAAGTCGCCCTCATGGATGTTTCGGCCATCAGGCTTCTGATGCTGATAACCATCCGTCACATCAGCGATGTATGAAGGAGCCTGGCCGCCATTATACTGGCTGCTTCCGCTAGCAGTAGTCTGATCTGCCAGACCCATCTGTTGCTTAGCAGCGGTCGGGCCACCAACGTAACCAGACTGTGAGAGGTGGGCACCGGGGAAATCACCCTGGCCGCCAAGAGCTTCAGGGTACTTCTCCTGGCGCTCACGGTCGTCACGAAGACCGCCAACAGAGGCAGAGGGAAGTTCGGTAGCTCCAGAAGTGTTGGTGTTCTTCAAAGAGGACTTGGTATAGGATGCGGGTTCGGCACCACGGTTCTCGGAGAAAGCACCACCCTTGCGAACGGACTCAGCAGCGAGGGAATCAGTGGGGACAGGGCCCGAAGGCTCCTCGATTGGCTGTTGAGAGGCAAGAGGGTCGGTGGTGACCTTAGTGCTTCGGGTGCCGTGAGGAAGAGGAGTTCCCTGAAGATCCATATTGAATGTGTACGAAGTGGGAGGTGAGAAGAAGTGTGTTCGTTAATGAAGAGTGACGAGAAGACTAGTCGTGAAATAGATGGAATCAAAATTAAGTAGAATTAAATCTAGCGACGCGACAGCAGATCTAAATAGTCATAGATCCAGACCACTTAGCAACATATGAGCACATACCTACAGACCAATTAATTAATAAGCGACATTCTCGTGGCAGGAAGAGCTTGATATCACGATAAGTGATGTCAGGCTTACGATTCCTTCATGGCCATCAACAGAACCCAAGATGGTCTTCATCCTACGGCAGCTGTAAAATCAATGAGTCTTGCGATTGAGACGATCTTATTGGCGGGTTCTCGAAATCGGATCAAGCGGCTAGCGGAACTGCTACGTCTGTGTGGGGGCCCTGTCCATCAATTTTGCGAGAAATTCGTTGTCAAAGAGGAGCCAGGACTCCACATGCTTAATGCATCGTGGACCCATGAGTACATGGGACTTCCAGAGTCTGGAGTTGAAACTGGGCAGATATCAGAATTGCATTGGCGGTTGACGTCAGGGCTACATAACCACTACAAATTGCCACCATTCCCGCATAGGCAATCTTCTCACTACATTGCAAACGAACACTCTTTCTAAACTCAATGATTGATACCCAGGTAGTTTTACATCATCGCAGGTCATACTGTATATAGATTCACAGCTTGCTGCAGTTGCAATTGTTGGCACGGGCCGGTTGGAAGTCTGATCATTAAACGAGCAGGAAAAGTAAATCTATAATTTACATACAATTGAATACCGTGAGGAAGAGCATTTGAAATTACATAAATTACTTGTTACTAAATAAATGTGAATTTTTAATTCCAAGGTTCATTCGCTCGTGATTGAGTGCAGGTCATTGAATAGTACAAAAATGACTATCGTACATGTATGGAGACAGGGTTCCGTCACCCACTATCGATCAATATCATTCAACTGGTCAGATTCCCAACAATGGACTTTTCAGACCATTTTAATATCCTTTATATCTCAGCTTTATTGAGGTGCGGTGTTCTTGTGCAGCTCGGCCCCATCCACGCGAACGCTGCTGGTGGCTGTAGATGGCCCACGCAAGGCGTCATCGGCACCGTTGGAGATAGGACCTTCAAGACGACCGGAGCCCACATTGACGGTTCGCTGATCGGAGGAGTTCCAGTCACTTGCAACTGGAGGGTCCTCTGGCAGAGGCAAGTTGGCCTTGGTCTCGTCGATCTGCTTCGATTTGTTGGTGTTTTGGTCGATGATAGACTAGGATACAGAGTATTAATGATGGAAAGTTCACTTTGGGGATGACGACTTCTCACCTTCATTTGGGAGACATCAGAATCAGCGGGGGTCTTTCCGCCGTGCTGCTGAGAGACACGAGACTCGGCCTTGCGCAAGTCTTGGCGGGTGGTGTGGTAGGTCTGCTCAGACATTCTGGGAGTATGAAAATAATTATTTCGTGATAAAGTAGAAAATATTTTCAAGTTTGAATTCTCTAGAATCGCGAAGAGACTTATTACTCTTATAGTATTTCTATAGATTGCTTATGGTATGCAATGTGATAGGGATGACGTTTGCCCTTATGACGACATATCGGTAGTCCAGACCATGGATATCTACAACAGATGCATTGGAATACCCAACCTTGGGCAAGTCTCCACAAAACAAGTCTAAACTCGATATGTAGTCCGGGCCTATTCTGAAATGCCTGCAGAATTTGGCTCAATCCCTCATCTTCTAACCCCACAAGTTGTGACCAAGATTTCATCCTTCTTCGCTGCAATTGTCACGAATACTAATCAGGCAATGAAATCATAGATATGTAACCTACTACCTACCTACTACTAGTAGTAGCCAACTTATGTCTTTTCAAGTTCCAAGATTTGCCCTGGAATAGTCGATGTAGGTAGTAGCATAACATGATGAAGCCCACGCTTTCAATTTTCGAGTTATTACTCATACATACAGTCCGATTCACCGGAAAATTATATGAATTAGCCGAAGTTGATCACTTCAAGGCAGGGAGTAATAGAAATAGAGGTGTGAGACCTCGGACATCCCATGTCTCAACTAGACACACTGCCTCGTCCAGTATGAGACAATTTTACTTGACAGTAGATACACCTTGGACATATGTGAGCTTATGCGCGAATATGGTCTAAATTTTGATCTTGTACTACTTCAAACAATCGTTTGAAATTCTATCTGATCCATTCCTGAATCAATTGAGGATGAAGCCGATCGGCTAATAGTGGCCCTGTAGTAGTGGTTTAAGTTACAGTAACTTCTTGTTCGAATAATGGGATGCTTCTCCTTCGACTTACATGCTAACAATTGACTCTTAAGTTGTGTACTACAGGCTGTCGGCGACCAAATGGGGAGGCGGTGGGTCTTCTGCCGGTCCCTTATGTGTGCAATGTTTGCACTGTCTGGCCTGGGGCTATCTCCAAATACCTGGCTGTAGGTGTGATCTAATTGGCAAATTGGCATACCTATAGACTTCCATATCTTAGCGCCGATGAAAGAAAAAAAATGAAGCCGATTAGGATCTAGGCTGCCGTGGATATCCCCTGTACCTAGTAGCTACCGCCTTCTACTTCGGAGTGGCAGAAAATGATTCTTATCGCGACTCCGAAGTCTTCATTTCGCTTGGCTTGTGCAAGCAGTCAAGAGGTTGTCTTTGTTTGTCTTTAGGTTCCTACGCCGGTCGGAATATCTCAAAATGCCTCGTGATCCGTTAATTGGCCTAGTCGGCAAGGTTTGTCGTCCCATCCCCAAATCGTGACCCCGCTAACCATGGAGGGGCACAGCCGTCGAGTGGGAAATCTACAACATTGAACAGTTTGACCGATGCTACTTCAAAAGTTGGTAAGTACATGCTCGTTGCGGTATTAATATGATCTGCGCGACTAATTCCAATTTGTCTCCTAGGCAACTTCCCGTATGTGCACCTTCTATTGCTTGACCTAGGACGAGCACCCGGCTTATCGAACGAACCTTGCGCTAACGATTGACGCTCGGCAGCTTCACGACCATTGATCCCCAGCGAGCCATTGGATACCTGCAGATCGACTGCCCTGTCAAAGACATGGCATTTCCGATCGCTGTCAACCAAACTACGGCGCATGCCACGAAGGACGACGCTCCGTTCCGATTGAATTGCTAGATGTCGCGGGACTTGTTCCTGGAGCGCATCAAGGTCGCGGATTGGGCAACAAATTCTTAGATGATTTGCGTCATGCGGATGCGCTGATTCACGTGGTGGATGTTAGCGGTACCACCGATGCAGAAGGCAAGGCTACTCGGGGATACGACCCCTCTGTGGATATTGAGTGGTTGTACTCCGAGATCGTGCGCTGGGTCCTGGGTAATTTGATGGAGAAATGGTGAGTCTGGAGCCATGAAAGAATCGCATCAGAAATGGATGTTCTAACGGCTAGTTTTAGGGGATCAATCAAGCGGAGACACGTCGCGACGAGTCAGTACAATGCTTTTATGGAATATGCCTCATGCCTCAATTACTAACACCATATATAGAGGCCAACCCTGTCGACACATTACAAGGTCAATTTTCAGGATACGGAAGTACCCACTCCGTTGTCGCTCGTTGTTTAGACAAGCTTGCTATGAAGGAACCTCTCGAGCATTGGTCTGATGAGACTGTGGAACTTGTGGTTAAGACGTTTATCAACGAGAAATTCCCAACAGTATATGCCTTGAACAAAATTGATCACCCGGATGCTGATAAGGTGCGCTTTCTTGTTGCATACTCTTGAGATCTTCCCGTGCTAACCGGAACCACAGAACGTAAGCAAGATCGCCAAGATGCAAGATCCCCACAGCATCGTGCTTTGCTCGGCCATATCAGAAGTATTCCTCAGACGGTTAGCAAAACAACAATATGTCAAATACGTTGAGGGGAGTGAGTTTGTAGACACGCGGGAAGATTTGATCGAGATGGGCGAACCAGATGGTGGAGGTCTGAAAGAGATGGACGAAAAATTGAAAACGTGAGTTCGCAAATCCTATGGCAGATAAGACTCCCTGCTAACCAATTCGTCAAAAAAGCCGGGTGGAGAACCTGAAAGATATGGTGTTGTACCGATTCGGATCAACCGGAGTCGTGCAATGTCTCTCTCGTGCCGCTGAGCTGCTGGGTCTTGTACCGATTTTCCCCGTGCGAAACCTCCAGACCTTCAGCTCCGGATCGGGATCAGCAGTATTCCGTGATTGCGTTCTAGTCAAGAAGTACGTGGTGCGACTTTCTTTCTTTCCTAGCATTGACTAACAATAAGCAGAAACAGTACAGTGGGTGATGTAGCCCGAAAGGTCATGGGAGATGTGCCTATCTCGTATATTGAAGGAGTCGGTGGTACTCGGGTATCAGAAGACGACATTGTCGCTGTTGGGAAACACGATGTAAGTTGATTGCTGGTTTCTGTATCAAAAGATCAAACGAAAGATCAAACGAAAGATCAAACGAAAATATTGATACTAATCACCATTTCCTCGCAGATCCTATCATTCAAGGTCGGTCGGTGAAGCAATGATATACATATTCATGAAATACAACAATTTTAAGGCACGAGAATGCGCTTCGGCAATACGGCACTGAATCCGCCGGTATTTCAAGACAAAGTAGATCGCAGTACCGCTCCAGCACTTTTCGTGGGTGCCAGTGGTAATGCAGCTCATTCAACTTGAAGACCCAAGAGACATAAATTTGGCAACTAACCACCCTTCTGGGACAACGAATTGGGTCAATACTTTGACAATATGTTTTGTCAGGCAAGAGAAGGTACTAACCCGAGCTCGTTCGTCATTCATTCCGATAATGGGCTCTGGTGCAGCAGGGTACTCTCTTTTGGCCTTTGCAGCCTGCTTTCTACCGCCTCTCTCTGTTGTCGCTCCAGACTTTGAGTCATCTGCGATCCATTGGTTGGCCTCTCTCTCCTTCAACCCGGATGCGACTGCTGCTGCTCCTGGATCCCTCGTGTCTCCCTTCTTCGCCCGCTTGACAGAGTCTTCCTTGACATCGTCACTTCGTCCACTAGACTGTGAGTAGCTGTGAGATGGGGCGTATGACCAAGTGTTATTTGGTGATGCCTTCAAGTTCCAACTAGAACGAGTCTGTACCGGTAGGATACAGGGTAGGCGATTGCCGGTGTGATAGTATAAGTTCCGAAGTCGCAGCATTGTGGATTGAATATTTTTCAGGTTCATTCGGCACTACTACTAGTGCTAGTAGTAAGAGGGTATTAAACGTGCTCAATGTATTCTAACAGAGATATGAATTTCAATCTTCAATTGAAGTTTGGAATGCATCTAAAGCTGAATTTGTGACTGGTTGATGACAAGCTTGGGTTATGACGTCAGATACTGTAATGTCGAGAGCGGCATCTCAAGTGGAAAACCAAGATCAAGATTGAAGAACCAAAAGCAAGGACTTTGAAGATTAGTAATTATGAGTCTAATTGAGAATTTGAAATTCTTTCCAAGGGTTCGATACGAGCTTGGAGCACCGATATGCCGAGTCCTAATTAGGCTTAGCGTTGGGCACCTGTCGTGCCTCCGCAAGCGCGCCAATGTGAACACCGCGAAGGATACTATGTTCAAGTCGTCGTTGTCAAAGGCCAACGTGTCATCGAAGACAAAGTCTTGTTCAAATATATCTCTCTATCGAGGCCGTACATCTGACAACGAAAACCCCCATCGAATTCCTCCCTCTTTGACGCGATGAGGCGGGAATATCTTCCGCTTCAGTCCCTCTCAGCCTGGGCCAGACTTAATGGGATAATCACGAATGGCGTTGCTTTTCAGAATATGAGCTCCACAGAGAGTGATACTGACAAAGGAAATGCGATCGTGGCAACAGAAGAAATCTCTAGTCATGAATCCGATTCTCTTCCACAGGTCCTCCTTCAAGTCCCACAAGACCTGGTTTTATCGTTGGAAACGGTGCAGGACTATTCAAAATCTGATCAAGACTTTCGGGAAGTGCTTGAGGCTTGCGGTGGATTTGGAAGGGTCTGTTTTGTCTTCCACATACGATTAGGTGCAGCATTGACTAACAATCAACAGACAACCAGAGGGGCAATCATGTTATTTCTTCTGGTTCAAATCACACACTCCAGCCCCGACACAAAGCGCCAGGTGGGGATGTCTAGCCCATGGTCTGAGTATATCAAATTCTTCCCACCGGCATTCCCACTGCCTACATGCTATAGTGACGAGGAACAGCAATTGCTGAAGGGAACATCGCTCGCTGCGGTCGTCGAGGCCAAGCTTTCCTCACTCGAGTTTGAATTCGCGCGTTTACGCCAGTGCACGGAGAACATTTCATGGTGTCGAGAAGTTTGGTGGGAGGAGGGAACGGGTAGCTTAACTCACGATGATTGGAAATATGTTGACGCTGCCTATCGGTCGCGAATGGTAGACTTGCCGGGCAGTGGACATGCAATGGTTCCCTGTGTCGACATGGCCAATCATGTCTCTGGATCAGATGTGCGGGCGCTGTATGATGCAGACTCCGAGGGCAATGCAATTTTGCAGCTGCGTTGGGGTAAGACCATGCGTCCGGGAGAAGAGGTGACAATATCGTGAGTGCTTCTACATTGACACCCGTCTGGATATACTATGCTGTTCTGCTTTCAGTTGCATAACATGGAGCGTTCCTGACATGACTGGCTCTATTCTAGTTACGGCGATGAAAAACCCGCATCTGAGATGATCTTCTCCTATGGCTTCCTTGAAAGCGACAGGGCCGAAGAGAACCAAGTGCTCTTGGACATGCATGCACCAGATGATGACCCCTTAGAATTTGCCAAAAACTTCATGTGTTCCGAGACGCCAGGAATCCGGCTGTCGTTAGTCTCTGATGCTGAATCATCGAGCCATGTATCATGGGACAGTCCCCTCGTCTGGTTGGCCTGTGTAAACGAAGAAGACGGTCTTCACATTAAACAGAACCAGACCCATGATGGAGCGGCAGAGTTGGAAACTACCTGGAAGGAAGAGACCCTCACGTCCCCTCATCACCTCCGGGAATTTCTCGCCGCTGATCCATCTTGGGATATCTTTCAACTTCGAGCTGTTGTGTTACTGCTGGAGAAACTAGAGACCCAGCTTGCTCATGCCAGGAAAATAGACGAGGTTTTGGAAAATATGAACGAGGCAATGCTCCAGACACTTTTCCGCCCTGAGATCTTCAGTTTGATATCTCAATTGAGGAAGGTTGAAGGAGCGCTGCTCGAAAAAGCCGTCCTAGATCTGGAGAAACAGGTGAGTGAACTACTTGGCACATTTCCAAACCTCCTCTGACGCAACAGTACTACTCTTCGTTGAATGTTACCCGCTAACTGCCAGATATAGAAAACCGAATTGATGAATTCGGAAACGGTCCTAAACTATCTATCCCAACAGTCTCAAACGGAGGAGGTCGAAGACTTTTCATGACATAACCATGAACACAGAGCCAACATAGACGAGAGACGAGAGAGCATCACAGAGACGATCCCCCGCAAGATCTCTTCCCAGGAAGCTAGACCCCCCCTCCTTCAATAGCGTTCATCTAGTTCAAACACTATTCAATACGGAAGACACGCCACTAGGACAAGTTTGAGTGAGAACAAGGCCCAGATAAAACGAGGTCTTTGCCAATGAGGTGAGGCTAAATGACGCTATGACGTGAGCCATGAATTCGTCGGGCTTTTCCCAATACATAGTCATAGTCGGTGGGGCCTGGAGAGGATGATCTACGGAGGCTACCTCAGGGTGGGAGGGCTTCACCCCAGCTTCATTTGCGGAGTCTCCAGAGATGCCAACCCTTGCCAACTCTAGCCAACATTCAGCGCGGGGTTGACCCAGGAAACTTTGGAGGTTCATTCGATTTCATTCGCACGCTGAAAGCAGCGCATGGATACACGTATGTAGAACCGGCTCGGTCGTGACTCCTTATGACCAAGGTTCCTTGAGAGCTTGAATGATCTCGGGTGAAACATCGGCAGTGAGAAGCGAACGGAATAGGAAACAGTAAATATATTTGCCTCCAACCTTGGAAGGTTGCTGGACCCTGCAGCAACGTGAAGAAAGGAGGGAAACCCGGCAGCGGCGGAGGGGCCAGTGGAGTTCGATCAGCATCAACCGTGGTTCTGGGAGTCTCGCACTTCTCTCGGTCAAAACTCGCTGTGGCAATCCTTGGAAACCATCAAAATTCCCAGTCTAGATCTCTGGAAAACCTCCTAATCGATCCACAGTCATTGGTGCCCGGGTTCCCCAGCTTCCCAGTACCCCGGTGCTATCGCCATCTGGGAGTGTTAGATCCTCCATGGGGATTTCACGCATGAAACATGATCGGATGATGATCTTGAACACGAACGGCGGGTGCACGCCACAATACGCCATGCCACCTTTTAGGCTTACAGAGTACAATGCGACTAACAACCGCTCGCGTTAGTGCCGATTATCGGGAATAGAGGGGTCTGTGACAAGGCCACACAAGGTGCCGCGTGTGACACGGAGCTCCGTCTCTAGATCATCCGTTCCCCTTTTTCGAGTTGCGCACGGCGTCATGTTCCTATGCTGGACCACATCTGGGAGGCAACATGTTCAGATGAATATGAATTGCACTGAACCATGGAGCGACGCCGATCGGATGCCCGTGGGTTTTCGTACACACGAGCCCATCTGGGACCGGGGAGGATTTTCGGATGCGGCAGCGCTAGATGGGCTATGCGGATCCGAGAGACTCCGGGGGGGTGACTAGTAATTTACCTTTACGGATGACGAGGGGTTTCGATTTATTTCGCGCTATTCTCGTCTGGCTAGTTGATGCATATGGTACCCCGGTGACCACATCGCGGAGGATCAGGATCATATGTAGCCAAGCCGCGAGGATGTGGAGTCTGGGGGACCTCGGGAGATCTATCATGAACATTGCTAGAGATCTGGAGAAGCAGATGGCTAGTCCAGGGCATGGACTCCGTACTCCGTATATTAGACAGATGAGAATACGGGGTAGACAGTCCCAGTGGACGGTAGATGGAACCGGTCGATCACATCCGAAGCCCAATACCACACCCGCACTCATACCGATGAGGAAATGCTACGAAAAAAAGGAGACATTTAACCTTTGCGTTTACGGAGATTGCCCCCACTACGGAGCAGGCGAATCCTGACACTTGTACCTCACTGGATTGGGCGGTTCGGCGGGTCAGCATCGTCTTTCTCCACGCTAACTGACTCAGCCGTGAATCCCCCCCCCCTCTCCTTCTCTATTATTCTATCCTTCAGTCCCTTTGAGGCAAATCTCGATTCTTCACCTCCTATCCCTACCCGTCTTCTTCGTTGAATTCGAAGTTCCTATCCTACGTCCATCTCATCGCGACACCCGTCCGAACACTCAGCCAATAACTCTACCGCGGCGGCCGATGTGCCCGCCTACCCACACACAATGCCTGGTATCCTGCCCATGAAAGTGATCAAGGTCGGTGGCACCGGTACCACAAGTCGAATCGCCCAAGCCTGTGACCGATGCCGAAGCAAGAAAATCCGCTGCGACGGCGTGCGTCCCTGCTGTACACAATGCGCCAACGTCGGTTTCGAATGTCGAACGAGCGATAAATTGAGCCGCAGGGCTTTCCCTCGTGGTTACACCGAGTCTCTGGAGGAGCGTGTGCGAGCCCTGGAAACAGAAGTCAAGGATTTGAAGGATTTACTGGACGAGAAGGACGAGAAAATCGACGTGCTGTCCAGAATACATTCTTTTTCGTCTCCATCACAGAGAGCTGTCTCGGCTCGTTCGCCGACAACGTCAGGGTCAGCATCAGCGCCTACACCGAATAAATCGCCTAGTCTAGATGCCTCAGAGGGTGTTGTTCATGTCGCACGAACAACAGCACAGTTATCTCCCGAGAATCCCTATACGGCCCTCTCTAGTACACACGGCTTTGCTGGTATGTTGAAGTCTTCTCCGATAGTGTCGGAACGAGACCAAGATCTAATATGAAATAGATGTGTTTACAAATAAGCTTGTCAGCCAAGAAAAGGCGACATCCAAGATTCCCACTCAGGCACTAACGAAACTGTCGCCTCCGGTGTCTCGGGGTTCTTCGGAAGCTGTCAGAACTCCCCCACGGTTATTATCTGATCAGCTCATCAATATTTTCTTCCAAGAATGGGCACCGCTTTACCCAGTTGTGCACAGGCCGACTATTCTTAGAGCTTATGAGCAATATTTGAACAATCCCGACTCTTTGAAACAGGATCTGCCTGGCCTGACTCAGCTAAATCTGATTTTCGGAATCGCGGCTCTCTCATCCAATGTAAGTCCTGCAAATCTGCACTAAGTGAGAAATGCTAAACAATCATAGTCGAGAAATACTCAAGACCCTACTTTCTTCGAAGAGAACTGGACGAGTACCCTCGATACGTTCATCGGCGAATCATCTCTTGGTGCTCTGCAATGTTTCGTTCTGGCTCAAATGTATTGCATGACAAAGGGTGACTACAAGAGTCTCCTTCGCTATCGTGCTCTGGCTGTGGACATCTGCCACCAACTGGGACTTTACGAGTCCCAGGAGAACTTGACATCAAACCGACTCGAAACCGAAACTCGAAAGAAGGTATTCTGGTGCCAATATGTGTTGGATCGGTATGCATGCGTCTTCAATAATAGCCCTTGATTCTTGCTGACAATGATAGATTTTCTTCTGCTTTGACTGGCATGCCCATTCTATTGCGCGAGGCCGATATCCAGACCGAGTATCCTGTTGATGTGGATGATGAGAATGTGACAGAATCTGGATTCCTGCCAACCCTCCCTGGCGAATCTACTCGTCTCTCGAGCGCTCTAGCGCTTTTTAACGTGTCGCGTATTCTCACAAAAGTCTTGGAAGACATATACCCATCACGATCTAGCTACGACATGTATATGTCAAAGATGCGCGCCGTATCAGGACAACTGGATCAATGGCTCAAGATGCTGCCTGCACATCTCCGCCTCGAGTTCTCTCAAGATAAGCCTAGCACCAACGTCACCAGCAGCAGGTCTCCCCTATTGGTTAGTACCTACCTAGCTTCAAATTCCTTTTTTTTTTTCTTGATGCTAACAGCCTCCTAAGTCGCTCGTTTACTATTTTATCCGATCGTTGATCCACCGCCCTGCTGTCTGCTTCGCAGATGAGAATTTGCGCTCCCCGTCAATTTTGGCCATGGCCGATTCTTCGAAGCATATCATCCAAATTCTGCAGTTGCTGGATGAGCGACGACTTTGCCTCTCTGTCAGCATCAACCGAAAGGAATTAGTGTTCGTTTCTGGACTAGGACTGTTATGGCAAACACTCAGCCTGAAGCGGGACAGCAAGCTGCTGAAAGACAGCCAGAAGCTTCTCGCTAATGTTGTAGAGCAACTCGAGCAGGAATCACCTGTGGCTGCCTCGGAATTCACTTCGCTTGCTAGTACCTTGGTATTCCTCGACACGAAAAAGCGAGAAGCCGCGCAACCTGGCAAGCCTTCTCAAGAAATGGTAGCACCGACCCAAAAACCGTCCCGGTCACCGAAGAAACAGCTCCAATATTTGAAGTCTCGTCTTACATCGAATGGAAACCGTGAGGAATCTCCTAAGCAAACTGCTTCTCGTCGAAACACTATTTCTGGTGCTAGCCCTCCGCTCGGGGCCCAATCCCTTCGATCTCCGAGCTGGACCAGTCTCCCTCCTCAGCAAGATCACTTCCCCTCTCAATACCCCGTTGATCACGGACGTGCCTCTTTGGATCTCGGGTCGGATCCGCGGCTTACATCCTCGACTATGGGCTATGATTACCAACGGGCAATGTCAACTTCAACCGCATCGGATATTACTAGTACCACGAATGGCGCCATTACCATGGCGGACTGGGAATACGTGCTAAGCGACATGGATCGCGGGTATTCCAATATCTTCACGGGTATCTACGGAGGAAGAGAGTGCGGCGAAGATCCGGGCCCATTTGCCTCAATCACGGCAGAGTATGCGCAAAAGCAGAATGACGGCACTCTGTCGGTCCCACAGCCAGTGACGGACATGCATGACCTGTCTCCGAAGGCATGGTCCTCGAGCAGCGGCGATTTCGCCCCGTGTCAGGACCATGTTGCGCAGAGTGTTTTGAGCTATTCTGGCGAGAGCATTGGAAGTGCCGAGGATGCAAATCCACCTCACTTTGGCGATGTCCCGGCACATCCGGATGACCTCGGTCTAATTGACCCCTTCCAAGCTATTTCCATGCCAGTTGAGGGCGAACTTGATGAATTTTCCTTGATCAATGGCTGGGATCGACGGCTGGCCGTCTGATTGTTTAGGTTGCCTTGAAATTGAGTCGTTCTCTTAGCTGAGAGCGGGATGATATTCTTTTTTGCGATATGATGATACCTTGGTGGCGTTTCGATGTGTTCTTTTGGTTGGATTTGGAGTTGGATTCTATCTTTTTTCAAAGTTCTTTGGACATATATCACTTGAAATAGTATTTGAAATGCACGTTTCCTAATCTTGATGACCGTATTTATCTCACTGGCACTTACATGACCCCTTCCCCTGGACTCACTCCTAGCCGCAGCGTCACAACCTCGAAGACAGTTTTGATCAATCAATGATTCCAGTAGTCACCCAAACATTTCAGGTTCATCCCTGGAAACTATCTCCAGGCGACTTAGAATAGTGGAACGCGTCGGGAAGCCACATATGTCAGTCACTACGTCGGCCGAAACAGCGGATTGGGGCGAAGTACTACCATCGAAGCTCTGTAATAATCCACCGGTCTCACCACTTATGATGAAGACCCGGGAAGCCGTGAAAACCGCCACCCAGGATCGATCCCATCACGCGGCACCCACGCTTCCGCGCCACCCCTACTCGTGGCCCATGCGGTCTAGTTTCGCTGTATGTATGGATCCCATGCTCTCAACCATGGACAGACCCCTCCAATTAGGCAGACCTTCACTGACCTGCCAAATGCGCTTCCCCACTTCCCCAGATTCTCGCTCATACGATCAATTGTTCGGAGATGGCCGCCGGCTGTGGAAGAACACCGACGAGGCGGTCTCCAAATGAACGAGTCATCATCTCCCCAATCTGTCCAATGGAGCGATTTCCCTCCCAAGAAGAGGTCCAAGGTCCAAGAAATCAGGAATCCCCAGCTATCCGCAGCCACATGCGTAGCTAAGCGTGGTACTTGGATTTCCCATAGCTGAAGCTGGGTGAGGTATTAAAAGGAAGCCTCGACCTTTCTGAGAATCCTTTTCCAGTTATACACTGTTTATATTCGACTGACAATACATCGTCAAGATCAAGATACTGGGTCCAATCTTCGAAGCTTGTATCGATATCTGCCATCATGAAGAACCCGTTCCAAAAAAGAGCACAGAGTGATGATACCGACCACCAGCCACCGAGAGAGTCTGTCGGGGAGTCAGTTTCCACAGTTGATCGCGAAAAAGCTCTTAACAGTAGCGATGTTGTCGATACACCTATTCCACTACTCACCTGGCGCTCCGTGGTGATGGGCCTATTCGTGTCCATGGGTGGGTTTGTGTTCGGTTACGATACTGGCCAAATTTCCGGTTTCTTGGAGATGCCCAACTTCCTTCAACGATATGGACAATTGGGATCCGATGGGACCTATCATTTTAGTAACGTGCGCTCTGGTCTCATTGTTGGCCTGGTAAGTGTACCTCTCTTGAGACGACTTGCTAGTAGGCTTGATGCTTATTTCTATGATAGCTTTCCATTGGTACCTTGATTGGAGCTCTAGTTGCTGCGCCTATCTCTGATCGCACGGGGCGGAAGTGGTCGATCAGTGGTTGGTGCGTGATTCTATGTGCTGGTATCACTGTTCAAATATCCTCTCCTGCCGGGAAGTGGTACCAAGTCGCTATGGGTCGTTGGACTGCAGGACTGGGTGTCGGCGCATTATCTTTGCTTGTCCCCATGTATCAAGCAGAGTCTGGCCCTAGGCACATCCGAGGATCACTGATTAGGTATGTGTAGCTCTTATATGTCACTAACCAGTCTATCCTGCTAACTCCATACCAATATAGTACATACCAACTTTTCATCACATTAGGAATTTTCGTTGCGAACTGCATTAATTTCGGAACCGAAGCTCGCGATAATACCGGCTCATGGCGCATCCCTATGGGCATTACCTATTTATGGGCTATTATACTCGGAGTTGGTATGGCGTTTTTCCCGGAAAGTCCTCGTTATGATTATCGGCATGGGAGGGTGGAAAAGGCGATCACCACCCTTTCAAAGATATACGGAGTACCACGTAACCACCGGGCTATGAAGATCGAATTCGAAGAAATCAAGCAGAAACACGACGAGGAAGTCCGCAATGGCAAGGCCTCCTGGGTCCAGCTCTTCAAAGCCCCAACAATGGCCAAACGTGTTGCTGTCGGAGTAAGTCTACAAGCGCTCCAGCAGCTGACCGGTGCCAACTACTTCTTCTACTACGGAACCACCGTCTTCAAGGGCGCTGGTATTGCAAACAGCTACGTCACACAGATGATTCTAGGCGGTGTCAATTTCGGAACTACCTTCCTGGGTCTCTATCTGATTGAGAATTACGGTCGACGTCGATCTCTCATTGCAGGTGCTCTGTGGATGTTCGTGTGCTTCATGATATTCGCTTCCGTCGGCCACTTCTCTCTTGATCGAGACTTCCCGGAGCGCACCAAGTCAGCCGGTGTAGCCATGGTCGTCTTTGCCTGTCTATTTATTCTCGGTTTTGCAAGTACATGGGGCCCAATGGTGTGGACGATTATTGCAGAGCTCTATCCCTCCCAGTACCGAGCGCGCGCCATGTCCCTCGCGACGGCATCCAACTGGCTCTGGAATTTCCTCTTGGCATTCTTCACGCCGTTCATTGTCAGTGCGATCGACTTCCGGTTTGGATATGTCTTTGCTGGATGTCTCTTCCTTGCTGCTGGATTGGTTTACTTCGCTGTTATTGAGGGCCAGGGTCGGACCCTCGAGGAGATTGATACAATGTACCTCATGAAGGTCAAGCCCTGGGAGAGCTCTAAGTTTGAATTCCCAGCTGATCCGAATGTTATGCGTGGGTCTTTTGATAAGACAGACGGGACTGGCTCTGCGGCCCATGTTGAGCCGACTGGCGGGGTTCAAGAGGAGGTGCCTACTATTCAGGAGACTCGAGCCACAGGCGCCGTAGAATAGTTGCAGTTTCACTCTTCATTTATTACATGTTCTATGCACGTTCTAATGTGTATTTTCAATACTACTCGTATTTTCTGTCTCGTCTCATTTTATCACCTTCTCTGGGTCTTGAGGGATGTCATCCTTTTGGGAGCTGCCTGTTAGTACAATGATATACGTGTACCTAATCTTGAGGAAGTCTTTACCAAGTTCAGAACAGGATCAGAAATGAGGTCTATTATCTCTTTAAACCCATGACTACCTAGGTACGGATCAGATTTCCTAGATTTCAGGTGTTGGCATCTTCACAAGCACACCATCCAAGTAGTCAGTCATATCCTCCACCTCCTCCAACTCTCCCACCCAACCGATATACTGATCCGGCCGAAGAACAAGCATTGCACCTCGTGTCCTATCGACTCCCCATTTTTCATACCCCTGACCCCCACAGTGCGGGTCCCATGTACAAGAATTATCACACCAAATATCATCATATCCCCAACCCATGACAGGATCAAATGGACGCAAAATATCCGGGAAATCAAAGAACTCCACCTCCTTCCACGGGGCACTATGGATAGTGACGACCCCAATTTGATCCTTCTTCCCCGGAATAGGGACATATCGATGCAAAGGAGAAACCTTCGTCTTATCCTCTCCCGACAAAAACCTACCAAGAGCCTCAACCCGCTTCTTCTGCTCCTCAACCCGCACATCACCGGCCAAAACAATAATTCTGAACAAACCATCACTTTCAAGCAATCTTGTCGTCCACTTCGAGTTACCCTCCGCCTGATTGCGCAACTTGATCGGCGAAATCCGTTCACCAGGAACCAAATTCCGCGCAGCCTCGGGACCCTCCTCCTCCGAGACTTTCCAAACAAGCGAACTAGCAGGGTAATAAGTCCTCAAACCATCCGCAAAATCCATATATTTCTCTACAACATGAACCATTCGATCCGCCTTGTCAAGCGCGGCAGGCCCATCCGCATCCGTCGTCTCCATAAACTCACCCGACCAAAGCCTGTCGAATTCAAGCAACATTTCCGCCAGCGGGTGGCGCTCAGCATTATACGTGCCCAGAATATCAGGATTCGCGGCACCGACGGCAACCATGGCTAACTTCCACCCGATATTAAATCCGTCCTGCATACTCATATTCATGCCCAGTCCAACCTTTGGCGAATGAGTGTGCACTGCGTCGCCAGCAAGGAAAATGCGGTTTCCCTTGTTGAATGCTGGGGCGACGCGTTGACCTACTTGGTATGCGGTCCACCAGTCGCAGATCTGGAAGTCGAATGTGTAGGGGCTCATTATTGCTTGCACGCGCGATTTGATCTTTGCGAGGGTTATGCTTGAGCGGTCGAAGCGGGTTGATGAGTTGCCGTCGACTGTTTGGACCGGGACGTAGAGTCTGACTAGTTTTCTTTCGCGGGGAATAACTAGGATTGTTCCAGAGGAGTGGGTTATTGTTCCCAGGCGACGCATGTCCGCTAGTGAGGCCAGGTCAGCATTATGCTAGCGAGATGGGAATGGGGAGGTACTCACGGAAGTTGGAGAGAGGTACTATATCGATGACTCCCCTGTCGATATCATTCATTTAGGATCTTGGTTTCAACGGCATGGGGACTTGAGATCTGAACTGGACATACCATATGTTCTCTGTGCTTGATCCCTCCAGCGGGATATTCACCTGCTTCCTGGTCCAACTATGAGCGCCATCGCAGCCGATAATGAATTTTGCTTTCACGATCTCTGTATTGGTCTGGCGAAATCGACTTTTCTGTATCAGTTCTTCCCAGTCATCAGGTAGGACGCCGCCTTGTCCATTGACAGGTTGTAATCCAGATCCCTCTGTAGAGAGATGGCTCGGATTCGCCTCTTCATCACTCAAAGTGCGAAGCTTCACAGTGATCGGGTAAGTATCGAGGTCGTTTCCAAGTTTCTCGTCATATTCAAATGACTCGGCGATGATCCCCCGCTCCACTTCGAGATCGGAGTGTTTGCGAATTGTATCAAGAAGGAACCTCTCAATGCGCCCTTGGTTTAGTAGCATGTTGTGATGATTCGACTCGTTTATCTTGGGACTGCAATGAGGTCCCTGTCTGGTCAGTTTACCGTTTTCATCCGGGACCTTGATACTTCTTTATCAGCTGGGCTCTATATTCCCTGAACTCCCTGCTATTGTTATTAAAGAAGGATCACAAACCCAGAAATTAGCCTCGACAGCCACATGGCCTTCGTGGATAACACGATGTTGGAAACCCATGCTATCGAATAGCTCCAGGGTCCTAGGACGCAAACCATCGGCCTGACCAGTGAAGACCTTCATGCCTCTCTTGTCGATGATTCGAGCCTTTACGCCACAAACCGCCATCCAGTATGCCGCCATTAGACCCGCGGGCCCCGCGCCGATGATGAGCCTGTGAGAGCATGAGCTAGTTGTTTTCCCTTTTTAGATGGAAGTGCTTACACATCTGTCTGAGACTCAACAGTTTGGCTCTTTTCGCCTGCGACAGTCTGACCCATTATGGAATACAAATATTTACTGACGACAGAATAGCGATGCTTGGGCTTTCTTGGCACTGGGATTGAAGAGTGGGATTGTATTCTTTATATTTGAATCACCTCGGGTATATTCTATGGGTTGTATTAATACTGCAGTAGTGTGTCACCCGTTCTGCAGGTTTGATGGTGTTGCATGCAGCCAAATGCCCAATTAGTCCTATCTCTGCATGCTGACTCAGTGATCCCGCCACTTGATATTTTTATTGATATAGATGGTTCTTTTGCATGACTGAGATGAGGGAGGGAGGGTGTGACAAGGGGGGAGGTATACATAGGAGGATGCACTTTCTAGCATATCCCGTCGCTTATTAGTTCTTGAAGAAATCGGATTATTCTCCGGAGTAGTTTAGTCCGTCTATGGATCTCTGCTTCCGAACGGGTATTTTCAAAACCCGGATGTGTCCACTCTTTGCTCCACTTATTGGGTCATATGAATGGAAAGCAGAGATGATAAATGATTATGGGCGTAGCCATGCTTATGAGAGCAGAGAGTAATGGATTTGGCCTGGAACCCGAGGGTGGACGGAAGCAGTAGGTGCAGAGCCAGCGTTTAACTATTTCGGATGTTTGTATAACCTAGCGGGGCCCGTTTGGATCGGCAGCTATGTTCGCGTTACCCGAATCAGCTGGCACTGGGGCACCATCCTAGTCAAAAGATTGAGCCAGTGGTTGCACGAGGCACGGGCTACTGGAATATCAGTGCTCTTCATCTATCAAGCTTACCCCTGCATATAAAGAGGTTCATGTAAGCCACTGCAACGAATGGTATGATGGATGTACGACGGTTCAAGTTCTATGTATAGAGAAAGAAGGGAATATGAGAATCTGAGTCAGCGTGGGGGCTACGCTGCTTCTGGTACACCGAGCAATGGCCATGGACATCCCGCAATGCCCGGTGGAGATGCAGGGATTTTCTTTTTGGTGGGTTAATTCCGGCGGCTGCAGGCTGCATGCTGCAGCGGATTGACCTGGGGGTCGGATGAACCGAATTAGGGAAACCCGACAGAGATGATCGATATCCGCGTGGCAGCTGGGTATATACGGAGGAGATACTCCGTACATAATAGTAGGAGGATGATGGGGGTCGGCTACGGGTAATTTGGCTGCAGACCGGAGCAGGGTCCTCCGGGTGGTTCCCGGTGTAGAAGCTGGTGGACATGGCAGAACCAACGGTTGGGAAAGCTGGCAGGCCCAGTTTCAGTCCATTGTGACCCGCGTTGCCATGCTGATTGCACGAATGTTGTGTCGTTGAGGGATCTCAGTGCTCCGGGGGGGAGTTTATAGTGTCTATAGTGAACTATAGTGATGCCCCTCGATGAGTCAGCCAGTGCATGATGCAACCATTCGAGGATGGATAGACTGGATAGATTGGATGAACTGGATGGATGGCGATGGACAGAAGAGTAGAGTAGATTCAAAGAAGCTGGGATAGCACAGAGAAAGTATAGTAGACCAGTAAGCAGAGGTGACTCGCAATCGGGGAGAAAGAGGAATCGGTCATTGGAGCTGTCTACAGAAGTACCGTGACTTCTACAGTACTTCCTAAAGGTTGCTGCTGCCCCACCGACATCATACCCCACCAACAAATACATTCCCCCCCTCCTCCTCCCACTCTCTCTCTCTCTTCCCTCCTCATCTCCCCTTTCTACCCCAATTGTCTTTTTTAAATGTGAGTCCTAAAATCAGCTACTTCGGTCGCTACTGCTATTGTTTCTCTTGCTAATTCATTCCCTCTCTAGAATCTGCCATCATGGGTTACTCTGATCTGGACAAGTTGGCTATCAACACCATCCGTGTTCTCGCGGTATGTTCCCTTTCCCCTCCTTGACAGGTTCTTCATGTGCAATTGGATCCCCTCCGATAAGCACTATGCGCTGGCTGCAACTCTGCAACTCCGCAACTTCTACAAAGCTCTGATTGACCGTGACTGACCCGTTTCAACAGGTTGATGCCACCTCGAAGGCCAACTCGGGTCACCCCGGTGCCCCCATGGGCATGGCCCCGGTCTCCCACGTTCTGTTCAACAAGTTCATGAACTTCAACCCCAAGAACCCCGACTGGGCCAACCGTGATCGTTTCGTTCTTTCGTATGTCTAGTCGCCTTGATCTCTCATTCCCCCAAGAGATCAATCAATTACCAACCCCGCCATTGCCCGGCGGCTTCCCCCGCTTCCCAAGGCAAATGAGACCGGCCCTAACCAATGTCCATCCAACAGCAACGGCCACGGCTGCATGCTGCAGTATGCTCTGCTGCACCTCTTCGGCTACGCTCTCTCCATGGATGACCTGAAGAGCTTCCGTGTACGTCATCCATCTGCATCTTTCCGTGGCGTTGCGCCACCAGACTGGACATCCTACTGATTCTTGCCCCGCAGCAAATCGACAGTATCTGCCCCGGTCACCCCGAGTCTCACGACACCCCCGGTATTGAGGTTACCACTGGTCCTCTGGGTCAGGGTTTCTCCAACGCCGTTGGTCTGGCCATTGCCCAGGCCCACTCCGGCGGTGTCTACAACAAGCCCGGTTTCGAGCTGTTCAACAACTACACCTACACCTTCTTCGGTGATGGCTGCGCTATGGAGGGTATCGCCTCCGAGGCTGCCTCCATGGCTGGTCACCTTAAGCTGGGCAACCTGATTGCCATCTATGACGACAACCACATTTCCATTGGTGAGGATCAGCCCAACTGTACCTCTTCCTAAAGAACGCAATCGAAACTAACAATATTCGCTAGATGGTGACACCAAGTGCGCTTTCACTGAGGACGTCATGCAGCGCTTCGAGTCCTACGGCTGGCACACCGAGTGGGTCAAGGACGGTGACAACGACCTCCAGGCCATTGAGGATGCTATCCGCAAGTGCCAGCAGGTCACTGACAAGCCCTCCGTTATCAAGCTGACCACCACCATCGGTTTCGGCTCCAAGCTGGCCGGTACTGGCGGTGTTCACGGTAACCCTCTCAAGGCCGATGATGCCCAGCACGTCAAGAGCCAGTTCGGCTTCGACCCCAACCAGAGCTTCGTCGTTCCCCAGCAGGTCTACGACCTCTACAACCAGCACGCCGCTGAGGGTGCTGCCAAGGAGCAGGAGTGGAACCAGCTCTTCCAGAAGTACCAGCAGGCTCACCCCACTGAGGGTGCTGACCTGGCCCGCCGTCTGGCTGGCAAGCTCCCCGAGGGCTGGGAGAAGAAGCTCCCCACCTACAAGTCCACTGACGCCGCCGTCGCTTCCCGCAAGCTGTCCGAGGCCGTCCTGGAGAGCATCCACGATGTCATCCCTGAGCTGCTGTCCGGCTCTGCTGATCTGACTGGCTCCAACAACACCCGCTGGAAGAACGCCGTTGACTTCCAGCCCCCCCCAGTATGGCATTGGTGAGTGGTCTGGTCGCTACCTCCGCTACGGTGTCCGTGAGCACGCCATGGCTGCTGTCATGAACGGTCTCGCCGCCTACGGCACCGTCATCCCCGCCGGTGGTACTTTCCTGAACTTCGTCTCCTACGCCGCCGGTGCCGTCCGTCTGTCGGCTCTGTCCCGCGTCCGTGTCATCCACGTCGCTACCCACGACTCCATTGGTCTGGGTGAGGACGGCCCTACTCACCAGCCTATTGAGACCCTGGCTCACTTCCGTGCCCTGCCTAACTGCATGGTCTGGCGCCCGGCCGACGGTAACGAGACCAGCGCCGCCTACTACATGGCTCTGACCTCCAAGCACACTCCCTCCATTCTGGCCCTGACCCGCCAGAACCTGCCCCAGCTGGAGCTGTCCACCATTGAGAACGGTATCAAGGGTGGTTACGTCGCCGTCGACACCCCCAACGCTGCCGTCACCCTCATCTCCACCGGTTCCGAGGTCAGCATCTGTATCGAGGCTGCTGAGTACCTCCAGAAGAACCACGGCATCGCTGCCCGTGTTGTCTCCGTTCCTTGCTTCGAGGTCTTCGATGCTCAGGACAAGGCCTACCGCCTCCAGGTTCTGCCCGACGGCATCCCCGTCCTGTCCGTCGAGGCCTGCTCCACCATGGGTTGGGAGCGTTACTCTCACGAGCAGTTCGGTCTCAACCGCTTCGGTGCCTCCGGCCCCTACAAGCAGGTTTACGAGGTATGTGTATTAGAATCTCTTTATATCTGGCATCTGATACTAACTTTCCACAGAAATTCGAGTTCACCCCCGCTGGTATCTCCAAGCGCGCTATTGCCACCATTGACTTCTACAAGGGTCACTCCGTGCGCTCCCCCATCAACCGTGCTTTCCAGCAGATCCTGTAAGGAACGAGATATGTCAAAATGTTTTTGCTTTTTAGTCAAGGTGCGACAGCCCTTAGACACGATATTTCAAGACAATAGAGCGATGTCTATCACAGTTCATTCTCGTATATACAATTGTAGTTGTATAACTGTAGTATGACTAGTCACGTACATATCTCAAGTTGACGATTGACCTTGGGCACGCCACTCTAGCAATCCTTCTGCAGCGCAAGGATATTTCTCAACATAGCTTCTTTCTTCGCCCGCATCTCAGCTGATGTCGAAGGACCATACGCCTCTTCCGTTTGACGAACCACCTCCGCTCTCCATTTCTCCTTCTCTGAAACATTCTCATCAACCCCAGCCTGCTGCCTCTCTCCCTCGGTAAGAATATCAATCTGTCCCAACTGACTCCAGACATCTTGCACAGTCGGCGCCAACTTCTGCAAAAAGCCCCCAATCCCACCTTCCCCACCACCAGCATGATAACTCTCAAAAGGACCACTTCCCGCCCACCGCGGACCCAGACTAGAAGTAACAATCGCGTCCAAATCTCGCGCCGAAACCACCCCCTCGCCAACCAGGTACGAAGCTTCACGCAACAGCGCAAAGGCAAGCCTGTTCCCCACAAACCCAGGAATCTCCTTGCGCAAAATAACAGGTCGATAATGTTGCACGAATTGTCCCGGGTCACTCTTCATCTCTTCCCTCTCTAGTTCCGAAGAAACAGCCGCCGCCGCAGAAGAACCGGGCTCTATATTCGACGGACCAGGCGTAGTCTCAAAATACGTCTTCACAAAATCCACCCTCTCCGACCTCGTCACTGGACTAGGCACAATTTCCACCAGCGGCATCACATGCGGCGGGTTAAATGGGTGCGCAACAAGTAATCTCTCCGCAACGCGAGGAGGACACTTCTCTGCCTGAGCCGAAGGCAAAATTCCCGAAGAACTACTCCAAAGATGCGCGCTGGGATCTGCGTGCCGAGCGACCTCGGTCCAGAGCGCTTGTTTCGAGTCCGTCTTTTCGGGACTTTGCTCTTGGATGATGGTCGCTGTTTCGACGGCGGCGGCGAGGGTAGGTGCTGTTGCCAGTCGAGATGTTGATAGTAGTTTGGTTATTGGGTCTTTTGAACCGTCTAGTCCAGGGGTGGTAGGGTCTAAGAAGGCGGGGAGGTGGCTGCGGAGCTGTGTATTGAAGTCTGGGCGTGGGTCGAAGATTGTTACTCTTGTGTCGGGTCGGCGGAGGTGCAGGGCTACCATTGATAGACCGATTGTTCCTGCGCCTAGGACGGCGATGTGGTGGGTGTATTCTGGCATGGCTGATAGCTGTTGGGGGAACTGAGAGGTTGGTGTGAGAGCTTGAAGGAGAGACGACTTGGAAATTTGGGGTATCGGGTTGGGTTCAGTTTGAGGCGGGGGAACGCGGGGATCCGAGGTTGTCCCAATCTGGAAGTATACTATTTTCACTACCTAGGTATCATCATATATTCATTTTGATTCTGCATATTAATCCTTTGATTATAAAAAGACTAGGTGTCACAATGGAGGGATACACAACAGGATGGAAGAGCCAAGATTACTAGTATTGAGTCATAGAGCCACTCCTAACACCTCAATGCCATCTGGCCCTCACGCCGCTGCATTACCTGCTTAAAGCAAGGGTACTGCCCATGATGTTTATAAAGCACTTTCAGGACCGGGGCGCAGATGCGAATTCCCAGGACAAAACCGGCAAGACGCCTCTTCATCATGCTGCCATGGTAGATAAGAATGATGGTTCTCGAGTGCCAGTTCTTTTTTTGCGCATGGTGTTGATACCTAGGTATGCTAGGTACCTACCTAGGTAGGCTATTTCACTATGTTAGTTTTATAAAGTTATAAAAGAGTTATCATAAAGACTATAATAATACTAACTTTAATAGGAAAAAGTAGTCTAGCTATAAAAGTAAGAAACAAAGAGTATAAAGGCTAATAAAAAGATTTAATAGTAAGTACTTAGAAAATAAGAAGGACAAGGACGGAGTGACTGCGCTTGATATAGCTGCGAGCAAGAAAAATCACAACGATTTTACGATCAAGCATTTGGTCGAGAAGGGAGGCGAATGTGATATGGGGACTGCATGTGCGAGAAGAAGGGTTCAACGCGGACGAGCATAGGTGAAAACGAAGAGGGCGCTTCGGCTGAAGCCATCGATTTAACAAACCGTAGGTGGACAACGGCCCATCAGCACTATCTCGCTGCCAATATCTTTGAAGTCATCCCAATTCAAGAGCTATAATTGTTCAACTACATGCACACAATATGGAGAACGAAATTCATTCATCATGATATAATTCATAACCCTAACTTTTCAGAACAAAACCCATACAAGGAAACCACTTAGTTACCAAGAGCCTTGCGAGCGAAGTTAGGCAGGATAAAGCTGGCGCGGTGGATCTCCTTGTTGTAGTAGCGGCACAGACGCTCCTCCTCCTCGGGGGACCAAGAGCGAAGGGGCTCCTTGACGTTGCGGGTGGCATCCTTGCAGCAGACCATGAAGCCGATCTGGCCGGAGGGGTAGGTGGGGATGGTGGTGTAGGCGTACTCGGCGACGGGGAAGACCTCGTTGCAGGACTTCTTCAGCTCGGCGATGAGAGGGAGGTGGAGCCATTGGTTCTCGGCTGTGTAGATGAAGGCACAGTTCCGCGAAACCGAGCCCAAAACGGGTTGGTTGCGGTGGTGGTGCGAGAAGGTTAGCCTGGGTTCTTTGCGGAATGGGAGGAAGAAAAGAAGCAGAAAGCAGAGAAAGAAAGCAGAAGAAAATGTCAAGTGGAGAAATGCAAAGAAGAAGAAGAAGAAGAAGAAAAGAAAGAAAAGAAAGAAAAAGAAGAAGAGAGACAGGATAACGTATTTAGTAATTGGGGTAGTTGAGAGATTGGGGATGGGGGATGGGCAAGATGTAACGAGACGATGCAAAGGAAAGGCAACGAACAACCTTGGGTGGTGATGACACCGCCAGCGCGGAGGGCATCGTTGAGGAGCTCAAAGTAGGGCTTCTGGAAGAGAGACTCGGCGGGACCCTCAGGGTCGGAGGAGTCGGTGATGATAACATCGAACTCATCCTTGTGGTTCTTGAGGAACTCGAAACCGTCACCAACGTAGGTGTGGGCGTTGGGGTGCTCGAAGCCGACGGCCATGCCGGGCAGGTACTTCTTGGAGAGACGGATGACAGCCTCGTCAATGTCGCAGAGAGTGGCGGACTTGACGGACTCGTGCTTGACGACCTCGCGCAGGACACCACCGTCACCACCACCGATGACGAGAACCTTCTCGGGGTTGGGGTGGGAGTTCAGGGCCAAGTGGGCGATCATCTCCTGGTAGGAGAACTCATCACGCTCGGTGCACTGGATGACGTTGTCCAGAACAAGGACGGTACCGTAGTCGCTGGAGTCGAAGATGAGGACGTCCTGGTACTTGGACTTCTCGTGGTGCAGGACACGGTCAACCTTCAGGCTCATGGCCTGGCCGGGCCACATGCCGGACTTCTCGGAGAACCAGCCATCTATAGCCGGGAAAAGAATTCGAGGTTAGTACAATGTTCAATTGATCAAAGTGTATACCTAGGTAGGTGAGGGGCAAGGTGGGATGAAGATGCCGCGATGGTGGGGTAGCAGCAGGGGAAGATCAATAGATCAATTCGGAGATTAGGGGATATATAAGGTATGATATCCCATAGAATATAACATACCCTGGATAGTGGGGTGAGTGATCTCGCTCATGGTGAAGGATGAAGTAAAACGAGGAAAGGATCTAGAAAGACGTAAAGATGAAGAAAGAAGAAGAGAACGCAGCATGGGAAAGAAAAGAGGGACTGGCGGAAGTTTGGCTGTTTTGGGCCGCGAATTTTTTGCGGATTTGAAGTGGGGCACTTTTCTCACTTCTTTTACCTGATGAGGCCAACCATCGAGCTATCAGCTAACAGAAATTGGCTGTGGGACTAGTTGCACCTTGACCAGGACCAGTTGAACAGTTGGTGCTGGTCCAGTTGGTCATTTCTGCTCTACACAGTCCAGTCCAGTCCAGTCCAGTCCTGCACAACCCAATTGGTGCGCCAGGGTGCGCTGCCGGAGTGGAGATAGGAGATATCTCAGCCAATCGATCTCCCTCAAATCACGCTGACCTTGACAACTTCACCTTCCGACACATACACAAACGCCTTTTTACACAGAGAACTCAAATGGACAAAGGAAAAGCCAAGTGGTCGATTGCTTTCTACTGTACAAATGATACAGCGGCGCCGGACTCTATCGCGCGACTTCCGGTATAACCCAATAATTCTCCATTCATTTCCTGCAACGCATAAAAAAGACAAATTTACTCATCTCCACCCTCGAGCATGCGGCCGGGCTTGGACTGCAGGTAGTGGTTGCTGCGGAGACTGTCAGTATACTATTCTATCACATCTACAGCTCCCTTGCTGGTAGAAATATCTTACCGCTCAACGGCCCAGTTCAGAGCAGCGTAGGCAATGACAAAGGGAGGAACAACGTAGAGAACCTGTCCACGGAAACGACGGAAAGTGTTGAAGATGGCGGCGTGGAAAGCACCGGCGAAGGGGCGCTGACGGTTGGAGGAGAGGGCATAGGTGGCGATGCGCTGGGGGGTAGGGCAGCCTGAAGAGGTCGTGGGTTAGTATTGGCGGTTTCAATTTGCGATCGGTTCAGTCGATCAATTGATCAGGATGGTCCCCATTCCATCATCTGTATTGGGAGCCCAAAGAGATTGTGGTCCTGGTGGTGATCGCATCTCGACGGAATCGGGGAAGGGAATCTAGGGAAGGTGACTGTGAACGTACCGAAAGCACCCCAGTTGCCAATGTAACTATCAGATGAGGTCAGCATATATTCTTATATATCCTAGTTCGCAAGAGCCCGTCGCATGAAGGCAGAGTCTCCCCTCAGTCAGGGAAGGAGACTCGATTAGGACCGATCGAGCGGGTGCGTCCGGGCGGCACACACATCCCCAGCTGTGGCCGGGGATTTAGGGCGAATTGAGGGTACTCACTGGCCAGTCTTAGCGTTGGCGTGACCACCCATAGTGAAATATAGTCGCGCGAAGAGAAGGTGTGGGAGGAGAGAGGAGGGAGGTGGTGGATATCGAGGTTGAAAAAGGATAGCAGGATAGGCTCGGGTGAAGTTGGAAGTTGGGGGGATATCCACACTAAACCCAATTGGGTTCAGCCATCCAACTTCGTCTTTTCTGGGCAGCTCACCACCACCACTCACCTCCATCCTCCCCCCTCTATACCCCTACTCCATCGCCATGGCCAACGCCCTCTATAACATTTATCGGCTGGCTGGCCCTGTCGCCGCTGGTGCCATTCTTTGGAACTCCTCCATCTACGATGTCCGTGGAGGAACTCGCGCCGTCATCTTCGATCGCTTGTCCGGTGTGCAAGACACCGTTGTCAACGAAGGCACCCACTTCTTGATTCCCTGGCTGCAGCGGGCTATTGTCTACGATGTGCGCACAAAGCCCCGCAACATCTCCACAACAACCGGAAGTAAGGATTTGCAGATGGTCAGCTTGACGCTGCGTGTGCTACACCGTCCGGAGGTGCCGAAGCTGCCGCAAATCTACCAGGTACGATGAGCTGAACAACCACCCCCAATCTAAGCATCGCAGCATCTATACCAGCATCTAACACATCGTCCATCTGAATAGTCATACGGTACCGATTACGACGAGCGTGTTCTCCCCTCCATCGGTAACGAAGTCCTTAAGGCCATTGTCGCCCAGTTTGACGCCGCCGAGCTTATCACACAACGTGAGGCCGTCTCCAACCGGATCCGTACCGACCTTCTCAAGCGTGCCGGCCAGTTCAACATCGCCCTGGAGGATGTCTCTATCACCCACATGACCTTCGGAAAGGAGTTCACCCGCGCCGTCGAGCAGAAGCAGATCGCCCAGCAGGATGCCGAGCGGGCACGATTCATCGTCGAGCGTGCCGAGCAGGAGCGTCAAGCCAACGTTATCCGCGCCGAGGGTGAAGCCGAGAGTGCCGACATTATCAGCAAGGCCGTCGCTAAGGCCGGTACCGGTCTGATCGAGATCCGTCGCATCGATGCTAGCCGTGAGATCGCCCAGACTCTGGCCAACAACCCCAACGTCACATATCTGCCTGGCGGCGAGGGCAAGGAGGGTGGCAAGAGCACTAGCCTTCTCTTGGGTCTCCGGAGCTGAAAAGCGCAACAGGGCCTGGATGAGGAGGAATTAAGGATTTGAAGGGCGGTGTTTGGCGGCGCCCCGTTTTTTTTTCTCGTTTTTGTTCACTCGAGAACTGTACCATTTAATCGCCAAATTCGCGTGTCCGAGAGGGTATCTTCGAGCTTTGCATGTTCCCCGCGGCGCGACAGATGGGCTATGACTGTCCATCTTGATTTTTTTTTCTGAACTGTAGCAATACCAATACCTCTACTCCATATCGGAACGATATCGTTGATGCTGTATATCCAATGTAGTCATATATTCATGATGTGATATCTAGTATTAGTATATACTACCTAGGTCGTACCCTGCCAATATCTCTACCTCAGAGCCGGCGGTATAAATGTACCTGGAATCGCATATCTTCCAAACCCGCACCCTCCCCGACCTTATACCGCAATTGCTCAGCATCACGTCTCCACCACCGCGAATCCTCAGTATATATCCTCTCCCACTTCCCCTCCGCCACCGAGAGCAGTGTATGATCAAGAAGGAACTTCATGGGGTAATTTCTCTCCACCGGAGCCCCATCCTTATCCTTCCCCATCTTCAGAGTCGAGTAACTACCCGGACTATCAACCACGAAAAGCACCGCATTCGAAGGAAGGATTTCCGTCATGCGAAGTAAAAACCCCGTCGTCTTAGCCATAGACGTAGAAAACAGCTCATTCAGCGTAAACATAAGCGTGACGAGGATAGAAGATGAGCCCGTGTCCAAAAGCACATCTTTTAATTGATCCTCCGGAACACCCAGAACGTCATCCTTTCGAAAGGAAACGGAGAATCCCCCATCACCATCCCCCTCCCCTTTCGACGGAACAAGCGGCGGCTGATACTCGGAGCTTCGCAGGGCGTACACGGCATCAGACGCAATCGTCCTCTCCAATCGTCGAACAACACCCGACCAATCCGCAATGTCAACCGCCGCAACCGAAAGTCCCCTGGCCGGAGAAGAAGAGACAGCCTCAATTGTATCCTCAGCATCAACCTCAGTCTCCCCCTTGCTCTCCGTGTCTTCCAAAGAAAGCGACCCCAATTCCAATCCCTGCCCCTCCTCCTGCCGAAGACTCCGCCACGCAGCAGCAAGCGCAACAATTTCGGCCCCAGCACCACCACCAATGCAAACGACTCTGGTCCGAGCAGTCCCAGATATAGTATCAAGTTCTTTTTCTCTCCCATTCCCATTCTCATTCTCCATCCACTTCAGCACAGTCCTAAAAAGCCCCGCATACCCCAACGCGCGCGCCGCGCTCCACCGCAACGCATAAGCGCGCAACAAGTCCTCGCCCGCGTCCGTGAATGCAGAATCAAAGTCGCGCTGGTAGAGGTGTGTTTTTATCGTTTGGATGAGGGTTTTTGTATCGAGTTCTTCGTCTTGCGGGGTATCTTCAGAGATATCTTGGGATGCGCGTGCGCTTGCGGATGCGGGGTTGGATGTGAGAAGGGCGGTTTTAAAAACGTCTAGGACGAGTTGTTGTAAGGAGATTGGGATTGCGGTGTTGAAGTCGAGTGAGGGGTTGGTTGATTGGGACTTGGGCTTGTCATTGCTGGGTTTTAAGCGGGTGGGTTGTTTCGACTGGCGGGTTCGTTGTGATTGGGATTGGGATTTTGCTTTGGAGCCTTTTCGGCGGTCGGATTGACCTGGTGGCATTGTTGTATTTTCGAATTCCAAGACTTTGTATATATATTTCAATGGCTATGGGAAATCCCAGGAAGAGCTGAAGATGCTGGTGGGGAGTGAGGTGGGGTGAAAGGACGAGTTTAAACTATGGAAAGGCCTTGGGATGGAAACTTTTTGGCTTATCGGAGCTTATCGGGGCACTACTTGAGTGGATAGGACACCTTAGTGGACTATTCTACTTGAAGGTAAGGTACTAGTAAGGAGGGACACCCCCTTTGACTATCTGAATACCCTATCCTGCCTATTTAGAAAAGGTGCTGTATGTGTGAGCTACAGTAGGATGCCAGAATTCTACTTTCTCACCGCCAGGTAGGTAACTAAGTATGTGCCAGTACTATCTTAGTAACCAATTATATACGACCTTAAAGTTAGAATAGGTAGATATCCGATTGTCCTATTAGCAGAAACCAAAGTGCCAGCTGCATCTACTACGTTATATACTACTTTCTGACCAAATTCCTAAATAGACAGGAGATGGTGTTCAGATAGCCAAAGGGGTGTCCATTTAGTAGTGCCCGCTTATCGAGTCAAATTGCCGCTACCTAAGTACGCCTTGGGAAGGACTAGGTACCCCACGCCGAAAAATAGAATAGAACCACGGAAATGAATGAAAAAAGTAGTCCCCTCCAAGATCGGGGATTAAGAATGTTATTTCAGGCAACCCGCCATAGAGAAAAGAAAGGTAGATAAAGTGAGGAAATAAAATGAGAGGTCCGCATTGGGACAGCGATCGTAGAGAAAGTCAATGAAACCGTGCGTTGATTCACGCCGGGGACATGAACGATAGACAGGAAGATGACAGCACGTCGTACTCAGGCGGCGACAGGTGGAAAAACGCCTGGGGGTAAAGAGATTCGTAATAAGAAAGTCTACCACGAGGCAGGAGGGAGGGGAAAGGCAGAAACAACCGCCTAACAGCAGGAATGAACAGTCAAGATCAAAGAAGAAGAATGAACAGGAAGTCCGGTGCCAGATATGTACAAAGCAGTCGGAAAGAATGCTTAGGCAACCAGATGGAGAACAGAAGGTAGCTGGGATGAAATGCGAGAGAAAAGCAGATAACTCAGACAGGATATCGCTATGCCGAGATTACGCCAGGAAATCAAATTAAATGCATTGGGATCAAAGAGTAGACATAGACACTGGTCAAGGATGTTCGGAGGGAGTCTCCACCTCGGTGATTGTGCTTGTCTTCTCCTTGTCCTTCAGTTTCCAGAAATGCATCAGTCTGCTTATACGGCGGCTCTTCTTCTTGCTTTTGTCGGGCGAGTCCCCAGGGGGCTTCTCTTCTTGATAGAGTTTGCTCCGCTCCGAGTGCGGGCCGCCAACCAACTTGGAAAGACTAGCAAGACTAGACCTCTTCGATGCGTTGGCCTGACTGCTACGCCGGTTGACCGCGGCAGAGAAGGATGCGGCCCGGTCAGTCGATAGTCGAGCCCGAGGGAAGAATGAAGCAGAAAATCGATTCATCGTGTTGGTCATTGTCGATGCACTGCTCGTGAGAGATGGAACATCTTCAACTGAGGCGTGGTTGTAATAATCAGAAGGAAGGTGGTGATATGAATGGCTCGAAAAATAACGGTCGTTGAACATTCGTGGCGCATCGGGTGATGGGAACGACGAATCCGAGGGCGAAACTCCAGCAGAAAGAGACAGCGGAGGAATGTTAGGTTGAAGGTCGTGGGGAGAAGTAGCTGGACGCTTATCAACAGCTAAGAAACCAGGGGAAACATCTGGACTAGGAGGCCCCGGTGCTCTAGCCACAGATTCCTCTGACCTGAGAATTTCCACCGGGCTGCGAGGCGGCCTTCCAAAAGGATTGGCACTGTGCAAAGGTTGTCTGGCAGTCTGCTCCATTGGCGCAAATGCAGAGAGAGAATTATCAGCCTCATCCGGCGCCTGAATACCGAGGCCCCGATGCTGGGGGGCTCTAGGCTTGGGCGTAGGTTCAACTGTCGTTTCAGACAAGGGCTCGACGATGGGTGCAGATACGGATGTGGGAGTGGGCGCTGTCTCAGCTGCAGACTCTGGCGCCCGAGTCAAAGTGTCACCAGTATCATCGCTTTTGGCCGATTGGCTATCCACCTCCGAGGTAGAAGAAAACGCAGCTGCAATCTGACTAGAAACGAGTTCGTTCCTGGGTGACGAATTGGCAGCCAAAAACTCATCTTCTTCCTCCTCGTAGAAAACATCTGGGGTTTCGACTCCAGTGGCACCGCCCAGGCGGATGGGACCCAGAGAACTACGATCGAATGGAGTCATGATAGGTGCACTCTCAGTGCGGCGATGATATCGCATTTCTGGACCAACAAATTCACCGCGTCGCCCACCACTGTACATGCGCTGGGACGCCACGGTAAATTTGCTCAAGTTTCCTTTTCCTGATCGCATATCGGGAGTGTTGAAGGGTCCAAGTGCAGCATCGAGGTCGATAATTGGGCTACTCAAGACTTCATCCTGCGCAGTTTGTTCGTAGAAGCTTCGGGGTTTCCACGCTGATTCGAGGGAAACGGTTGGGACAGGCGGTATATCCTTATCACGTTCCTCGGCCGAAACTGGGGCTTCGGTGTTGGTGGGAGTTCTAAGAACGACAACATCGTCGTTATCAAAATCAACTTCCATGAAGGACCCGACTTCTGAATTAGTTCGAGTGAGTGCAGGGGGGGCGCAAGGTCTTCTTTTCTTTTCGTTCGGGACTCTCTGACTTCTCGGTCTCTGGCTTAGCATGGCGTTTACCCTTGCTACGGCCGAGAAGGGAACCAGCCCAGTGACGAACACGCTTCTGTTTCTTCTTCTTAGATCGCGATTTTTTCGTCGCATGAGGGTCGTCTCCTTCGTCTTCTGTGTCGCTAGGAGATTCGGATCCATCGTCGGAGAATGAGGGGCGAGATGTATCAGTCGAGTGCGCATCAGTTTCAGTATTGGCGTGAGGATTAAGATGCCGAGCGGATACGCTCTTGTGAGCACGAGAGTGTCCAGTGGATTTCGATCGTTTAATTGCAGTGACATCAGACGCATTTTGGCTCTGCATCAAATCGAAAGCTAGCGAAGCGTCGGCGGTTTTCGGCCTCGGCTTTGTCGTACGCTTCTGGACTGGGACCTGCTCTATGGGTCCAGTATTATCCGGACGTTGAATGGGAGCAGCTGCTGGAATCTGAGGAGCTTCCTGAGATGCCGCTGACACAGGTCGGCCAATATCTAGATCTTCAGTCATCGGAGCAGGCTGAAGATGAATGTTGCTAGGAATAGGAGGAACGGGAGGAATAGACGAGACAGGTGGAAATTGGGGAGATGCCGGAGGCGTAGGGCGCCCAATGCTCGTCGCCGAATAAGAGAGTGGGCGTTGATTATCTTCATGTTTCGAGTCGAAGGTGCGATCGCCAGGGGTAGTTGGGACACTTGGAGCGGCCGAATTGGACCCCAGTGCCTTTTGGATGGCGTTCAGGTCGACGCCAGAGACCGCAGCCGAGCGACGATGGGCGTGATGCCGCCGTCCAGGTCCTCTGCCAGGTGGAGGGCCTGAGGGGACAGCGGGCTGTGGTGTCGGAGACGGAGGTTCATCCCGCTTGTCGGCGACAGCAACCCCTGTATCTGGAGTCACTAATTGATCACCTCCCACGAATTCACTCGGTCGTCGTCGGTGACCCCCGCCTCTCGGATTTGGAGGGGGTGCGGGTGAGGGCTGGAGTGACTGGCCTGCGCCGGGGTTGAAGGAAAAGGCCGGAAGAGCGGGCGGCGTTTGACGGTCGGTCTCCTGGTCGGCAACATCCGGATCTCGGGCAGGGAAGATGAAAGGCGGGTTCGGCATGGGAGGCATGGTTAAGCGACGGCTGGCAATGGTGTCTGATCGAGGAGGAGAATCGAAATGCTGTGCAAAGCCCGCTTGAGGCTGCGGGGGAAGGGAAATTGAAGCCATCAATGCTGTGTGCAGTATAAAAGAATTTGAACAAGAAGTCGAAAAGAAGGCAGAGAATCAAAAGTAAATAAGCGGTCGACAAGATCCAGATGGACACCAAGACCTCCAGACCGATTTGACTTCCCTGCGGTTGGAAAGTCCAAAGAATCTGGAGGTCGGATTTAATTACCTCGAATGAGGGACATGGGATCTTTCCGCGCCAGGCAGAGATGGTGTAAATTCAGGGCGAAAGCTGAAGCAGAGGTGATTAAGGAATGGACGGCCACGACGGAGGCCAAGGAGGATGGGGTGGGGTGAGGTGGTGAAGGGTGGAGGGCGAGAAGAGTCGTATAGAGAGATGTGAAAGGGAAAAGAAGAGGCAAAGCAGAACAACACTGGAAGGGTCAGGCAGGCGTTGGCAGGAGAGGAGGGAAGGAGGAGGGGTAATACGATACATACATACAGTGTACCGTATTATCCACCCCAGCCGATTGTGATAAACCAATACTGGAAATACCCCCAAATACGGGAGATTGGCTATCTTAGCGTACCTTAGCGTATACCTTGTACGGTATACTTTCACTTCATACACTTCCCTCCTCCACTACTGCACAGAGAAGGGGGGCCACACCCTTGACTCGGCCAAAAGAACTACGATTGGCAATGGTCATATCATGACCAAATTCACCAACATTCCACGCAAGCCACGAGAGGGCCCAGATCGGGCTGTCAAAAAAGAACCTTTGGAAGAATAATTCTTCTGGAATGTACACGGACTACTCCGTATCTACGGAACTACTCTCCTCCAACCAATTTTTGGGTCCTTGGCTTGTCAGTGAACATCGTCATGACTTTGAGGGTTGGTTGCCCCTAGTCAAGCCCAAGCAGTTCGTACGGAGTACTGCTAACTAATTTAATAGCAACCCTGGGGCCGCCCTCCGTGCTCCGTACTCCGTACACCCTCTGTACTGTACACACACAGGATCCTGGGGTCCAAGCTGACGTGCCAATGAACATGCGCACGCATCCGGAGAAAAAGTGGGTTATAGGCACCAATGAGTCTAAAATCGGCATGACCTGTCGGGCAAATCTCGCTTGGTGTGGTGGGTCTCTCAAGGACGCCACGCTGGGGATGCAAAAGCCAGAAAGACAGGGAGGAACATGCAAGTCACTGTGGAGGGCACTAATTCTGTCGACTCCTCTCTCCAACATCGCTGTCATCATCAAAATACCAGTTTAATTGTGATCTTGGTGGGGATAGCAGGCCCATTGAATGTCCACAGGTGGAGAGATGACCACGACCCATCTCCATCCATCCATCACCCGGGAGATTGCCAGGTTGCCTTTTCTCGCAGGCAGACTCCATTGTCTCTGCCTTGGCAAAAACCCAGTCCAATCGGATATAAATAGGCTGCGGCCAGCTTTAGCGCCGACTTGACCGAGGATGGACTGCGAGTGGGGGCAGAGAGGGGGGGGGGCCAACTGAGATCATGTTCATGTTCATGGCAGCTGAAGCACTCCCTGCGCGCCATCGGGTCAAGGCACTGAAACAATGAAACCTCGACTCTCACCCCCTGGCGTCCGAGGGGAACGAGTGCATTGACAAGGGGCCAATGACAGGAGGATCCGCCATGCAAATTGCATGTGGGTTTGCCCGTTCAGCCAAGTTCGACGTGGGGCCGATCGGCGTGAGGCCAATTGGGGCGGCAACGGGAGATCCGGCGTGCAGCAATAGCCTGAGTCCGATTCAATATTCAATTTCGGAGGTCAAATATTGCATCAATGGTGTCTATTGTCCCATCCCGTGGTATTCTCGTGCGGCTTGAGGGTTGCATCGTTGTGGCGATGCAAATGATACTCGTCGTGAAAGTCAAGACTGCCCCCTATTCACCAACATCTTCGAAGAATATACGTATGCTTCTAAGTATCAATAGATGTACTCTGTACTGTAAGTAAGTACAATACGGGAGATGAAACTCCAGCGATACGCGTATGCTGCCAACTTCAAGTGGATCTGATTCGCGGACCATAATGCAATCGCCACTCGCAATCGTTTCAATTCTCGTTTGACAGTTTAGTGCTGTCAATCAACATCTTTGAAACTCCAATCCAATTCAAGTTTCGATTTCAATCGCAACTCGGAGCTGGCGAACCTCCTCCGTGTCCGACACTCCGCCCACCCAACATGTTCCTCCGGGATGCCGACCCGGACCATGGATTGTCGTTCGAGGGGCCCACGGACAGTTCTGTGGAGTGTAGCCCTGTCCGAGCCCGAGCAATCCGACCGAGTGGTCAAATCCGTTTTCCATGATTCGGTCAATCAAGGTTGTGGCCTTTTGCCTTTGTTTGGTTCTTCCAAAGAGTTTATTCGCACAGCTACCCTCTTTTAGGAAGGCGACCACTGTCAGACTTTTACTTCAACCGGGCCGGCTACAAATGTCATGCCATGCACATAGAATACATCACGAAGACCGAAATTCTCTATACGAAGTAGGCTGCAATCCCTGGATGAAGGATTGTGGAGACGCCAGGGTGAATAACGTCGTGGTCAGGGCTCTCCTTAGGGGATGCCCTTGTAACGCCGGACTCTTGGCATCCGACTATAATCACCGGTAACTATGTTCTACAGATTCTTTACCTCTCATGACTAGCATCAAGGCTAGCAAGAGAAATGGCAAAGACTAGCTTGATCTGCCGGTCGCGGTTGAAATCATTTTTCGTTCTTGGGAATTCTAGAACCGTGAGATAGTACTTCCAACCCGTACCTTCGTACTGATCCTTGTACAGCATGCCGGTAGTCTTGTTTCACCTTATGCAGGGGACCCTTTTGGACAGTCATCGGAAGATCATTTTGATAACGTCTCTAGGCAAGGGCTGGGCGGTCACAAACTGCCAGCCTATGTTTGCTGACCTTAGCTGGAACTTAATTAATTCTATGCGTGTGTACAGAAGAGCATATATCAATGTTTTACCTACTACTAGTAGTGAAATAGCCTCTTATAGTTCTCAGCCAAAATTCTGCAAGCCCACCCATACTGAATAAATCACAACATTGGAACCATGGAATCTTGGAATAGCCGCCAACACGGTATACCCAATGCATGGTGCATTTATTGGTGGCTGCCGGGGATTCCAAGGTTGTAGCTATCGGACTCGTGGATGTGTTAGTTGACCATCAGTTGCATTCGGCCGGAAGGACGATGAAAGCCGGCCATCGGATTCTGGCCATTTCGCTCTGGTCTGCAGATGCCTCTAAGTGCACGTGGAGTGAGCTCGCAAAAAGAAAAGAAATAGCCCCCTTCGCAATTTCGCGGTTGATTTCTAGATGGGTCTCGTGGGGATGCTACGAAGGGACGATCTCGCCCCGACATCCTCGCACATCAGGGGATGGATAAGCTTCGAGGGTCAAGATGTCAAATCCATCCTGCAGCGAGGACCCATCAGAGTCCTGCTTCAGAATATAGGTCGTTTTTGGAAAGTATCGTAGAGAATGCCGGTTAAGTCTGCTGCAGAGTGAAACATTACGAGGTATGCTTAGTATCCAAAACATCTATACCTTGAGACGAGTTCACTTCTTCGCAAACGGGGTCTACTTACCTATTATTATGGATGAGCAACTTCGTGAAACGGCAAAATGAGGCAACACCGACAGAATCTGAACAGAGGTGCCTGACGGCCATACGGAAAGACCGGAATTGACCCGAGAGAATTATTCGATAGGTTAGCTACTACTTTCTTTCCTCTTTCTCAGACTGGAAAATGAATGAGCCCGGCTACTCTACCTACGGTTGGAAGAGTTGCTTCAAGTACCGAAAATCTGCGGAGCTTAACACAAGCTGCAACTGTACCCAGGTAATCAACCTTGGAAGTGAGAATTATCCGTCCAATATCCTCAGGAAATATCTATTGACATTAGTTTTTAGAGTACCTAGGTATCTTACAAGCGGATGCTGCAGATTCATGTTTTACAGGGAGGATTCCAATGCGAAGTGTACCGATATCATTCCCGGATTCACCTATGAATCTTCCAACTGCCAACCACACACTTGCAATCGCCGCAAGCCGAGTCTTCTCTATATTTAAGACTACTCAAGCTCGAGACTCCATTCATCCACCCCAAGACAGGGGCTTGTGAGGCCTATACAGTTGGATTGGTCGGTGCGGTGGAATCGGTTAATAGGCGCCTACGAATCTTACGACGGAGGTTGCTGCGTTCAGTCATTTAGATACACGGACCCCGGATCATCTGAAAACCCCCATGTACCATATGCTGATCAATTTGACAGGTTCTTTTCGCGGAACTAGGTAATTACGTCGGAGAACTCAGAATATTAGGGGTTAGGTCATCCGATTGATGAGTTTTTGACGTGGATGCTCGTGAGGAGGAAGAAAACGACATCATCAAGGTATGCAATCGCCCTATTTTGATCACCGTATCTACCTTTCTTGGCATTCTATCAGCGAATCATCCTAGTTGGTGGCTTTGGAGACTCCGAGTATCTCCGAGTCTGATTGACTATATGATAGAGCACTGTCAGAGGTATTGAAAATCTAATACTCAGGCAAAGAAAGGATCTTGGGAAATGCAGATATCAACCTCGGAACACCTGAGATAACCTACGGTGTTTAATTTCATGCAGCAAGGAGTATGTTTATCGGCATGGCTCTCCTATCTCCTCCTCTCATAACTACGTAGGTATGGCCAAAGAAATAGGAACTTGAATTTTAGCAGCAATGCTAAAGATTGACACTACTAAGTGTATACCCTCTTTGACTATCTGAACACCCTACCCTGCCTACTTAGAAGGGGTACAGTATGTGTATTACTACAAATGGGTTATAGTAGGAGACCAGAATTCTATTTTCTCACCGTTGAGTACCTACCCGAGTATCGACCAGTTCTAACTATCTCAATAATTAGTAGTAAGGATATAATATTCAAGCCAGAATAGGTGTTTAATAATTCTAGCTCAGGCAGATATAGGGCACCTGGGCATTAACTATCTACAATACAAACTAGGAAACAAAGAGCACTAAATTCACTACATCAAACAGGCCTTCTAGTTCGGTCGGCAACAACAAAGACTGGAAGTCCAACAACACTTCTCAGGCCAGCGTACCTCTACCCTCAGAAACACTATCCACCATCGCGCTGAGCAACTAGAAATTGCATCAAGATCAAGCCCTTCTCACGCCCGATTTCCGACCGCCAGCCTATCTTCTAAGCGAAGAAGACAAGCTTTTAGTGAACCCAAATAAAAAAGAGCCAGGTATCATTATTATATATGCTATAGAGACATAGCCCACCCCCGAGATACCTCACGTTGACATCTGGGTAAAGGTCAGAGCGGGCCTCGGGAACAACTTGAAGAAGGTTTGTACTACCTGTTATTCAATGTCTTATTCTCAGATAGACGATACTGACTAGATCATACAGCTGGAGCAAAGTCACTGTCTATCCATTCTTATGCAGCAACTCCCGTCGGCTTGAAGTAAAGACTCGGCTTTTGAAGGATTACAAGTATGTATTTCAAAGTTTTTTATACATCAGCTTACCCATTACTACCTAGGAAGGTACCTGTCAGTGATTAGTGGCTTGTCGTTTTTCTTGCCCAGGTACGTATCTGCCTGCAGAAAAGGGGGAAGGTACTCGTAGCTTCTTCCTTCTTTGCTAGCAATACATCATGATGTTTGTTGATTCCATTCATATTCCTCTCTTCTCTCTCTTCTCAACTTCCTCCTTAGCAACACCCTCCGACACAACAATAGACTTTACCCTAAGATCTGTGAAGACTAGAAGTGTCCCATCCAATCGCCCTTTGTCTACACCAGCTTGCTCTGGAACGTAGGGTCGCTTCTCTAAGACTCCCGAATCAAAAATTCGGCGATATCTAGACCCGTCTAGCAAAACATCATACCGACCATCACCCTACGCATTTAAAGTACTGTCTGTGGGGCCTTTACCAGAAGGCACTACTCCCCTCCCTTTCACGCCTGGCTTGTCTGGCGAGACTTACCCTCAATCCAACCACTATGTGTGAACTCCTCCCATCATCATGGGACCACAGAGCTTCGCACCTTCTCCAAGGTCGTTGTTGATCCTTCCAAATCATATCACCTGGTCGAGCATTTCCCCCTCCATTTTTTCCCCCTCTCGACTTTACTCCTTCACCTCACCCGTTACCTGGCCTTTCATCATCAACTATCAACTTCTCACTCCTACACCCATTGAGAGAGAAATCATGCCTATACCCACCCCAAGCACTAGCACTATGAGCGACACGGAGCCAACAGATTACCCTGAGTGGTACATCAACAAACATGGAGAAAGAGTTCGCTTCACCCCATGGCCACACCCCAGACACCCGCGCCATCTAAAAGCGGCTGGCCTTCGCCCGGTCTGGACCCTTCGCTGGCAATATCCCGAAGGAGAAATCCCGGATGACATCACTTGCCTCATCGGTTCGCAGACAATCTCATTCGCCATCGGTCCCCTCAAAAGTCTGGTCTGGTTAGCTGGCCGTGATGACCTAGTTAATGCTCTTAACGACCCAACATCCCCAATTACCGACCGGATCTGCACTGTACCGCCATCGGTGAATATCAACTGGGTGATCGGTCTCGTCGATATGGGACTCGCACTATATCGCAATCAGCCCTCACCATCGGCCGACATGCTCCAGCCCGGCGATGCGATGAAGATTTCCTTTCCAGACTGCCTCGCGAACGGACTACACACCTAGCATGCGACTTGCTTGGCCAGACGCCCGATACAAACATTCCAACTACGATCAATGTCTGGCGTTTCCCCTTGAAGGAGGGCGAAGAATATTCGGTCACCAAACAAAAGCTCTGAGCTGCTTGCCCTAGCCTGTTGCGCAGCAATCAACTCTACCGAGGAACGGACCGCAGGGCTATGCAGCTCCTGATGATTGCTTTTAGTCCTGTCATCACCCCAACAAACCTTACCAAGGAATTCGGACCCGGGACATACACAACACCCGATTTCTCAATTGCGCTGGAATATGCCAAAGAACGCGACGGCAGTCCTGGGGTTATGCTTATTTTCAAGTGACCTGAGCCTCACTTCCACAATCTCTTTGTCTGGACTCTCAGCGATGCAGAGGTTCAACCCATGCTCGAGACATTCGCACAATTCAAGGGGATACCGGGTTGCCCCAACGCTGGCCAACTTGCAGATCTGATCGAGGGTCCTCTGCCCACGCAGGATCCGATCCCGGAGATTCATCATCAACCCACACAAGTTGTTGCTAAAAGTCATGAAGCACATTGGGTGTTACAAAGCCTCTTGGAAGATATCATTATCTTCGAGCGTGATGATGTCGATGGTGCCGTGGCAGCTGAGTGAAAACAAGGATTCGCCCTGATTACTTTTATTATTACCTCCTTGCTATCCGAATTGCTTCAATCGTGTCTATTACATTACTAGTATAACTTTGTCTTCCTGTTATCCGGGTTGGGTTTTCTAGCCCCTCTCGCTGTTCGTTTCTGGCTCGATTAAACTTGTTACTAGCTCGAGCCCAATACAACAACTAATCACACAAACCTTCAATTTTCCAACAGATCTCGAATCTCCGTAAATTTCCCTAGCTAGTCCCGGGGTCTATATGGTCGACTTCATCAAGCTCCTTCTTCCAAAGATCAGGGCGTCGTATCGACATATCGCTCTGTTCGTATGGGTACTGGCAACGCTGCGTGCAAAATGCCATTTGACCAAGCTATAACTACTTATACTGACATATGATATATTATTTCTTGGCCCATGGTTATGAGAGAAGGAGATGGTAGAGGCGTGCTGATAAATATACTCCTCCCCGCATGAAATTAAACCCTGTAGGTCATCCGTTCATATCCGCTTTTCCTTTCTTCGTCTGGGTATTAGAAGTTTTATGACTTCGGTACTACCCTATTATATAATGAATTAGACCGAGAGTAACTACTCTTAATAATAAATAGGTAGGTCTAAATTTAATATACTTTCTAAGCTTCTCTCTCTCATAAGGAGCTCGAATAATTATTTATTAGTATTAAATATTAAAACTTTAACTTTGGATAGAATTCTTAGGCCATATCTCTCTTTGAGCACGCTCAAGAACTTCCAATTGGTTTGGAAATTATAGTACTGGTAGATTTGTGAGTACTAGGAGAATATTAGGTACTCTTCAAGTAGCTTCTAGTATCTGAAGATATTGAACACTGTGTATTGATGACTACCTAGTAGGTAACTCTAGTCTCCGAAATAGCTACCAGTGAACATCATGATGAAATTCAAGACAATGATTCATATATGTACCGTACGATCTCGAGTTGTATAAAACATGACCCGAAGACAATGGCGGAAAATCCAATAACTCGCTAATATAACAACACAATTTATGAGAACAAAGAAAGAGAAATCCCACAAATGCTAGTGGTCTATTCATCGCTGTCCGACTCTACCTGGTCGTTCTCCAGATGCTTTTTGCGTTCCTCGCTCATCTCTCGGTACGTGCTCCAGCTCAGCAGGAAAAACGCGACCATAATCAAAATGCCTCCGATAATTGCTGCGAATGAGAGCGGTATGCCCGTACGGAACCAGTCCACGAGGGCGACGAGGAAAATCGTCAGAAGGGCGGCAACTGACGAAAGTACAGGTGAGGTTAAGGAGATGAGTACTAGGAAAGAACCGGAAAATGCTAGGCGGAGCGTTAGTTACCTATTATTGTCAAGAGAGATGGGTATTGTTGTTAACTTACTAGCATTGGCAGCAATGGAGATGAGGAGCATCCATCCAGCCTCGCCGGTAGGGAACCGGAAAGTTTCCCAGCCAAGATAATGAAGAAAAGGTAGGGGAATCCACAATACCAAGATGGTAAAGCAGCCGATCAAACTGCCAAATGTATTGGCGAAGATAGTGCCACGGCCGGGACTGGTGCCCTCTGGTGGGCAGGCGAAACGCTTATACAGCACCTCGTAGAGACCGTACAAAACACTCCCAACACCAATCACAATGTTACCCAGAAGGCGATTGTGAGCATCCTGGTCATCCTTTGTCGTTCCACCTTTTGAAACTTTCTTGTCAGGACGGTCTCCGTAGGCAACCACAAGGACTCCAATGATTGCGATTCCCACTGAAAAGACCTTATCCCACCGCAACTTCTCTTTCAAGAGAGGGATCGAGAAGGCATATGCGAAGAAAGCTGAGCAATTGTAGATGGCCGTCAAATCACTAGCCGTTGTCAAGTTGACCGCGACGTACCACGAGCCTCCCGCAATGGTGAGCGCGCTGGTCACGAATGCAGTGGTCTTCAGCATATATGGGATCGGGGAACGGTGGTAGGAACGGGAGGAGAGGTGGACATCTTGAGTCTCCACCATTTGGGCAGTAGTCTTCAAGAGGAAGACATGGCGGCGCCAGAATGCTTCCCATGACATTTTGCGCTTCTGGATTCGCAGGATGGCGAGCTGGACCGGCCAGAGCAACGCCCAGGAACCGTGGGTGATATAGCTGCGTTTGGGAGAAAAGAAGGGGTAAGCGATTACGGTCCAGAATAAGTAGCGACGGTTTATAGGTGCATGGGGGTAGTTCAGATCAATCTCATCACCGGCGAGCGGTTGCGTCCAAACTTACAGCATGCAATACGGCTTGTCCCATCCCAACTCATGTTGGATGTAGACGGCGGTTTCTGTCTGGACAACAAAGCTGGCTAAGCTGAGAAGAAGAAATCCCGATGCAATCATATACTTTTTGCGCGTCGCTTGGGCGGCGTCGTGTTCCGGACTTTTACTCCGGATGGTAGGGCGGCGGGTATGGTGTAACATAGGCCGGCCTTCTGTAGCGTTACCGAAGCTAGATCGGGAGGACCGTCCCTCGCGATCATCTTTAAGTAACGGTTGCTGTGACCGGCCGTCCGTTGGGCGGTGCAATGGGGGGCGATTAACCACCATGTCGTCGTCGTCAGAATCCTGGGAATAGCGACTCGGCTCCGGGTCTGGGGTTATGTTGGCCCTGCTCGCTCCCAGTTCGATATTTTCCGAAGCCACGTTGGCGTTGTAATCCCTCGGGGGTCTTGTGGGTGCTTTTGGGGGGGGTTGGGATCGGATCGACAAGATCCTTGGGAGCAATCAAAGATGTCCTCAGCCTCCTGATTGTGCTCGGGATGCCCTTGCGACGACAGATAACAGATAAGAACTAGGGACTGGGCTGCTGATGTTCCAATCATTCAGGCTATCCCATGCCCAGTGTGATGGTTTAACAGCTGATGAGGTGAGTCTAACCGCAAGATGTCAACCCTGTGACCAGAATACAACTTTGCGGCCCTGAGCGCATGCGATCGTAAACCGATTGGGATGTTGATGGGGTAGCTGCGGCCACGTAATGAGGGAATCAACAAGGTTCAGGGGGTCACGGTATGCAAGCAATGTTCGGTCTTTGGATGAAAACTTGAAGTGTTCTTTAAGGGTTCATGTGAGACAGGTAAATTCGACGATTGAATAAAAAGCCATTCGAGGGGCCAAGCACACGATGCTCGGGGAATGGACGCCTTCGTCATTGCCCCTACCGCTTCGGGGTGTACCACGTGATCTCAGGGACAATGACGGTGTGCTAGTCCGAAAGCGGTCTAGCGTAGGCGTCAAGCTGGGGTCAAAGGGTCAACTGGCTCAAGCAGATGACCATTACTACTTACTAGTAGTTAGTAGCATGGATTGGGATAAAGCAGATTGTTCACAACATAATGTCAACATTATTCAACGGAATAAATTTATTGCCGATGAATTTTGATTTGATTTGATTTTCTTATAGACAGAACTAAGCCTTAGGCTTAGGCTTGAACAATGCCTCCTGGGTGTTATAACTGTACTTCAGATCCAGATGCCAATAGTTAGGAGAAGAAGCCTTGGCAACCAACCATGCCTTATCCAAAGCTTCCACCACCTCTTCCGGAAGTGGCCCCTTCTGCAGGTCCCGAAGGTTAGTCTCGAGTTGACCGAAGCTGCTCACACCGACCAGAACACCGTCACGGCCACCGTTATCCATGTTCAACATGGAGTGATGGCGGACCCAGCGTAGACCCGTCTCGACAAGCGTCAGGCCATGCTTAGCAACCACGGGCTCAATAATGCTCAAAGCCTCGAAATTTGTGTCTCTAAAGTAACGGTTGCGGTAGTTGTTACCCGTGCCGCTGTTGTCAGCAAACCGGCCTTCTTCGGGGACATCCTTTGTCTTGTATTTGCCAGAGAAAAGTCCACCAGCGAGAGGGTTGTAGATGACAATGTCCAAGCCGTAGCGACGGCAGGCATGGACCAATTCAACTTCAATATTACGGGCTGTTGTCCGGTTAGCATGGACCAGTCCGAATCCCATGGATATCGAAGCTATACCAGTGGGACATATCCAGATAAGACATACTGATAGCATTATACATGGCCTGGAAAATCGTAGGCCGAACCCAGCCACGCTCATTGCAAAGAGTTACAATTTCCGCCACCTCAAAGGCCGTATAGTTACTCAGACCCAACTGGATGAACTTGCCCTCCTTATGCAGCTCGTCCACAGCTTCCAAAGTCTCTGCAAAGGGTGTCGCACGATCTGGAGCATGCAGGTAAAATATGTCGACCTGATTGGTGTCAAGCTCTTTTAGGGATAGCTCGAGATGCTCACGCAGGACAGCGGGCTTGTGCTGCCCAGCCTTCTTGGGGTACCACTTGGTTGCAAGGGTTAGGCCGCGTTGCTTCCAATTGGCCTTGGCCGTGAATGCCTCCTGCTCTCCATCGATATAGATGCGAGCAGTGTCGATCTCGTTGAATCCCTGCTGCTGGAAATAGTCCAGACACCGATTGAACTCGTCCAGGGAGGTAATTCGGGCACCCGCGGCCTCATTGGGCCCGAAGGTCATGCATCCGAGGATGATTCGGGGGAGCGGGTTCTGTGCAATAAGCGGCATGATGGATGGATGGTCGTCGGTGTTGCTTGTTGGAGAAAGAAGCGCGGGGGAGGGGTAGAAGTGAAGGTTACGGAGGGGTCCGATCAGCGATAACGGCGGGGACCTTTGCGCAACATTTTCGGACCCGACCGCATTTCAAAGACGAGGCTATTTAGTTTTCTCCTTTGCAGGGATTATACCAAGAGCTTCACATCTACCTTCCATTCGAGCTCCAGCGGAGCATATAGCCCGGCAACAATGGCTGCATCCCAAGGCAATGACGCATTCCGCATTCTGATTATCAACCCCAACACCTCCACACATATGACCGAGGCCCTCAAGCCCATCCTACAACGACTCAACTACGCCGACGTTCAATTTGACTACTTCACCGCACCGAATGAGACATTTACATTGGATGGGCATGTCTGCGAGCCAATTGCCAGCATCAACAATGGCAAAGAATCCGCGCAGTCGGCGTTGAATTGCTCCTCGGTTTTGGATATGATTGCGCAATACGATGCGTTTCTCGTCGCCTGCTACTCTGCCCACCCACTCGTGGGCATGATACGCCAGAAAATCAAGGCTCTTGAAGGATCCCCACTTTCTTCACGAACAAAGTACGTGACCGGGATCTTCGAGGGTAGCATCACTGCTTCTCTGTCTTTGATCAGTGGGTTCGATTTCGTGACATCTGGATCATTGCAAAAACAGCAGATCAGCCAGTCCTTTGGTATTGTAACCACAGGCAGCGCTTGGAAGGATGAACTCAATAAGGGAGTCACCGAAATGTTAGTAGGGGCAGGTCTCCAGTCCTCGCGATTCGCAGGCACTGAGACTACGGGACTGTCGGCCGTCGAACTACACACTACGGCGCCGGATGAGGTGAGACAAAGGATCATTGCCGCCACACAGCGTTTGCTACTAAATGCGCCGAGTCGTGTTGGTGCAGTTTGTTTGGGCTGTGCAGGCATGGCGGGTATGGAGGAAGCGGTGCGGGAAGGTTGCGTTCAAGCCTATGGACCAGACGAGGGGTCTAAGGTACGAATAGTTGATGGAGTGGTTGCCGGAGCTGGAAACTTGGTCACGGCTTGCAAAGCGGGATTTTGAACCAGTGGATTCGATAGGAACTGGGAGGCTTCAAGTTATTTTTGGAGGCCAACAGGGAAAGACAGCATATGATAATATGATACCATTAAATTCGTTCAATAGTATATGATCAAGAGTTCCAAAAGTGATATAGAAAAAGAAGAATACAATATGGAGAATATTTTCTACCAAAAATCTCACCAATTTCGGCCTGAAGTGCATGGGTCTACATAAGAGATGAGATGTTGATGTCCAAGCCGAGTGGGTACGTACCTTACCTGAGGCGGTCGACAGCCAAAATGTTCCCCGCGCCCAACGCGCTACGCGTGAGAACAAATCCCTCTCGACATCGCCCGTGGACAACGATGCCTAGGTATGTGTTGGAACTTCTTTTTGTGGCGCTCCCCCAAAGGAATCTCTGAAGCTGACATGTGTTCAAAAATGCAGGGAAATCATCACGATCCAAGCCGGCCAGTGCGGCAACAGCGGTATGTGAACTGAACTCCGCCAACCTCGATCGACCTCCCAGCTCCCAACACTACAGCTCGTGATGCCCCAAAACTTGCCTAAGCCGATCATATGCACTCGAAGAAACTCGGAACTCAAATAGACCGAGCCTGATTCGCTGACAAGATCTTCCTTTCTCAAGTCGGTAGTCAGTTTTGGCAGCAGCTATGCCAGGAGCATGGAATCAACCAAGATGGAAACCTAGAGGATTTCGCGACCGAAGGTGGCGATCGCAAGGATGTCTTCTTCTATCAGGTATGTTTTGGCAAGCAATGCTTGGGAGCTTTGTCAATCGTACGATCATCTACAGAACTAAGCTAACGAGACCCTACGCTACGCAGAGTGACGACACCCGATACATCCCCCGAGCGATTCTTCTCGACTTAGAACCTAGGGTATCGATATCTCTTTCTCCGCGATCAATTTGACCAAGGCAATTACTGAGACACGAACAGGTCCTCAATGGCATCCAATCCGGCCCTTACAAAAACATCTACAACCCCGAGAACTTCTTCGTTGGAGAACAAGGCGTTGGCGCGGGAAATAACTGGGGTTTGGGATATGCCGCTGGAGAAACTGTGCAAGAAGAGATTTTCGACATGATTGATCGAGAGGCGGATGGAAGTGATTCATTAGAGGTAGGTGTCAAAAGTCGATTGACCTGCGGCTGTCGCGACCAAATGATTGACAATTCTGGCTACAGGGTTTTATGCTATTACATTCGATAGCCGGTGGTACAGGATCTGGTCTGGGTAGTTTTATCCTGGAACGGATGAATGATCGCTTCCCTAAAAAGCTGATCCAGACGTACTCTGTCTTCCCGGATCTGTATTCGGATATTGTTGTCAACCCTTACAACAGTCTGCTTTCAATGCAGCGCTTGACCCAGGATGCTGACTCTGTGGTATGTTGGACTTTTGATTTCAAACATTTGACCCTTTTGAAAAGCAAAGACGCTTAAAAATTGAATAGGTTGTTCTGGACAACGGTGCGCTTTCAAGAATTGTTGCCGATCGACTTCACGTGGAAAAGCCATCGTTCGATCAAACCAACCAGTTGGTAAGTGGCGGCCGTGCATTATGCACTATTGGAAAGTGGGAAATCCTAACCCAGATCTGCAGGTCTCAACGGTCATGTCCGCGTCTACGACCACTCTTCGATACCCCGGTTACATGCACAATGACCTGGCGGGCATCATTGCTTCGCTGATCCCGACGCCGCGCAGCCATTTCCTGCTTCCATCGTATACACCATTCACAGGCGACAATGTTGAGCAAGCGAAGACAGTGCGCAAGACAACCGTGCTAGACGTGATGCGTCGACTGCTACAGCCCAAGAACCGCATGGTTTCGATTACTCCGAGCAAGTCCAGCTGCTACATCAGCATTCTCAACATAATCCAGGGCGAGGCCGATCCTACAGATGTACACAAGTCATTGCTCCGCATTCGGGAACGCCGTCTCGCGTCTTTCATCCCATGGGGCCCTGCCAGTATCCAAGTGGCGCTCACCAAGAAGTCGCCCTATCTGCACCATTCCAACCGTGTCAGCGGATTGATGCTGGCGAACCACACGTCAGTGGCAACATTGTTTAAGCGGATCATTCAGCAATACGATCGCCTGCGTAAGCGCAATGCTTTCCTGGATCAGTATCGAAAGTCTGCGGCATTCTCCGAAGAGTTAACAGAGTTTGACGAGGCACGGTCTGTGGTTATGGACTTGATCGGCGAATATGAGGCAGCCGAACGCCCGGACTACTTAGATCCCGATGCCGGGAAAGAGAAAGATGTTGGGGCTTGAATGGAAGGAGTGCAGGTACGGATTTTTCCGTAGAGAAATTTTTCCATGTCGATTTTCATTTTGCTTTGGCAGGGCAAGGGGTTTCGGGCGCATAAACCGGGTGCGTGCGCAGGGCCACTGGCGTTCTCTCTCTCTCTCTCTCTTCTTTTTGATCACTTATTGTTCTTTCATTTTTTTTCCCCTTGCTCTTTTTTTAGTTTCTCTATTCACCAATGCATACTGCATATTACTCAAATTCTTTCCACGAGGGTAATAAGTAGGATTACTACGGAATACGGAGTACACTAGTATGTAAATACTCCACAAATACACCTTCCCGAGGAAGTTCAAATGCAAATGCAAATGCAAATGCAAACCAATGGAATGCCAGCGCACATCTAAAGCATCAAAGACGGGGACCACGTAGCGGGCAGACACCTTGAAAGTGGATTCCGGCAGACCCGCCGAACAGATTGCAACGGGCCGGGTTCTGCAGTGGAGCATGGGTAAATCGGCTGCAGGCGATCGAAAGGGGCGAGAGTTTAAGGAGAAGAGCGCGGTGTGTTTTCCGAGGCTGTGTACAGAGTATGCACTTAGTCTAGATATGCTCTAGGTGCATCCAGTGGTTGGGCGGCGAGATCGACCGGGAATCCACCTTTTCTTTCTACCTTACTTGCTGACTCGTTGGGAGGCGTTCGCTTGGGGCTTAGGGATTTGGTGGCCTGCTTCGAGGCATGTACCCCGTACGTGGTGCGCGATGCCTGGTCTCATATAGTTGGACGCATGGGCCCAGGAGACTCGTCCAATTCACACGGCTTCACATTGCAGGAGGGTCTTAGCAAAGGCCACTTCACTTCACCGTAGTGTACTCCGTACTCTGTACTCCGTAAAGAGCAAGAGTAATCTGTACGGAGTAATCTCATCAACGAACTCCTTCTTTGCCACCGGATCCAAGACGGCCGATCCGGTGGCACACCATTAAGGCCTGGGTGGAACCACCCCTCGAATTGGTGCCAGAGTGTACTCTGTAGATTGAATAATGCGGCTAGAGTTAGTTAGTACCCACGTGAAAGGAGTCAAGTGAAGTGGAGGATGGGATGGGCATGGGGATGGGAGAATGAATGGAATGGCACGGACACAGGTCGCGTGGTCGAAAAAGGGATTAACTATTTGATAGTGATAGTGATAGTAATAGTAGCAATAGTGATAAAAGTGTAACTAGTAATACTACTAATAGTATCGACAGAGTACTCCGTGCTCCTAAAAGATCAAGATCTCCACTAAGTCGAACCTTCTGGGGCCTAGTATCCTTACAGAGAGATACTCCACCTCCGCGATGGCTGATTCCGTCACTCCACGCCTCAACTGACTCAGCCTTTTCCATTTAATTCCCTTCATTCCCTGGATCCTATTTCTCGTTTGACTTTTATTCTCCCGCCCGTTCCGACTTCCTTTGGTCCCTATATATATCCTTCCTCCCCGTAAGTTACTTCCTCCTACCTTTCTGCCCCCTTTATCGTCAACTGCGTCACTGCGTCGCTCCCGTCCAACGCTCATACCTCCTTTAGACCCTCACCTCACCTCCTTCTCCTCACCTTCTCCTCACCTTCTCCTCTCTCCCTCCTCAACACTCCTCAACCACTACTCGACCTTTGGGAACTCTTTTTTTTGGGGGCAACCACTCGTTCTCGTTTTTGCCATCCTCTCTATCATCTTGCTATCTCGGCGCTTATCTCAAACCAACGACCCGCCTGAAACTGTCACACCAGAGTTACTTGAAGGACTCTAGCCTACGCCCATCCCCTTCGCTCAGCCTCAACTCCCAAATATACCAAACACACAACCATGCCTCCCCGCAAGCCCCGTTGCAATTTCAAGGAGTGCAAGGAGGCCGCGCAGCGGATCGTGGGTGATTGTAGCTTTTGCCACGGTCACTTCTGCTCTAAGCACCGTATGCTGGAGGCCCACTCTTGCACCGGGTTAGAGGATTGCAAGAAGGAATCCCACGCCCGCAATGCCGACAAGTTGAATAGCGAGCGGACCGTCGTTGTCAAGGGCGTATGAGGAAGGCCTTGATAAGTGAGATGGTTCATTGAGCCATGGAAATGGACAATCTCCTTTCTCCGTGACGCATCCGTGCCATCTCAACTTAGGGCCTGCCCCCAGTTCTTGCCTCGGCCTCCGATCCGATCTCGGACCTCTTATCTCGCCACCTGGTGTGATCTTCAACGTGACCCCCTGGTGGTCGTCGCCATTCAGCCGGTTGAATTTAGCGTGGTGTTCCTGTTATTCCCATCTTATCCGGGGTGTTTGTTCTCGATCTTTTTTCTCTCCTTGTCGCCGCGACCTCTTTGAGCATTTGGCTCTTCAACATGCTTGATTCGACTTCGTTGGGAGGGTGTTTTGTCTTTTCTGCTTCATCTAATCCCCATCTACATTGGCGTTCGTCACTTCCGCAATTCTTGGGATTCCATTCCGTCTTTTGTTCACTGGCCTTCTTATCTTGCATTCGCCTGGCATGTTCTCAATCTGCCCTTTTGATTGTCTTCACTTTGGGTTCCTCTCGGGCTGCTTCATAGAGATCCCACGGGACTCCCAGGGGCATTTACTTCTTTGAGCAGATTTGGATTTATATGAATATACCACCACTCTGTCTTGTCCATATGATACATGAATTGGCCAATCTCCGCACTCCTGCGGTGGTCATTGCGTAGTTCCTCTCCTTTAAATTTCCTTCTCTCTTTAACCAGGTCCAATCTTAGGCCTGTGCAGGAGTTAGCTTTTCCAGTCCCACTCGCGACGAAGTCAACAAAAACTTGGACATACATATCGTGATGCTCACTCAGCCGGCTGAGGTATTTGTTCAAGTCTTCTACACGCTCCTTATGGGTCTTGACACCATCCCGCTGGAGCCGTTCACGCAACTGCCAATCAATCTAATTAGTACTGTTATGCCAAATGCCACGCCATCCAGTGCCACCCCCTAAAAGAGAAAGGAATTCATTCAATACATACTCGCTTGCGCCTCACCTCCTCATACTTCCTTTCTGTTTCAGTCTTGGGCCCACCTTCTCTCTCGTCCTTTTCATGATCTGGTGATTCGGACTTCTCATCCTCTCTCCGCTCAATGGGCCCATTATCAGAATCATTTCCAACAACATCCTTCCCTTCCAGCTCCTCCTTCTTCTTCTTCGAATCCTTCTTCTTTTTCTTCACCCGTCCATCGGCTACTTTGCTCCCTTTCAACTTGAGCTTGCCACCCCCGCCAGTGGAGTAATCGTCTGCTGGCGCCATGGGATCGGGGACCGGGTGGAGTGGGGGGGACAGCAGTCAGTCAGTCACACAGTCGCAGCAAGAGGGCCCAGTTGCAGCGTGCGGAGTAAGAGGGGAGATCCAAGACCTTAGGAGTGGCTTTTCCCGGGTGGGTCTAGTTTTTTGCCGCCGCGTGACTTTTCCTTTGGCCGTCTTGTCTTGCCTTGCCTTCTTCCCCGGGAATGAGGCGAGGTTAGGTTAGGTCGCAAGGGACGGGAGGCGAAGAGTGAGAGAGTGAGAGATACTGAAGCCGAACCGGTGCCGCGTACCTGGTTTGGTATTTTCCCGGTCTGGTGATAATGGCGGTGTGGCGTAATTGATTTCGGGCGCGCTGGCGTGAGTTGGTGGTCTTGATGAGTCTTTGCGGGAGGTCGGTTGGGCGGTGGAGTGGGCCAATCAGCGTGGTGATGTAATTCGACTAGTTCGTTTATCACTTTTGGAGATCGGCGCTGGCGTCTACCGCATATCGGGTTTACTTTCTACCAGGTGAGTTGTCATAATTTGGGTCGTATCATTTCTCATTATTTAGTATTTTATTAAACGTTGATTGAATTGTAGATCAATTCAGTACGGAGTACCGGACATATAATAGCCTTTAATCAAATGGGATCGGACGCAACCCCGACCCACCCATTCGTTTACGCATTTCAGCGCCCGCCGCAACCGTGCTGGGGACCTTGATACCACAACAGTCGCCGAACCAATCCGTATGTGCGCCATGTTCCTGCGGATGGTCGTGTGTACAATCATGATCATGTTCGTGGTCTCCATCTTCACCAGAGAGCTCGCCCATACCTTCAGTAGCGGGCAGGAGGCTGCCGAAAAGGAAATGTTGCATGATAGGTAGTTTACCCAGAACCTCCTTGACGAACATCTTCTTCATGCCACTCTCAACCTTGAACCAATTCTTCGCTCCAGAGATATCGTCCAGCATCGGACTGTGCCAGCGGAGACCCTTGACCGTCTTCACGCTGTCCACCCACCTTACCTGGTCGAGATAGAGGTACTTATCGCCTTCCTCATCCAGTAATGCGGTGTTGTGAATACCCAGCGGCGTCACATAGGGATGGTCCACGAGCTGACTGGCTCCGAATAAGAATGGCAGGAAGTGGTAGTCGTCCAGCCCCCAGACGCCATGAGAACCAGCAGGCTCCAAATAATATGTAGATTGAATCTCGCGCATCAAGTGCACATACTCCAGATAGACCTTAGACACCACGGCAGCGAACTCGCTTGCTGGGAGTTTACCCAGCTGGTAAAGAGAGAGCAGCCACATAATGAAGTTCAACTCGTGACCAGATCCATAGTCGATACGATCCCGAGAGCCAAGCGAATTGATCAAATAAGTCGATGCCTCCTCAATGGCCCCGGCATCAGTAAGACCAAGGATTTGCCGATGCCATGACGAGCTTTGCGCGGCGACTTGGTCAAACAAGACGCGAAAGGCGGGATTTCCGAAGCGCGAGCCACCTTGGTCTTCTGGTGGACAGTTCTCGACGAGTACCCTTATCTGACCAACGATCTGGGCGATTTTCGAGATGGCGTCGGACTCGGGGCCTTTTAGGTCGGTGAGGGCTCGCCCGCGTACTGAATCCGATAGGCCGAATGTGAAGGCCAAGACCAATTTGTAGGTAGGCGAGGTAAGAAATAATTCATGATCTTTGGGTGATAAGATACGACGGACGGGACGGGAATATTGGTGGGTGGAGAGGTTGGGCGGCGAGGGGAGAGGAGGGGTTATTGGCGTAGGATCTCGGGATGATGCGGCTTGGGATCGGCGATTTGTGCTTGAGCGTAGCTGTGATAACTTCTGAGAAAGGTCGACTTTGCCACTGGTGGCAGGTCTGGACCCTATGGAAGTCGACGCCATTTTGTTGAGAGAAGGCGTAAGGGAGGAGAAGATGTATGATAAAAGATAAATATCCGTCGGAGAGCAATCGCGACGAAAGGCAGAACGAAGGTGACGAGGAAGATACCGCCTGCCGGAAACAGCACTGCAAATGATGCAATTCGATTGAATACCAAATCGGGACTAGGGCGGTGGAGCATGTGATCAGCTGCATCCCCGGACTAGCGATCACTGATCTTTCAAGGGTTTTCCACTCGTCACATACCAGCAGTTCACATGATGAGCGCAGCTGAATGAAGGAGGAGGGGCTGAATACAACTGAGTCTTGAAGGAAATCTGAGAAACGCCTCAAACTATGCCCATTCTCACAATCTTGCCCGTCTACGCCTTCATTCTTCTAGATTAATTCCCTTTTCGAAGCTTCTGTACCCTTGTCGCCGTGCCTGGCGTGTCTGTGCTGCACGAGCCTTGTCCACTCAGCCTGGCTATTGGACCGTATACTCAAGTGATCGATTAAGGGAATGAGCACGCCATAATGAACACTTTCGACTCATCGGCGACCACTCCGACAGGCCCCAACAACGCTGCGGGAGCCAGAGATATCAGATCTTCATCGTCACGCTCTCCCACACATGCAGACTCCGGCCTGTCATCGTCGGCCGGTAGCAGCCGGTCCCACTCGAGCTTTTCATCCCGAAAGTATGCCGGATCGCAACATAACAAGCACACTACCGAGTCGACCCCAATCAATACAGGGGCTGGCTCGACACGTAACTATCAAGCCACAGCCGCACCAAACCCCCAGGGCGCTCCGTCCGAGGCAAGCAAATGGGATCAAAGTACCCCACGCCTCGATGTAGGCGGAAATGGCGCCCACCGCGCGCAAAGTAATCAACAAGACTCCCCCACCGAGCCGCACCAGTCATGGCCCAGTCGAATCGTAGATCGATTCGGCGCACTCGAGTTAGAAAATAAGGGGAGTGTCGCTCGCGACCACCTGGCTCTTGGTATGGTGTCCATTGTACCCTGATATCGTGTGATATCGATATCCCCTGAAATAAGCTTCTAACCCTATTCCCCGCAGAGCGAACATTCCTCGCCTGGATGCGCACCTCTCTCGCCTTTGCCTCGATCGGTATCGCTGTCACCCAACTATTCCGACTGAATACAGCCACCGCCACTACCGATACCAACAGTCTGCACGACTCAGCCATTCTCCCACCCCATCTCTCTTCGTCTATGTACGTCGCTACGTCTCCCTCCGCCCAAGACTCTGCTCGCCTCCGCAGCGTTGGAAAACCGCTCGGGTCTACCTTTATCGGCGTGGCTATCCTCATTCTCATCGTCGGATTTCACCGCTATTTCGAAAGTCAGTACTGGATTGTCAGGGGCAAATTTCCCGCAAGCCGAGGAAGTGTTGCTTTGACAGCAGCCGTAGCAATGGCGCTGATCGTCGCGGCGTTCGCGGTCATTTTGGCGGTTTCGCCAGGTGCCATTGAAACGTAGACACATTCTATTTGATTACGACGCCATTTTCCTCTCTCGGTCATGTCCTATTACACCTTTCGCATCTGTTCAATGCATAGCTCCAATGGTTTGCGTTTAGCATTGTTTGTATTGTCGCTTCGAATGTATCGAATGTCATTTTTGAACATGATCTTTATTTTCATGTTATTCTATTTTCTGGGCCTTGTTGGAACAGCGGTGGATTTTCTTCTCTTAAGTTCAATTTGTTCTCCAAGAATCATACGTCTACACAGACTGGAAAGAGTTGGCTTTCACTCGATTTGCTGCGGTGTAACCACTCGTCCCTCACAGGCATTATTTCGGGGCGCGATTTCTTGTTCTGCTACTATACTATTATGACATGCTATCTCTACACGTAATCTTGCCGGAGTAAGCTAGGGTCTCTGCTTCTTCTTTTCCACGTTTATACTATTACTATCAGGTCGTGACTACTGGCTGGCGCACTCAGGCTACCACCAGTTCTGAGTCATGGCATAACTTGAACTGTTCCATATTTGTTTCTTTTCAGATGGAGGAATGGCAGATTGATTCCAATTTCAAGTTGAAATAAATTGTCAGCCCCGGGCCATTGCGCTCTGCCAATCAATGAGAACATACTGAGATCTTGCTTGATTATTCTAGCCAAAATATCCAAAGGCCCTGTGCTTGGTAATTGAGAGCCAATCCACAGCTAGCAAGCTCGGCCTCATTCAACTTCTTCAAGGGCAGGGAACGGTCGACGGACCAGGTGGCGGCCTGATACTTCCTATCCACTGGATACTACGGTAAATGTGGAAAAAAGAGGATATTATAAAGCTTCTTTTCGAGCTATGGCAGCCGATAGCGGCCAGTGAGGACGAAATTATTCTGGCTGGGTGGAATCCTGCCTACCTTTTTCATGCAAAATATTGATCGATAGCTACTAATTAGGCAACTGCTACTTTTTATATGCTACTAGGTACCTAGGTAGCTACTAGTTAGTTAATAACTACTACCTAGTAGGTACGCGTAGGTAATGGCCACTAACTAGTTAGTATACAAACCTAAGAAAATTACAACCACACTGCCACAAGGATTGAAGTGATCGTGTCCAAGCAGCAAAAGTAGTCATAATTACCAGAGAGCTCTATTAGGAGGAGAAAGAGGTAGTCCAAATATAGATCCAGGAGACGACGGTGTGGGCGGTTTATTATTTCATAATTTCGTCCCCCTTGGCCGCTATCGGCTGCCATGGAGCTTCAAGTTCCTTTCGAGAATTTGACAGATATGAATCGATTTGCATAATTTCCATGTCTATGCTCTTTGACTCTCAAATATTTGTATCGTTCACGCTTAGTCTTTTCATATCATTTCATATCATCAGAATTTCGAGTATCTCTCATAGGAACTACTCTCAATTATTTTCGGAACCCACAGTAAGCCATTTTAGATTATTCAAGCAGCCTTGTTATCATCCCATCGTACAATAATAGATATTGGCCTTACTATCTCTGTGAGGGTCTTGTTGCGCGATGGACTCGAGTAGTCGGTTTCAAGGGGACCATATCTCCACCTAGATGTCCTTTGGATCGATTGAGTGGTAAATCTCATTGCCGAAATAGTACTGATGATGTTTCCATAGTTCTCTTGAAATGGTCGCTTGCAACTCCCTGACTAGCCTTTTTTGGCAGGCGTCGTCCAAGTCAGTCAACTGGATGAGAAGCCATGGGAGGTTTGGCGTGAAGCTTGCTTCCTGCAGCGGTTGAGGGATGAGGTCTTGAATCATTGTGGAACGATGTTGAACTCTGAAAGAAGTCGGGAGAAAAGCAGTACCAACTATTAGTAGTAGCAAAGAGATGAGCGGGTTCGAGGAAATGAGAGGGTGGAAGGGTAGTGAGAAGGCGCGGCAACAAGTCAACAATGTAGTTTGAGCCATATAGAGAGTTATTAAAGAGATCTATTTCTATGAGATATAATACTTTCGAGATCTAAATAACCTAGCATTTTATAGTATTTAGGATATTAGTAGGCCCTAGGGCCTTTTAAACCAATCTCTTTGGGGATAACCGCAGGGTAGGTCCTCTGTTGGCAGCTTGTTTGCTCCTTCTTCCCTTTTCGGTTTGCTGCCAGTACATTGTATAACTTCAGGAGTAGACATATCCGTGTCGATAGAAAATGTTCTTTCTTTTATTTCAGCGGTTCCAGTCCACCCGCACCAGACTAGTCTAGACACAATATAGAAGAGGCTGCAAGATACGGAAAAGAAATGGGAAGGATATCGACAGAACGAGTCGTGGGAGTGGGTAGAAGGGGGGAAAAGGACATGGGAGAAGCAGGATGGCACGGCTTGCAGGTAATGCGGGAGAGTGCGAAGCAAGACAACAAGAGAAAGAAGAAGAAAAAGAGAGCATAGAAACAACCGCCTAAATATACTCGCTTTACCGCGGACCAAGCTTCGCCAAAGCGCGCGCGCCCTGTTCCTCCCACTCCTGCTTGGATACCCACATGTCGTCCTTGTCGGCGATCTAGGGAAAAAAAAGAAGAAAAGTAAGCCGGCGAGTTTCAAGTTAGGCTCAGGGGTAGAAATGATGTGACGTACCAGGTTGGCAAGCACAGCACCACCCAGGAAAACCATGTGCCTCCGTCGAGGTGGATCCTCGATGCGGACCTTGAATTTCTATAGAGGTGTTAGTTACCGATGATATCCAATCAAGAATGCTCTGTTAACGTACGTTAAGGCGTTCTGGGTTACCACCCAGAACCCGAGTGAGCCAGAGCTGCTTCAGCTCCTTCTCCAATCGAGAGGGCAGACCGGGGTACATGCTGCTACCACCGGAGAGCACAATGGCCTTGTATAGACTGGATCGAACATCGACATCGGTGCCTTGAATGGTGTTGAAGACCATCTCCGCCATACCAGGCTGATCAACATCAACCAGATGAGGCTGGAACAGACACTCCGCGGCCTCGAATCGCTCGCTACCGACCCGGATAACACGGCCATCAGGAAGAGTGTAAGATTCGACAAGAACAGTGGTGTCCTCAGAGAGCTGCTTGTCAAGCTCAAGGTCGTAGGAGACGTAGCACAGCTTCTCCTTAATCTGACGAACCGTCTCGAAATCGGCGGTTCGGTTCAGCGCATAACCCCGGCGAAGGAGGAGGGCGATGAGGTTACGGGTAACGTCGCGACCGGCGACGTCCAATCGCTTGATGTGGTGGTTCAGCACGGTCGATTCGTACACGGGGATAACGTGTGTCACGCCGTCACCGGAGTCCACAACCACGCCGCTGCTCAGACCTGTTAGATCCAAACTGATTAGTCTATCTCCCTCCCAAATGTGTATATCCGGTCGAATTCGTTCTTCATACCCTGGGCGTACAGTGCCAGCACCGCCTGGATCGCCACATAGACACCGCCGAAGTTGTATCCCTCCAACATGACCTCGGCCATTTGCTCGCGGTTCTTGAGCGGGTTCATCGGGGGCTCGGTGAGGAGGATCTTGCGGCCTGTGGGATCGATCTTCATCTTGTCGTAAAAAGTGTAGTTCCACAGATGTTGCATGTCGTCCCATTTCTTGACGATACCATTCTCCATCTAAAGCGACCCCGCAAGGGACTGCAATTAGCGACACGTTTCTGCGGGGTAGAGAAGGCGCAGGCTGGAAGGTCCTTGTTGGATATCGACGTACCGGGTAGCTGATCTGGAGCATAGAGCGAGCAGCGGCAGCTTCATCACCGCACATGATATCCTTCACCACGATGTCGCCGGACTGCTCCTCCGTCCGCAAGATGGGTCGCCCCACTATCGAGGGGAACTGGTGCTCTGGGAAGTTCTGGGGAAGAGGTTGGGTTAGAGCGATGCTCAATCGTTGAATGGGTATATGCGACATACCTGTGCTGCATATCCGACCTTGAGGAAACCGGTTCCTCCGTCGAGCACTGCGGGCTGTTAGCTTGGGAGCTGGGGGAACACGCGGTCTGCTGGAGAGGGCAGCAGGCAGGGGGGGCCACGTACCAATGGGCATTTCTCCCGCCATAGTGGAGGAGAGGGTGTTCTAGTGCTCTGTAAATAGGTATGCACGGACTTTCCAAAAGGTGCGGAATTGGAGGTGTGAATGGGGCGCGGGGGAGTTGATGTCGGTAAGTGAGCATCTGGACAATCGGAGGTAACTGGCGCCTGCTGCATCATCGTTATTTACGTGACAATACCGTACATGCGCGGCTCCCCGCAGTCTGCGCCAACGTGGGTGTGAGCCGCAGCCGCGTGACAGAACGTGACAACCCCAACGGCTGTGGACATCGTGGCTTGGGAGCTATTAGATGAATGGATTAACAATCTTGAAAAGGACAAATAATTGGGAGATAATAACCAAAAAATAGAGGAGAAAACAACGAGATAGATTGTAGTGAGAGAGGACGAAGAAAAAGTGATGCGGTGGTGTGGCTATATTTAGCCTCGACAGACCCTGGGAGCATCATCATCACAAAAACAATTTGAATGTCACCATAAACTAAACCACAAATTGTAAAATATTAGACTAAGTCCGGCTATAATGTCTTTCCCCAGAATATCAGCACCCCGCATATGAGCCACAGATCCCCTTTAGCCCTTTTGAGGTACCGAGGACCACATGAACAATAACTACGGGGGAGGACAAGGCCAGGTATCGGCCGACTCCGATTCCCCTCGGGAAACGACGAAATCCCCCTCTTCACCGTACTATTAAACGGGCATGGTCGCTTGATTCTGGGGAAATTGACCATTGACAACAATTGCATCAAGTAATAGACTGTGCTAGGACATTGACTTCCTCAAAGTGATCGCTAAGAATTGAACTTCGTTATCAAAACTCGTTATCGGAACATCCCATTAGGGTATCGTCCGACCTCACATCCAATAGCCTGCTCGCTTTCCCGGAAGGCCAAGGGCAGATCACTCTACAATCAATCACAATGACTCAAATCGGCTGGGTAAGCTCAATCTTTTGCAGACTTTGCGGATGATTTTCGTATCCGGACGATAATGAATCGAAGCTAATGCTCAACACAGTATGGCCTCGGGTCCATGGGCCTGGCGATGGCCAACAATTTGCAGCGGCACCTTGCCGCGAAGAAGGCTTTGAGCCTGCTATACACCAATCGCACCATGGCGCGCGGACAACCGCTGCAGTCCATTGGTGGAATCGCTGTGCCTGGATTTAATGACCTGGTGGCTCACAGCAAGATTATCTTCACCATGGTAGGGAACCCCCCCCCTCCCTTTTGCCAGGCTCAATGGCTAGCTAGATATCTTTCATAATGAACCCCACCGTACTAACTTGTGTGCCCAGGTCTCCAATGACATGGTTCTTGAGAACCTGGTATCCTCTGCCCTCGGATCAGGACATACCCTCAAGGACAAGATCTTCGTAGACTGCTCAACTGTTCACCCGGATACGGTGAGCTCTGCAGCCGCGCTACTGAAAGACCAACAGGCCGCTTTTGTCTCAGCCCCTGTTTTTGGAGGAAACCCCATCGCCGTAGATGGCAAGCTAGTCTTTGCCATTGGCGGTCCTAAGAGTGCTACTGAGGTCGTGAAACCCCTTATTCAGGATATCATGGGCCGTCGTGTAATCGAGTGTGGAGAGGACCCGGCGAAGTCTTCCTTGCTGAAAATTGCCGGGTATGTGTTTTGATTGCATAAGACTGGACTTGAAATGTTACTGATGGAGACCTAGAAATATCGTCACTGTCAACATGATGGAAGCCGTTGGCGAAGCCCAAGTATTCGCCGAGAAGACCGGCCTCGGAACTGGCCCTATGGAGGAGCTTATTGGAGAGGCCTTTGGCCCTGTTGCTGGTGGATATTCGAAGAGGTACGTGCGAAAGCTTATGCTAAGTGCAACAGGATTCAGCTCACCTAATTACACAGACTGACCACTGGTGCATATGCCCCGTCCCTGGATTCACGTCCTGGATTTGGCGTGTCATTGGCTATCAAGGATGCTAAGCATGCAATGGACATGGCTCAGGAATTCGGTGTCAATCTCCCTGGCCTCGAGCTGGCTCGTGGTAACATGGAGGCTGCTAGAGAATATGCCGGCGAATGCCTTGATAGCAGCTCGATGTATGGTACCCTGCGTCAGCAGTCGGGACTCGAATTTTGGAACGAAAAGAGCAGAAAGGAGTAGTAGTACTAGAAAAATTAGAAATAAATGCCATTATATGATATATGAAGTAATATTATTCCCTGCTAAAAGTTCTAAGCAACTAGTGTTGTGCTGATATTTCATCGACTTCTATCAACCTTGCGTATGATGTAGCATGAAGTATATGTCCGGCAAAGTTCAAATCGCAAAACACATTAAACATTTCCCATTAATCGAAATTCAAAGAAGTAGGCCAAAGGTCGCTCAGTCGTGAAGAAACGTAGCAGCAATACCGACTGGGCCTAAGACGGAGGTTTGCTCGAATTCTTGTCAGGTCTGATTTGTGTGGTGTCGACCAGATTTGGATAGGTCTCTGCAAACAGTGGACCCAATGACCAGTTGGAGAGATTCCGTAGATGTCGCTCAAATACGGGGTTGATGAGGAGCTCATCTGAACTACCGGCTGACAAGAGACAGTCGGTGTCCTCATAAGGCCAATTCACATTCAGGCCTCGCGTGAAAGGTATGAACCAATTCTCAAAAGGATAGTCCTGGTGGGACATAGCAAGGCGATCACGCATTCGAGGCCAAGGGACATAGTCTATCCATGCAGGGTGTGCGGTAAGAAGCTGTGTGGGCCGCGGAGTATGCCACTCGGGCAGCCGATCATAATTCTCTTGCGTGGGATATACTTGCCAACGCATGATGAGGAACATGGTGTAGAGCACTGCCACTTGCTCTGGAAGTGAGGAGATATCTGGGAAAGTGCGCAGAATATCTGTGAACACTTTGGACACTGGATGCGAGTATACGCTCTTCTCCGGGTTGAGTAACGAGGAAACACTGGGATACGGAGGTCCCGCGAGCTTCTGTCTCGGTATCCCTTGAGCTGCTTCTTGCTGCCTACTGTGAAGAAAGTCTAACAAGATGCTGTCCAAGGGGCATGTCGGTGCGGTATTTTTAATGGGTATCGCAAAAGCGGGCCGCTCCTGGTCAGCCGAGTAGTCCAGTAATTGAGGGTATGGTGGTGGCTCTGAATTCGGTTGTGGGCTGCGGTAGTTCTCTGAACTACTGCGCCGAATCTGGTCGACCTTCGGGACATTGTGGGAAGGGTCGAGGAGGAAGTTGAAGCCGAGCCGCTCTTCTAAGCTGAGGTCTAAGCCGTGGGCGTTGTTGTGGCGTTGGGTATCCAATGCAGAGCGAAACGCGGCTGACTGAACACCTCCGTTGGAACTGTTGCGGCGACTTCCTAGAACCGGGGCGGAGTATGTAGGGGAAGGTGTATCAAGGCTTGCAATTGACTCGTCGTATGACTTGTCGCCTGTGACTGCATGTTGAGTATTTGGGGTAAGGTGGTCGGAATCGGGAAAGGGAGATAAATTAGATGGTGGTGGGATCGATCTGGGTTGACAAACGACGGGTGGTAGATCTATTCTCTTTAGTGCTGTATACGAATAGATTTACCGTGCTATCGTGTTGGACTCACCAGAGGCTTCTGGTCTTGCCAGTAGGGGTTGTATAATGTCCATCACCGTTTTGAGGCTCCGGCGAAGCTCTTGGTTTTCTAACCGGATGCGCTCGTTTTGCTGGACAGCCGCTTGAAGATCGAGGACCGGTTTCTGAGAAGCGAGTTCTCTCACTTGCTGTTCAAGCGCTTCGATATGGGTTTTGGTGCGCTCACGAATGGCGCGTTGTGCTTGGCGGTCATTGGCACGTTTCTTCGCCAATTGATCGGGGGTGAGGTTGGCGACACCTCGCGACGAGGTGCTGTTGAGTTTGCGCTTCCGTCCAGCGGTCGTCAGTCCATTATGGTGGTCAGGGATATCTGGAATGAGGGAATCGGGATCCAACGAGGCTGAGCGCGAAGGCACCGGGGATTCCTCGGGTTTGGCGCCAGTGGCTGGTAATGAGCGGCCCGGCGAAGGCACCGCATAGTCGCTATTGTTGTCCGGGGCGTGGCTGGCCATGGCCTCACGCACGGCTTAGAGATTGATGGCAGCCATTCAAGACTAGAAGCAAGAGAGAGCAGGGGGAAAGGCAAGGAATCGGCATTGGCGTTTGGAGTGGGTCAAGGAATAAGAGCAAGTCCAAGTCCCAAATCCCAGTGCGGTGGTAGACTTTGGGTCGGCTTCGGGAAGGTGACGAATGACAGACTTGCCGTGAGAGGCGGGAGCCTTTACTAGTCATTGACGGAGAAAGACCCCGGAACCCTCAGCCCCTCTTTACTAGTCCCAGTACTAGTAGTACGGAGTACCAGTTAGTATCTGAGTTAGTATCTGGAGTATTCCTCCATAGTCGCGATATCATGATCGACCTAAGATCTTTATAGTACGCGGCAATCTCCCCACCCGGAAAAGACATCCTGACGAGTCTGTGGCATGATCCCGAAGGCCTATGTATTTGCTCCACGTGTAGAATATAGTATATAGTAGGGTCATGGTCATAATCAAGCCATTGACTAGTATAAGAACTTGAAGTTCACCCCTTTCTCCCCCGGAGTTTATCATAGCAGAGAAACGATCATGTACAAGAACTTGAAGACCTCGCGTTCACAAAGAAAAATGAAAATTATGTACTCCTTAGCAAGAAAAGGCTGGTCATGTCGTATACCAGGGTATTTCACTTTCCAATGCATAGAATAGACAGATCACAATATGCATTCCGTGGAAAACAAAAAGAATGAACCAATGGGGAAAAGGGGAAAAGGCAACGAATAGCGATCCTGTAACAAGCGTCCATATCATTGGATCATATGGCCCATTTTCGAGATCTGTAACCACACGCATTAGTACCATTCTTCAAAGTTGCACAGCCTTAATCACAGCCTTGGTATCCAAGAAAAGGGGAAAAAGGAAACAAAACATACCTTAGTTTTCAGATAACCTTCAATCTCCGAACTTTTAATTCCTCGTTCTCCACCAGTACGCCAAGCCAGAGGAATCATTGGCACCCGTTCTTTAACCAATACTTCACGATTCAGTCCCTCAATGGCCCGGACCTTATCAGGGTTATTGGTAAGCAAGCGAACACCTTCTGGATTGACATCTGCTCCGCAACCCAGATCCATCAGCATGGCCGTCGCCAAGCCATAGCTTCGAGCATCCGCCGGGTGTCGGAGCAGCAGGTTCGCTTCGACCGTGTCAGATCCCAGATCCTGGAGATTATATGCCTTCAACTTCTCCCCGAGACCGATTCCTCGACCTTCCTGTCGCAAGTAGATAATAACGCCGCCAGCGGAATGCGATCGCAGGGACTGTGCCTCTGGAGGTGCATCGGATGCCAAGTCCTCGACCGGGAAGGACATCAATCGTGCAGCTTCATCCAGCTGTTCACCGCAGTCGCATCGAGCTGACCACGCTGTTTCGCCTGTGTAGCACTCCGAATGAATTCGTACCAGCGGTGGCTCTACCCTCGTTGAGCCCTCTGCTTGTAATTCATCCTTCTCGTCATCAACCCAGCTACTAACGCGCCCCGGGTGCAATTTGCCCACATATGCGCCTCGGATCATGCGGTCCATCTCCGTTTCTCCAGGATACACGCGATCTAAGCTGCGGCTTCGGATCTTATTACCGAATACAATGGCCAGGTGCTCTTTATTATCCAGGTCGTTATGATAGAGGTGCAGGAACATTTCCGCGCCGTTGGTCGTCGGAATTCGCGCTCGGACAAGACACTCTACTTGCGGAAGCTGCGAGAGTAGTTTGGGTGCTTTGGCGTGCTCGCCTTGGTGTCGGATACTGGCGGACTGGCTTTCATGGAGGGCTTTGGTTGGATTCGAGCTCAGATTCAATGTTCCGCCGGGAGTTGCAGGCGGGGTGAATGCGGGTGATAAAAGGGAGTCGGGGAGTGCTGGGGTTTGTTCGCCTGTCGCAAGGCCACTACCCTGGCTGGCGTCGTCTGGGAAGCCATCCGGGCCGCTGGTCGGAGCGAGGGACTGCGGGGGAAGTTTTGGTGAGGCGTGCGCCGGAAGGTTCGCCATTGCGACGGTCGGCAATGGAATGGAGTGTAGGAAGGATTTCGGAGTGGTGGTAAAATAGGCTGTACTGGTTATGGGATTGGGAAAAAGACAAGCATTGAGGTGGAAGTCGGAATTACTCTCGGTGCCACCGACAGTCTCATGGCGTCAATTATCTCTCCCTCGGCACCGGCACCGGTCATGAGGGGAAATTACTACACGCACAACGGAATATTGACCGACAGCACTATAGCCCGCTGAGTCAGCTCTATATCCGCAACGCGACTTTCTTTACTGCTGTTTTAAAAGGAAAGGGTGGTAAATATGACCAATTACGGGACTAAATAGCATACTGAATAGATTTGAAGCCATTAAGAGCTGCTAATATGGGGTAAATGTTGAGTTATAGATCAACCAGAGACAAGTGACAGCTCCAGATTAGGAAGGTGGCCTGCCGAGCTACCCGCTTGTCGTGGCAATAGTAAACTCTATGCTGTGGGCGGATCAACTCCCATGGGGGACCTGAGTCATCAAATTGTCAGTGCTTACTCTAGCAGCTTCCATCACTCAGTTCCGAAATCTCCATAGTGGATCGCATAGTATCTTAGTCTTATCATTTGTTACTATATTTTAGGTTTGTAACTTGGGATACGTAGTAAGGATGCCAGTTTGGCTAAATGAAAACATAAATCGTATATGGTCTCTCCGCTTCAAGTGGTAGACATATTGAACTCCAGAGTAGCGCCTCGCTAAAGGGTATCAAATCAGATCAAGAACAAGATCGTGGGTACATCACCGCCGTCCCTATTTGTTCGGGATGTCCAGGACATAGCGACGGTCAACTTCCATCTCCTTATCGTCTTCCTCGCCCTCAAATTTGAGGCGGTAGACGTCCTTTTCTCGACCCCATCACCTCTGCTCGATAGAAGGTAGTGGTGTCGGGATACCGTGCGAGAACCTGCTTCCCGACAGTAAATGAAGGCAAAGAGGAGCTCACTTGGGGAATTGGAATGAGCGATGATGCGGTCGTCTTATAGACAGCGCCTTGTTCCCCGTTCTCGTTAGGTTCGGGGTCTTGCACATCGTACCATCTGTTGGAGAGGAATCAGCCATGGAACTGTCATTAAGCCTGCCAGGGGGTCATCATACCGCTTCTTGTGACCGTCGCCAGATATGTTCTTGATTATGCATTGTATGCCCTCGCCTTCCACTCCCTGCTTGTTCTTGTTGTGCTTAAAGACAACCTGCGCTCCGACGACGAGAAGCCCACTACGCTCCGCGACAGCGCCCTTGGTACCTTCCGAACCTTCCTCAACCTTGACGGCAACGGTGACTGCATCGCCGCGACCCTCGCGCGCCTGAGTGCTTGAGACGCTGGCGCTGCGCGGGACACCGCCCTTGGAACGACTAGACTTGTCCGCACCGGAGGCACTTGGGGAATCAGTCGAGCTCTCCATATCTTGTCTTTTTTTACGCGATTTCGAAAGGGCATTGGATCGGTTGGGAGGGGCTTCTGCCTCGGAGGCTTTGCGAAGTGCTGTGAGTAGTTCCAAGTTCTTGATCACGTCGCATGGCTCGTCCTGCATGATCGATCGTTCGTCCTCGCTAAGTTTCTGACTCTGGCGCAACCATGTATCTAGTTGGTCATGTTCGGACATGGTGGGTTCTTTGCGAATCGAGGATCAGCTAGGTACGCGGGGAGTTTATAGCTCACACGTCATATCTCCAAGTTCGCATCGAGTGATACGCATGTTTCACCGCGGCAAACGCGATCGGGTGTGACTTACTGTTTCCATCTCGTGTTATCTTGTCGTTCAACGCCTTGATCTGAACGGAAAGGGAGGCCTGTTGATCGAACTTCTCCTTGGATTTGTGGATGTCCTGGCATATTCGGGTCCACAGCTCCATCTCTTCGTTGTTACCAAGCCCATTGTCGCGGGGCCGGGGACGATTGCGGGACATTTTGATGTGGAGGAAGATGGAAAGCTACCAAATCGAGCAGGCTCAAAAGTGGGCACCACAAGAGGTGGGATCTGGGGAATTGACGACTGGAAGCTGGGGGAAGCTGATCGAGGATCGGGGCGGTGATAAGCCCAAGGCGGTCGGCATTAGACGCGCGCCTAGGGTTGGCGCCAGGGCGGTCGTTCTATACTTCCAGATTGGGATGGTGAAGGTGATTATAATCTAGCGTAGGCCTATCTTAACTATAAATGAGATCGCTCTATCTCTACTACATACGCATATTCATGAACAAAAGTTGTTGTAGGCTTCTTGGTGGTTGACAGTCTTCGAATGCGGGGTTGGTTACTGGCAACTATACGCGCTCCAGCTCGCTTGGAGTATTGATATTTAGGTAGTAGCCCTGGAGTGTTGTTTGATCATTCGATTACCAAAACGATCGGTAAATACAATATTATGATAGCAAGGGCGCACCTTTCTGATCATTGATCCCTTTCGGTCGATATGGTGAACCTTTCGAGTTCCGGTATTTGATATCAACAAATCAATAGACTTTGATGGGAATAAGTAAATGTTTGGCTTGTCTGATAGAGCATTCCAAATGTAGGGTGTGGACCTCTTTCAATGCCGGAAACGTGTCAAATTCGCGTGGATCCAAAAGCAGACCCTGGTGTTACAATGGGTTGTCCTCACCGGGGAGGGTCTGAGGGTCTTGGCGTGGAGATTCTGCGTAATAGAAACCCGCTGAGGCGCCCACCCCAATTCTCTTCTACACATCTTCTCGAAAATGCAGATTCCTCTACTTCGGCTGCAATGCGGTATGTATACTCTCTAACAATATAACCGGCAATTCGCTAACTCGTCCAAAACAGGCGTCAATAGTTACGATTGGGGTAAGTTCGTCTCACTCATGTTGTTTGCCCCGCACTCAACCCCATCATAGGCAAGGTCGGCCAAGAGTCGGCAGCAGCTCGGTATGCCGCAACTACGGCTGCCCCGGATTTCAAGGTCGAGGATGACAAGCCATATGCAGAGGTGAGTCCCGATCATGGCCCTATAGCTACTTTAAAAGCAAGCCCGTGGCCGCTAATCAACTTTACAGTTGTGGATGGGCACTCACCCCTCGCTACCCTCGAAAGACGTCGAGACCCAGCGTTCCCTCCTCGATCTCGTACAGGACAACCAGGCTCTCCTATCGACCGAAATTAGCGAGCGATATGGCAGCCGCCTTCCATTTCTGTTCAAGGTGCTCTCCGTCCGCAAGGCCCTGAGCATTCAAGCCCACCCCAACAAGAAGCTGGCCGAGCAGCTCCACGCGCGGGATCCGAGAAACTATCCCGGTATGTGTCGTAGATATAAGCTTGAATCTATCTGAATTGGAGGCTTACACACAACTGCTCTACTCAGATGACAACCATAAACCCGAGATGACCATTGCCGTCACCCCGTTTGAAGGACTCTGCGGCTTCCGCCCACTCGCCGAGATCACCCATTTCCTCCAAGCTATCCAGCCCCTCCGCACACTCGTTGGCAGCCAGGCTGCCGGTGACTTTGAACAGGCCGTCAAGGGTAATGAGGACTCGGAAGACTCGTCGGTTATTCAGAAGAACAAGGATGCTCTGCGATCTTTGTTCACCATCCTGATGGAATCTGCCCCCGAAAAGGTCGAGACCGCTTGTAAGGAACTTGTTGCTCTCGCAAAGGATTCCCCAGACAGCTTCGGTACTCTTCCCGGCGAGGTCGAGACCAACCCGTCCAACCCTGGCGAGCTGGCCGAGATCATTGGCCGACTTGACCAGCAGTTCCCCAACGATATTGGATCATTTGTTTTCTTCTTCCTTAACTTTGTCAAGCTGGAGCCCGGCGAGGCTATGTTTTTGAAGGCTGATGACATCCACGCTTATGTTTCGGGAGATATTATCGAGTGCATGGCTTCTTCCGACAACGTTGTCCGCGCCGGCTTCACCCCTAAGTTCAAGGACGTCGATACTCTGACCAAGATGTTGACCTACTCCTACGCCCCCATCGAGGATCAGAAGCTCCGACCAACAGACTACCCATATACTATCCTGAACGCGACAGCTTACTCGAGTGCTTCCGAGTCTATGCTTTACGACCCCCCCGATCGAGGAGTTCAGTGTTGTCAAGACCGACTTGAAGCGCACTGGCGCCAAGGCGACCTTTGACCCCATCGAGGGCCCCAGTGTCATCATTTGTACTCGTGGCAACGGGACCATCACTGTCGGAAGTAAGACGGAGGAGGTGCGCGAGGGCTATGTGTTCTTCGTTGGCGCCACTGCTGAGTGTATCATCCAAAACACTGGCAGCGGAGAGGGCGAGGATGATGTCTTTACGACGTTCAAGGCGTTCTGCGAACTGGACGGTAAGGAGGACTTGACCAATGGCAACTAGGTCCTCAATTCTAATCTGGATATGTTACAATAGAGCGTGCTGCACGTAGTGCGAATCTGTGACATACTCTGTCAAAAGGCTACAACAATGAAATTGCATGAATGAATGGAAATATTCTTAAGTCAGCCTTCAAGTAGGAATGGAAACAAAATTGTTATTATCAATTACTTGCCAAGACTAAATGCCCAAATCAATATATGTTTGTAGTAAGTACTGACGTACTCCTAAGGTTGTCGGAAATGAGGCGGCCCCACACGGGCCAGCCGAGGCTACAATGGAAAGATCGGCCTTTTCAGAGCGGGGATGCTGCAGCTCAGCTCTGGGGTTTCAGCTCCAGATCCATTCCAAGGTTCCATTCATTATATCACTGCGGATTCTCCATCTCTCGCTTTCACTTTCACTATTGACCGCACTCCATATCTTTCATCGCTAAATTCAAACTGGAATCTGAGCCATGCCTGACACCAAGAGGGACCCCTGCGTACCCGAGCTGGGCCTCTGGGAGCGAGCTGATATTCAGTTTGGTAAGATCACCATAGTTGCAAACGTTCTTTATGCTGCCATCACTGGAGTATTCCGGGGCAAGAGTAGCCCGAAGGCCTACTCGAGTCATCTACTGGCCACGGCGGTGCGGACGTTGATCGATCGGCTCTCCATTCGCCAAAACCAGTACGTTCATCCCTGCCATCGGTTCCTGTTATCAGATATGAATAATGGGATGCCCTAGGGTATTCTATGGCGGATATTCGAATCGGAGATATGGATGAAAACCGAGAATATTGACAATATATAGATATATGAATCCCCCGACACCAGCAACCTACAAGGCCGTGATGGAGAAACGAGGCTTAAAGCCCGAGACTGTTCCTCTCCCCCACGACACTGAGGGCTACTGGCTAGGAAACAAAGATGCAAAGAATGTCTTGGTCTTTTTTCACGGTGTGTACAACTCCATCTCATCTACAAATCACAGATACCTGGGACGTGTAACCAAGCCAACCCAAATCCCTCGCACAACCCGGAAGCTAATCTAGATCTTATTCAACCACACAGGAGGCGGCTTCGGCTTGCCCGCCACGCCTGCGCACTTTGAATTCTGGCTAGATCTATTGAAAGTCGCGAATGAGAACGGCCATGATATTGCTGTCTTCTTCCCTCGATACACACAGAGCCCATATGGTACTTACCCAACCCAACTGCGTCAAGCAACCGGTGCCTTGCGCTACATCCTTAATGAGACCGGTAGATCCCCCGCCAACGTTGTCGTGGGCGGTGACTCCGCTGGAGGTAATTTGGCCCTGGCTGTCCTACTGCATCTTTCTCACCCGCACCCGGAAATCGACCCTATCTCTCTATCTGCTCCCCTGGCCGGTGTATTTGGCCTTGCACCCTGGGTCAACTTCGCCACGGACTGGCCTTCCTTCAAGGATAATGCTTACAAGGACCTCCTCACCGAGCGGGCACTGAGCGAATGGTCCGCGGCTTACAATCCTGGAAAGGAGCATGATGCTTGGAGTGAACCTGACCGCGCTCCTGCTGAGTGGTGGGCGGATGCAAAGACAGAGCGCATCCTACTTCTCGCGGGATCGGATGAGCTTTTGCTATCCCCGATCGAGTCCTTCGCGAAAAAGATCAAGGTATGTCGATTTGCGTTTTCGTGGCCCTTCTGAAGATACACTAATGATTGAATGATCTCTTTTAGTCTGTTTTCCCCAATACTACCTATGTTGTTGGTACCGATGAGGCTCACGACATTATCTTTTATGGTAACCCTGGGCCCGAGGGCGTACAAACTGGCAACGAGCTGCGACAGTGGCTTTTGTCTCGCCTGTAGACGTGATGAACTGCATGTTGTTACGACTTTTCGATTATTCCTGTGCTGTGAAGCCACGGAGATGGGCGAAACTGTAATTAGTTCGATAATGAAGTCGCTGGTTCTACGGCTGTTCATGGCTCTTGCGATGCTGTAACTCCTAGAGGGGATTCGAACCCATCCTCGCCCAAGAGAACAATACGCGGAACAGAAAGAAAGTCCTAATTCAGAAGCCCAGTATGATCAGACCAAAGATACATTCCCCAAGAAGCGTCTATGGACGATGTCTATTGAGAAGCCTCGATAACGCACTGATAAGATAAAAAGGACGTTTCCTATCGAACAATGGGATGGGATTGCACGTTGGTAGTGGTCGTGTCAACTCATAAAAAAACAAAAGAAAGAGCGGAATATCATGAACCCCGGCTGTAAATAACTGGCTTCACAAAACTATTAAAGCAAAGGTTTCCCCCAAAATTTCCTACCGTCCATAATTAATCTACTCACCGCCTCAAGACGACACCTTCGGCGAGTACTTGGCTGCGGCAGTATCGAAGAGGGCACTCTTCTCCTGGATGTCGGCGAGGAGTGCGTGCGAGGGCTCAGTCTGCTGCAGAAGGCTGTAATTGATTCTGTTAGCTTTGTGGTCCGTCCGTCGCGCGGGGAGGGGGCCTCTTCTCCCGGGTTGTACGTACGATTCCAGATCCGCGGAGGGCTTTCCGGCCAGGACGTTCAGGACAATTGTGTTGGCGATCAGTTCGGCGTCAGTGGGGTATTTCTCCAAGGCGGCAGTGAGGGCGGCTTCGGCTTCGGGCAGACGGCCTAGATGGAGCTCTGCGACGGCCTGGCCGACGATAGACAAGGGGGCGGAGGTGCTGGGGCCGGAGGCGAGCTCTTCGTAGACGTAGAAGGCAGACTGGTACTTTTCTCCTCCCTGGAGATGAAAAAAGAATGTGTTAGCCAACCTGTCGCAAACGATGCTGAGATGATTGAATACGTACAACACGCAGACCAACCCATGACTCGGCGATGTTGACAAGCAGCGAATCCTGAGCCCATCGCTTGGCGGCCTGGACTTCCTTGATCGCGAGGTCGGAGCGGTTCTGTTGGAGGTGAATCTGGACTATCAGGGAAATACTGAATTGCGCAAATGGAACTGTCAGCGCCTTGATCGTTTGGGTTCGATTGCTTATGGCGAAACACTCACGCCTCGAGGTTACCCTGGTGCTTGGAGAGTACGGCAATGGCCTCCTCGTTTTGTCCTTGGGCCTGCAGCACGGTTGAAGCAAGCACTTGCACGGTTGCATTATCGGGGTAGTTCTCTGCGAGATCCTGGGCCAACTGCAGAGCGGCGTCGGTCTTGCCCGCCACTTGTTGGGCAAGGGCCTTGGTGGCGGCCAGGTCGGGGGTGTCCTCTTCGCTGGCAACGGCGGCCAGTACCTCGTCGCTGTGGCCGAGGGCAATTTGGGAACGAAGCTTGAGCACGCGAGCAGGGAGCTGGTTCTCGGGGGAGAAGGCGGCGGTCTCGAAGTCGATTACGTCCTGGTATTGACCGGAGTGGAAGGCATTGTGGATGTTCAGGAGCTCTGTAAGGGTGATGAGCAGGTTGTATGGAACTGTTAGACAATTTAAATATGCTTACCGCCCTCTGCTGAGAAAGGATCCATGTTGAAGTGAATGGGGTTTGGAGAAGGGGGGTAGATGTGTTGATTGATGTTTCTGGCCGCAATTGACTGCTGGCCTAATCGCGGAGCTGGCAACTCTCCCGAGGGCAAGTGGGCCGACCGCCTTGTACATAGTTGTCAACGTTGTCAACGGGAAATCATCCATTCAGTTGACCTGTTATATTTTAAAATAATTTGACTCGAGGCAATATAGAATTCTTGATTTATTATTTAAGCTCCCCTTATTTTCATCATCTATTCCTGGTGTCTTGGATGGATTTTTATGGCAAATCGAATGACTTAAGTTGCCAGGAGGACTGCTCGAAGACGAGTTGGTGGCTTGTATGGGATTGCACCCAAAAAAGCGATCCTGAGGTTACTGACCGTTGCTCGTTCGATCTGGCGACACAATTGCTCATATTGCCATTCTTGCGATCAATCTCTTTTCCAGTCTCTTACTCAGGCAGATGTCTTAAACTTAAAAAAGTCTTGAAGCCCATGATATGGCGTGTATATTTCAAGTTGGTTCATCCTTTCAATATCTACAAAACAACTCAAAGGTGTTCAATTTCACGGAGCTACGGTGAGAGAGGTTGATATTTTGGTGTGATAAAAGGTCCATTTCATTGTTTGAGTACAAAAAGAGCTCTTCGAGCTCATATACATGCAGGACCTCCATCACGTACATGAGAGAAATTAACAGGCATATTTGAGTGATCAGTCTGGAAACAGAATTTAAAAATACAAAAGAAAATCAGATATCGTGGACAAAGGTACAAACTTAGACAATAGAGTGGTATCAATCTGGGAACATGAACAAGAAACATAAATGGAGATGGTATCAATGTGGTAACTTTGAATCATGAAAATAATACAGTCTGGTCACATGGTAGATCTTCTGAAGTCGTAGAGACGGTATTAATCTGCCCAGGTGGTATATAAAGAATACAGATCTCAAGATACAGTCTTAAATGACTTTCTTTCCCTTAATGCTTGAACATTTTCTTGAACTTCTTGCATGCCGACGAACGGTGAGATACCACTTGTCGCACTTTACCTGCGAGGAGCTTCCCAATATTCAGTTCCCCGGTAGAGGCTGTGAAAGAAGACGCGGATACGGTGGAAGACAAGGCCATGGAAGGTATCTCGATGTCCTCGAATGGCGAATACATGTAATCATCTTCGGCAAATTTCGCACAGGCAGTCTGACTCCGTCCCTTTTTGGGATCACCTGCTTGGCAAATTTGAGTTCGCAAATCAAACAGAGCACTAGTTGCTGGTCTCTGTTGAGGGAAGGGAGGTTTGGCCTCAAGTTGGATATCACTGTCGATGGAGGTACAGACAGTGGATGAGGTAACCGATGCGACATCACTTTCATCGTTTTCAGTGAAGTCGGTATCGGTGTTGTTGTCGTCCCCAGATTTGCGAATGGGAGAATCTGAAGTTTCCTGTGCCCACTTTGAGATGACAGCCTTGTGGTCTGTCGAGGGCAGGGCAGCGAGGGCTCGGGGGGTTAGTCCCCCAGAGCAAGAAGATAGGCGAGGTCGTGGTGCAAGGATTGCATCAGTGTTTACCTCGATGGTTCTATTTATAATGTTAGAGAATAGATGGAACTAAGAGGATATAATGATAATATACTAATACTTACCGTGGGTCGTAGAATGCTTTATTTCTCGACATGGCGTCGAGCCAGTCGAAGCCCTGAGGCTGCTCGTAGAAGCGAGGGCTGGTAGTCATCTTGGCTATATGTATTTCGCAAGATGGGAACTTGAAGTGGAAGAGATATGTGGATGAGGAGAAGAGAAAGACGTGGTACGTAGCGACAGAAACATACTTAAATAGAAAAATCAATCGAATGATTATGTAGTGCTCATACATTAATCATTTTGGCGAAACGGGCTTAGTAGCAAGAGATTTCATCAACCTGTATAGTACAGTTCTTTCCATTTCGGGAAAAGCATACTATGGTACCAGAGTTCAATCTCGACCGTGGTAGAGGAGTCAGATCTGTCTATTTGGGCTTATTTTAGAAAGTGAATCTTGCGTTCCATGGCCTCGTTCATCAGGGCAGGGGCAGAACCACGAATATTCTCTTGGTTCCAATTTTGAAGTTTTTCTTCTGGACTACATCTACTAAATTTTCAACAATATTTGTGGGATCAGAGGTAATTTTGAACTCTGGCCCGACACATTTTGAGTTCTATTCTCAGAGTATATCCACTGGTACTAGTAGATCCCATATAATATTTGTATAATTATTACTAGTACTAATTAGTATTTTGTACTTTGGCCGAGCATGAGATATGATTATGACGTCATATTGCTGGAGTTGGAGACGAACAGATGATTGGCATCTCTTCAGGATGTCGAACAGGGCGTTTCAATGAGAGTTGACTTCGAAATAGGCTCACTAGAGAATTGTAGATGTCGCAGAGACATGTAAACCCTAAATTCTGCCCAGACGATCCCAACTTGGCCATAGCGCGGGATTGATGACCCCCGCCCGCTCGCGGACATTTCGTATTCGCTCCATATCCCTCCACAGAAACCAGTATCAGTACTCTAACGACATGGCTGATGACAAGGAGTCAAGCGCCGTTCCGGTATCTCCTCCGGTAAACGACGGGGGGGACCGCAAATTTGGCAGCGCCTCCGGTACACGACGATGCCAAGGTTACAAAAACCAAGAGCAGTGGTCCACAAACAACAGAGGAGCTTCCAACTCCCGAGACCTGTCGTAAGATCGAGGACTATCAGGTACTGGATCGCGAGGGTAAAAAACACTCTTTTAAGAGTGTGTACGATGGCCCTAGCTCTGCCGACCGCGTGGTGGTGATCTTCATCCGCCATTTCTTTTGCGGTGTACGTATACCTGGCTGAAACTTCGTATCTTCGAGTTCTACGTGCCATTTTGGGTTAAGGTCTAGCATTAGAGTACTGACACTATATTTATTTTTACTAGAGCTGCCAATAATATCTTATTACCTTGTCGAAAGCTATTCAGCCAGAGGGCTTGCTAAAATTGCCCACCAGCACATCGATCGCCATCGTCGGCTGCGGTGATCCAGGCTTGATAGATTCCTACGCCAGCCGCACGGGCTGTCAATTCCCAATCTATGCCGATCCTACGCAAAAGTTGTATGAGGACCTAGGGATGGTTAGTAACCTGGCCATGGGGCCGCAGCCGGGGTATATACGCAAAAGTATGCTACGGGTCATCGGCGAGTCGGTCGTGCAAAGTTTGAAGCAGATCCCAAGCGGACTGGCACTTAAAGGAGGGCCAAGCAATCAGAACGGCGGTGAAATTATTTATGAATCCGCTGGAGAGGGGCAGCCGAAGCAGATGACTTGGTGTCATAGAATGACAACAACGCGCGACCATATCGAGGTCGATGAGCTGGTGAAAGTCCTCGACCCAAGTCAGCAATACTTCCAGAACCCTCAGGAATGATTCTATCCATACTTCAAGTCTGAAGTTCTATTTTGTGACAGTACTCTGGATGTTATGTTGCTTGCTGCCGTCACATTACTACAAGTGAAACCCCCTGAGCTTTAATCGATATACGTGTTCTCGTTGTATCTATTGAAATACTAGTAATGACTCTTGAAACCTCGAGCTGGAAATGTTGCAGACGGAGAAAGACATCCATGGATATAGACAGAATATTTCCATCCTGTCTCCCAACAGGTATAACTAGTGAGTGACATCGGCGACCAAGATTCAGAGAGAAATACAAAATGGGCTTTGTTACCATCTCAAAGAAAGGACACAGCCTCAAGGGGCCTCGAGTAATTTCTTTCTATATCAAAGAAGCATTCAGTGTGAGCTTGCCTTCATAGTCCATAAAAGTGGAGGCGGCACTTAATCCGGTCGAAGTATAAAGAACTGGACAGTCTCGGAGATCCCTGCAATTCTTATTATGATAAATAGTACTAGGTAAGATCATGTAAAATGCCTGTCTCTTTGGCATGCGCTGATATGGACCTTTGTTATCTTTGTGCTTATCGAATGTTTCAGCTTTTGTTTTATTTGATATCTTAAATAATGTGGAACTATTGTTCAACTTGAATTTTCTTTGTTATAGTTAAATAAATATATGAATAGCTACCGCCAGTGAGATACAGCCACCCGAGAAGTATAAAAGAGCCTAAAACTCGTCTCAAATTACAGACCCAGTAATAATTTCGAAATTGTCTTGTGGCCCCAGATATACTACTAGTACACTATTCGACTAGACATAAGACATTTACAATAACTTTCACGCCAAACATGGCGTTACTCCTGGTTTTTTACTGGGTACTCCTTGTCTGTTGCTCTATTTCCGGGGTCTTCGTGTCTGCAGCAGGGAGCGATGCGATGAAGACATCTGGCGCAGACATTGAAGTGGGGAGCCCAGAATGGGCTACTAGCAAGGAATTCAATCCAGATAGGCTTCAGGACCTTTATATACTATCGGATGATAAAGGGCAAAAACAGATCTCTAGAAAATGGGCAAACCAGCTAGAGAAGAACAGAAGCAGCCGAGAAGCACAGTGGAGTGCTGCCCAGAATGAGTTCGAAACTCTACAGTTCGGCACTAGCAAACGAAGCAAATCTCGATTTATGCAACTCCTGGATAGATACAGAGCAAAAGTCATGAATTCTCGAGAAGAGACTGCTCACAATTATCGAATCGTGGATGACCTCGAAGAAGGAGGAATCATCACCGGATCAGGAGGTCGGTATATAAAGGCAACATCGATACAGTTTCAACTTAACGGAGGAAAACTAACAACTGTGAATGCCGTCCTCAGCTGCAACCCATTCAATACTATCTGCAAGGATATGCTTTTAAAACTTCATCCTTCTGTTAGATCCATGCTTGAAAATATCCTGCGATACCTAGTCGCACCCATGGCAGCTCAATATCGCGATGTGACGGTTTACCCTTTGTCACTCAACATAGATATTCGACTAGAAAGTATTTATGATCGTCAGCACAATCATTTAAACACTGGACTTTCTTCCGTATCTTCTGCCAATAGCGATACTAGGGTGATAACCATCCAACTCCCATATCTGAACACATTGGCGCGATCCTATTCGAAGGATACCGTCTGGAGGGAGATTATGGGAACTGTGACACACGAGGTTACACATTTGTTCCAATGGTATAACCACCGACTTCAACCTACAAAACAGCTAGGCTTGATCCACTTTAATTCCCCACTGGGCGTTTGGCCATTTTCTAGGTCAAGCAGTCTTAGCGATAACAACTTTCAGGCACCAGCCTCAGCGCCAACAGAACTTCTAGAAGGAATTGCAGATTATGTTGTAGTGAGATCCGGACTGGAAAAGCTTCATTGGAGACGACCAGCTTCGTCAGAAGAGCTAGCTAACAGGTGGCAAGCGGGCACTTACCACCGAGCCTTCTTTTTTGAATGGTTGGAGTTGCGGATCGGAGAGGGTACCGTTGGCAGATTGATGGGATCTGTTTTGGATTCCGGATACGTGGGAAGTTATCCAGATGCAGGTGCCCCCTGTGGACTTGAATACGGAACTTGGGAGACTGTGACTGGTATGAGTGCTGAGGATCTTTGGAAGGAATATGGTCGGTTTGTTGATTTCACTATCGGACAACGAGTGGATCCTCGCTGGACGTGGGCACATGTCTACTTCATTCTTTTCGTTATTACTATAAGCTATCTGGTTTTATGCGACTTGAAGTGGGATAACAGCTGGAACTTGAATCAGTGGACCCAATATTGCAATAAATTAACTCCTAGCTGGGATACCCTATTCCCTCTCAACCGGAACTTGAAAGATCGGGCTTCCAATATCAGAACTAGGATAAGTGAACATCGACCTGCTTGAGGCAACCATCTAGTTGACTAATTTGAATAGCGTACTTACTTATGATTTTCCAGATATCTTATATTTATGAAGTTAGGATTCTCTGCAATGTTATATAGCGGCATTCAAATGAACCAGGGCTTGAAACGAATTTCTTCTTTTCCAACTTGAAGGTTTTGCTCAAATTTTACCACTAATAATACTATGAAATTTACCATTGATTAATATTCTTCATAATCATCATAAATAAAGAGAAAGGAGCAAAAAAGAATAGTTAAGGCGTTCACCCCTTCTTGACCGTGATACTGCCTTAAGGAGTTCAGTAGTCGTATTATGTCCGAAGGTCTGAGCTCCGTAATCTTGAGGACCAGGAGGCTGAGATGTGGGGGCCAGAATTGAGGGGCTTGTTGATGCCAGTGACTAAAGGAAATAAAATAGAGTAAATATTTAAATATGATAATAAGGTCCGGAAAGGTCCAAGGTTGGTGGGAGTCACTAAATTAGTTAAGGTGAAATGATCAGTCTCTTAGCAATATCAGAATGACGATCAAGCCTGGAGAGTGCCAGACGTAGATTCTTCCGCACAATGCTTAAAAATAACCGTGGAATCTCCCAGCTATCCATCTACTTTGTAAGAAAGCCTATCACATGATGCCAGTTGGTCAGAAATCCCATAGTTATACCTATCTAGGAAGGGAGTGCGGAGAAATCGTCGTCATCACGGGCGCTCACTTTCGTCAAAAGCGCCACCTCCGGTCAGTTGTTGCTGCTTCAAGAGCGCTACCCAAGTCGACAAGATCATTATGGAAATTGCCGATACCAGCAAGCTTGAGTTTGAGGGCCTTGGTCTCAAGCATAGGGGAAATGGACTTTGGTTCAAGTACCTCTTTCTCGGCGACGAAGCTGATCCAGCGAACAATTACCTCTTTGTTCTCGCTCGCCAACAAAGCTTCTATTCACCCGTGCACCGCCACAACTTTGACCAGTTTCGCTATCCTACTATGGGCAATATCAATATACTCCCAGAAGTTGACGTTCACCAAGGCGAGCTTTGTTATCATCCCGAGGGTGTCTATTACGGCCCGCAGGACGACGGCGACGAACTCAAAGAGGTTCTGGTCCTCCAGTTTGGCGGTGCAAGTGGTCAGGGCTTCGTGAGCCATGCAAAATTGGCAGAAAGTCAACAAAAACTTTCCACCCAGGGTCGGTTTGAGCGTGGCAAATTCATTCGCCGACGAGAGAACATCGATGGAACTGGCGATGAGGAGTCGGAGCCCATCGACGCTTTCCAGGCGTTATGGGAGGATCAGACGGGCCGGTCGCTCGTATACCCAGAGGGACGCTATGACCGTATCATCAAAATGCAGCCGACTGCATATTCGTGGACCAAGGTGCACGGCGACAGTGGGGTCTGGAAGAAAACTCTCGGGGTTTTCTCAGAGCGCGAGACAAGAGCGGAAGTAATCAAGATTGAGAAAGACAGTTGGAAAATACCGGCCGATGAGGCTATACACCTGCTCTATTTGTTGAAAGGGGAGGGCTACGCTGATGGGGACGAAATTAAAGCCGGATGGGCTGGACGAATCCAACCAGGCAAGGCTGCAGAGATAAAGACGGACACCGGGCTACACATTCTCCACTTCAAGTTACCCCTACTAGCGCCGGAAAATAATGAGGATGGGGTAGGAAATAAGTAACTCAACTTGCTAGAGTCTTAGTAAGAAGTGCTGATCTGATTGAGAGGATGAGGCCATTCCGAGCCCGCCGATACTATAATACCATATCAACAGCCTATGTGTGGTTTGTGAAAACACGCTTCAAGGGGTATTAATTACTATCTTGAATGCTTAGTAGAAACTTGAGTTTAAAGCCGCAAAGTCCATCCTAGTCTAAACTCCATCTACCTAGCCCTGCCATCTGAAACGCCCTTCCTTCAGAGTTTTCACCACTCCCAGGGGCATGAACTCCCGGTTAACAGCCGCCAGACTTCCGTAGGTGTGCACCATCTCGTCCTGATAGAGTTCCGCGACCCAGCGCCAGTAAGGTGTCATCACGGTCCATTCCGGGTCGATAGTGCGCTTGCTTGTTGTGCTCGTGGGGCCCTTAAGACCACTCATGTTTTTTCTCAAATCGCCAGTGTTCGCAACACTCTTCTCTTTTGGGATTTGGATCAAGTCGCAATAGGCAGAATAATACCCAAGACTGAAGGTCTCTGGGTACTTATTATGCTCTTTCAGTGAAGGAAATGAAAGAGGTTGGTCATTTGAAGCCCGAAGTGTTGTTGGAAAATCCGACCCCTGTTTCTCGAACCTTTCCTTGGCCTCGTAATAACGAATCTCGTCCGCTAAAATCGCCTTCTGGAGTCTTCTTTGCGGTGTTTGCTTGATGCTTTCACGCATGGAGAGAAGATTGACAAATGGATTCAGTAGCTCGAGACCGCCCAACTCAACAGGATAGTAGAAGAATCCTTCAGGAAGGTCATGGATATTGAATCTTTCTGCGATGAGTCCTCTCAGATAGTTGGTCACTCCACCTTTCTGTTCAGCATCTCCATGGGAAGATTTTCCAAAAAGAGCAGCCTCGATACGGCTGAGTGTTGCAATCGCCATGTCAATATGATCTCGGCCGAAACACAAGGCAGGCTTTGCAAAATTGTTGGCAAAGAAGCGCCCAAAATATCCATTCCACGCCTGGACCCACTCAAAGATGCTCTTGCAAGATGAAAGCTGGCGATATAGCTCTTCGACGTGCTGATCCACCTGTTTCTGATCGATGACGAACTTACCCTGCTCTGCATCGAGGACCAGGAAGCCCCAACGAATTTCACCGACAGGGAGAATTTGACTTTTCTGGACTTTGCCCATCTGGACTGTTCCGGTTTTTTCTTCGTTGAATTCCAGTCCCATCAAGTTGGCAAACTTGGTCATAGACTTCCAAGCTTGTTCACAGTCTTTCCCCGTTCCCCAGAACCAGAAATCATCATGTAGTCGGTACAGAATATTTCCGTTTGTTCCTTGGTTCACTGCATAATCCATACAGAAAAGGACCGATTCCCCGAAGCAGTCTGAAAGAGTGTGGCTCATAGGAATTCCACGCTTGCGGGTTTGCACTTGAGCAGCAGGACCGTCTTGCACAAATCTTAGCGGAGCCTCGAGGAACACTTTGAAAAAGTTCAGCCACTTTTGGGGAACACCAAAGTACTTAAGGACAGTTAGAGCGGTTGTATGGGGCAAGGATGGACCAAACCACTTGTAGTCGGATCGAACCGCAGTGAACTCGCCCCTAGCATTCTTTTGGATGAGGGATTCGGTGATCAATCGGTGAAGTAGAGAGTGCTTTGTATTCAAGGCACTTTTAACCTGAGAATTGTCGTCATAGTTTTGAGCGCCTTCGTCGACAGATTCAGGTAGTTGACTCATAAAATATTCTTTCTGGTATGTGGCTTTTCGCAAATTATTGATGGTTTGGTTTGCAGAACGAGAAGGCCTCCCATAGAAGTATTTGCGTCGTTCCATGTACTCTTCAGGAATCTTCTCTTGAATGGGAGTCCAGGCATGTGAAAGCAGGAACGATGTGAAGACTTCACGTAGCTTGATGGCCCACTTCGTGCCGAGATACTGAAGCATGAGGGCGTCAAGAAGATCTTCATCCATAAAAACGCGGTATTTTCCATTTAGTTGTCGGCGCATTTCGACGGGAATGCCCTCCTTGCTCCAACCCCAGCTGTCCAGAGACGACAGCCGCATGTTGAGTACATCGGCGACTTCCTGCGTAACCTCTTTGTTACGCATAAATTCCTTGAGAATTGCAGTCTTTTCCGCGCTGAGAAGGTCGGTCTTCATCAATGCATTTGAAACCCACTCAAGCTCCTCCACATTCAACCACCCCCCTTCAGTAGCCAGATCATTTCCAAATTTCTTAAGGCTCTCACGCATTTCCTTGAACGCTTGTTTGGTCAATTTGTCTTTTTTGAATAGATCGTGAAGATAGGAGCGAATTTCCTTTTCTTCAACGTGGTTACCAGTGGAAAATACTAGTGATTCCCACTGCGCTCGCTGGTCGTGCATTTCCGCCCGGCCCACCCCACTGTCCTTGTTGATAGCAGATGTGTTCTGTGCATCTAACTGGGCTAGCCACTCCGTAACCAGCTTACTGTAGAAGGAGGCATGGTCGTGCTTGAGCTCGAGGTAGCGAAGCTCATTTTCCAGTTGGCCGATCCACCTTTGCAAGGTCTTCTCCGAGATGGAGGAATCGTATCGACCTTGTAAAAGGAACCGGCGGATATTGGAGTGATCCCCTTGACGGAGCTGTCCCATGTCGAGGTTAGGCATTTCGCTCTCTGAATCATCGTCGGAAGATTCCACATCCAGATCCATGTCGTCTTTGTCGAGTGCATCTTTTGGGTATCCCTTCAGGCGGGAGACACCATTGAGAAGAATTTGCGCGCGAGTGTGCAGATCAGTCGCTGCTTCTGCATCTTCTCGAATCTTAGTCTTGGCCTTGTCGAAAAGTGTACGTTGCTTGCCAAGCTCATTGATCTTAGTGGCTGTGATGGACTTGAGGGTCTGCGGAAGAGCTCCGATGGAAGCCATAGTTTTAGAGCCTAAAGTTTGGCTCAAGAAATAGTGGATTTAAGAATCCAGATATAAAATTCGAGGAGATATTCTGGATGGCGACAAAGGTGAAAACAAGATGGAGATGAATGGTTGAATGCGAAAAGAGGAGATTGGCGAGAAGATTGTTTAAGTACTTCTAGACAGCGGCTAGTAAGAAGCGAACGGCCCCGGGTCTGAATTAGATATGATGCGGTGGCTAGGCGGACACTCGAATGGGCAAGCGTGCATCTGTTTGGACGAAGCGGATTGAAATCTCAGCGCGTTGGTGTTTGTGATGGATGAACTCCACACCATCGGAAACCCGATCGGGTCAAGTGGCCCACTTTTATAGTTAAATCAACACATCACACTGGTTCGCCACCAGGTTACTGCCCAGGGCTTATACATACTAGTAATAAATCAGACTAAATTAATTTCAAGTTACATAAGTTGGCCGGTTACGAGTATGGGAGACAAGTGTTTCCTTGCCAGGAATCATATAGGGAAAAGTAGATTTCAACGGATGATTTACTAAGATCATACAGCGAAAGCTCACCCGCTTGTACATTTGCTATTCTGCTATTACACATCCTCTCTAACCCCACTGGCATAGCACCTTGGGAACAGTCATCATAGCAGATGCCACGCCGTAGCAGGTCGATTGGCTTTGATCACCATATTCTGTACATTGGACATCCTCCGAAAAGTCAGGGCAGCTCAGAGTCCCAGCTGCTTCATCTGAGTCAGAAGAGTAAGAGCAATCACTCATGTCGTCCACATCAAAGTCAAAATCATTGTCACCGTTGGGATAAGGGACGTTCTTCAAAGATATGTCTCCACTGGCATCCCAACTACCAGTACTCCCACCACACCAGTCAGGACTATCGTCATCGATGTCGGGCGTATATACACTCCAGCTGTTTGACCAGCCATTGACAACATAAGCGACAACTAGTTGAGCAGTTGGAATTGGTGCTTCTGTAGTCGTGGGTATAGGATCCTCCGTTGTAGTAGTCGGGGCCTCTGTCGTTGTCGTGGGGGCTTCCGTCGTAGTGGTGGCTTCTGCTGTTGTAGTGGTGGCTTCTGCTGTTGTAGTGGTGGCTTCTTCTGTTGTGGTGGTCTCATCGGCTGTTGTTGTTTGCTCCGCAGTTGTAGTTGTCTCTGGACTTGGCGAGGGTGTCGGAGTGGGCGTTGGAGTCGAAGATGGAGTTGAACTAGCCTGCGTCGAGATATGGGAAGCGCTTGGTATCGAAGTCAACGTTTTGGAGGTAGGGATACCACTGGAGGAAGAAGTGCCCGAAGTGCCTGAAGAGGTTGAGCCTGATTCAAGTGCTGATGATGGTGGAACCTGGCCACCTGCAGTTGCATCTGCCGGGCAATCGCGTTTTTGATTACCCGACTGCGGCACCTTTTGGTCATCGTACGCAATCCAGTATCTCTGATGGACGTAGCGAGGCTTATCTTCCACCCAAACTCGCATCATAGCTTTTTGAATAGGGCAACTATCAGTGGTTTCGCGAGCCTGGACAGGGTCATACTGGAAAAGTACCTTTCCTAGGGGTGTGAAAGTATTGTCGGCCCCTCCGCCTCCCGCGCGACTGTAAGTGATAGGAATTGGAGGCGTCGAGACTCCCAGAATATTGTTCACTTTTTCCACAATTTGGTCCACCTTTTTATCATATGCCTTGTCATAGTCTGCTCGGCCTGAGCTACCAGGTCTGACGACATATGCTGCAGGTCTGTATTGTCTAGCGAATGCTCCGTTAGATCCTGCGTACTGTCGCAAACCGGCAATTCCAGATCCTCCATCACCATTTTCAAGAGGGCCGAGGACTTCTTGTTCAAATCTCTCCTGTGTTCCAATTCCCCAGTTGCCCTGGCTAAATCCAGGAACCTCCCAGAAATGAGACATGTAAACGGCCTTCTCAGATACGACGACCACCGAGGTGCAACCATATAATCCTTGAACAGCCATGTCATACTTTTCTTTCTTGAGCTCATGGTAAAGAGCTGTGGGGTTTGACCTTCCACCAGTTCCAAGCGGCACCCATTCAGCCCAAACATACTGGTCGACCAAGAATGCGCCCGTGTCGCCATTATAAGGGGCATCTTGTGGGGATGTGAGAGTGCGCTTGGTGAGGTCCAGGCCCCTCTTTGCCGCTGAACTAGCAGTCGGGGTAGAAAGAGACATACAAGACGAGCATCCTGTTCCACACTGACCACCAACACTGGAGCTTGGTGTTGTTGTGGTTGTACTCCAGCTAGTCGATGTAGATCCAGTGGTGCTGCACGCTGTTTCGGTTGAACAGGTGGTGCTGCAGCTCGCCGTTACGGGAGCGCGGCCGGCTAGTTGGGATTTTGGAATAGCCGTGGTTGGGCACACAACATCACAATTTGTAATGGTTTCAGTTTGCGAGCAAGAAATTGTTGTAGTTGTTGTGGAGGCAGAGATATCACAACCAGTCACTGTCTTTGTCGATGTGGAGCACGATGCTGCTGCTTGTCTCTTACGACCAGGGGCTGAAGTAGCAGAGCATTCCACATAGATATCTTCGGTGGTGGTAGAAGAGCATGAGGTTGAAGTAGTAGAATCATCCGAAGATGACTGCTCCTCGTCATTCGGTTCCTCGGTGAGGTCTGTGATGCTAGAAACGGTGCTCTCCAGACCTTCGATGTCAGAAAAGTCGTCATCGATACCTCCTTCGATCTCAGACTTCACTTTGTTAAGTCCATCATCGATACAAGTAACAGCATTAATCAAGTCTGAGAGAAGGTTTCCACCGCCACTGCATGAGCCTGTCGATCCCTCTGAGCTCGGATCAATCTTGTTTAGAAGATTCTATTAAACCGATTAGTGGTGGAAACTCTTGTAATTTTGGATGTATCGCTTACCCTAGCCTCTGGCTCCACCTTCTTCAGTTTGTCAATGGCATCTTGTGCCTTGTTCTTGTCCGGGGTGTCTATCAATTTTGAGAGAATTGGAATGAGTGTCACGGAGACCTCATTCCGCAGAGAACTGACACTTGAGGTAGCTTGTGGGTCATCAGTGTTGAGAGTTATAGGAAATGGAGCCGTTGAAGATGTAGTCACAACACTAGTTATTGTAGTGCTTGGCTCGGAGATGACAGTTTTGGAGGTAATCGGAACCACTGTATTTCCAACTGAAGAAGAAGGTACCTTGCTGCTTGAAGGCTTTGGATGGCCAGATGTCGAAGGTAAGCCTCCAGGTAGCGAGCTTGGGTTGGAGCTTGGGTTGGAGCTTGGGTTGGAGCTTGGGTTGGAGCTTGGGTTGGAGCTTGGGTTGGAGCTTGGGTTGGAGCTTGGATTGGAGCTTGGATTGGAGCTTGGGTTGGAGCTTGGGTTGGAGCTTGGGTTGGAGCTTGGGTTGGAGCTTGGGTTGGAGCTTGGGTTGGAGCTTGGGTTGGAGCTTGGGTTGGAGCTTGGATTGGAGCTTGGATTGGAGCTTGGATTGGAGCTTGGATTGGAGCTTGGATTGGAGCTTGGATTGGAGCTTGGATTGGAGCTTGGATTGGAGCTTGGATTGGAGCTTGGATTGGAGCTTGGATTGGAGCTTGGATTGGAGCTTGGATTGGAGCTTGGATTGGAGCTTGGATTGGAGCTTGGATTGGAGCTTGGATTGGAGCTTGGATTGGAGCTTGGATTGGAGCTTGGATTGGAGCTTGGATTGGAGCTTGGATTGGAGCTTGGGTTGGAGCTTGACTCGTGAGCCGTGCTGCTGGTTGTCCCCTGGGAAGGAATCAAAGGGCGACTTGATGAGCCAGTAGATAAGCTCGAAGGATTGGAGCTAGGCAGGCCAGGGCTTGAGTTGGTCACGGAGCTACTTTTCAGAGTTGTGGTTGGCGACGATCCAGGAATGGTCACTGGACTCGATGGAGGATTCTCAGAGGACAGTGTAATGGAAGTAACTGAGGTCGGTATGGTCGGTCTGGATGTGGAGAAGCCGTAATGACTACTGGCATTTCTAGATCCTGACTGCAGACCTCTTCTCGCTATCATTCTTTGCACCTCTTCCGATGCAGACACTCCTGAAACCCCAATCGCAATTATCCATGTTGATAGCAGGACAAGCCATGATGCTTGTCCCGCGAATTCAAGACGCATTTCGAATAAATGGGGCGGTTCTCTAGTTGCGAAGCTTGAGATATAGAAAAGTCAGACGAATAAAGAGCGTAGTACTAGTAGCAGGTGGTACTCCAGTTTAGATTCTGGTCCGACGAGATTTTGAGGCACATGGGCAGTTTAAATATCTTCCATGGTTCTACTAGTACTATAATATTTCCATTCATCGGTTGAATAGGAGCTCGGCAACGGCTGTCATGTGGAATATGCCTCGTAGTAAGTATCCAGGTACCTAGATGGACGATCTATATGCTGCTTACGGGCGGTTTCATCATTCCTTCAACGCCACTGTAGACCAACTTTGGAATATGATTGTACGCTGAAGCAATTGAAGTGGAAACGAACTGTCCGATGTATCCCGATTCAGTGAACGATCAACACATTTGCTAATGCTGACTTCCGCCAACCCCTGTCTTGAAACGAAACATTTTAATTAGAAACCCCACGAGGGTCGTGACTTTTGACCATAAGGAGAAGCAAAAATTGCCTCTCCCAATAGGCTTACATCTTTCGTGGTGAAGAGACTCTGGCCCCCAAGCGCCACTGCCCACAAGTGGGCCCTGCCAATGTTAGTTCACGCCACCCTGACGATCTTTATCAGGGCATACAGCTACACTTAGACCCCCCTTGAACATCGGCAATAAGATGATGGTCAGGTTATATTCATTTTGGCCCCATGTCACATTCTAAACAATGGATTCCAATCAGCCTTGCATGTTTCCAATTGAGAGACGGTGCAACTCATGTTGTGCATTTATTACCGATCGCAACGTTTGCAATTGTTTGATCCTTCGGCTTTATTCAACTTCTTTCGTCCTTTATTGTCTCTTCTTTTCTCCTGCCAAGACTCATCTATATTATCCCTTTTTTCCCTCCGATGAGCCTGTTTAGCCAACCCCATCCATTGCTATACATGGCTAAATCGTACAGCCCTCGCCAAGCCTCAGCATTCGGTTGAGTTTCCTTCGTAAAACCGTACTTTTGGATCTCACTCTTGTCCCACTCAGCCGGTTGCTCAATGTAATCACCGTCCGAGCTCCCTTCCAGTTCACATCTCCGCAAGGCGCCGGCATCTCGTAAAATTTGGATGACCTCCGGAAAACACCTATATGATTCAGCAGCACGATCAGGCGGACCTTGATTGTCACCATACACAAGATTTTGATCAAGTGCATTAGTACGTGATTTGCCGATTTTGTACGATGCTAGCGCTTGGATATGATCACGCCGACTCAGTTCGGCGAAATTGAGGGCTTGGTCCAATGGAGTCCGTGGTGGCGATTTGGATGTGTCCAGGATATTGATGCTGCTTTTGAGTCCCAGTGAGAGTAGGAGCGCTAAAGTCCGGGGCTTTCCGCGACCCGCGGCAGCAATGATAGACTCGCGGCTGTTCTTCTTGTTACTAAGATAGCGCTCTTCAAAGACTTGTTGCATGTTGGAGCCAAGGGTATGCAGGAAATGTTGAATGAGATCGTGGCTGACTTTGTCGCTGAGCACGACGTTGTTGGCAATTGAATAAAGAATGTCTCTACCTCGGTTATTTATGATGGTTGGATCGGCACCTTTATCAAGCAGAAAGCGGCCCCGTCTCTCGGGATCAAGTTGAGTCTCCAAGGCTATTGACAATGGAGTTGCCCCACGGTTTGTCACTCTGTCGATGTCCGCTGGAGGAGAATGACTGAGTAAGATGCCAAATGCGGCCTCGAACTCGTCCTCCGTGTGATACGTTGTTGTCAGTGTGTGCAGGGGCGTATCTTCTTCATATCGAGTGGGAATATCAATATTCGGCATGGCACGGACTATTCTTTCGAGGGTTGGGATGTACGAGTCGGGGTAATCCAGTCGGGGTCCTGTGACGGCGGCCCAACAATGCAAGACTGTATCTCCACCCGCAAGAATTGATTCATTCAAATCAGCCCCCGCTTCTAACAGTGCCCCTATCATTCCTCCATCCCAGACTCCAAGCTCAGCAGCAGCAGCAATTGGTGTCAGGGGAAAACGCCCGTTTTCTTTGGCATTTAGATCTGCACCACCCTCAACTAAGATCTTGACTAGCTCGGTGAGCTTCTCAAAATGATTATTCCAGTTTCCATGGCGGATCCAATAATGCCATTGATGAGGGAGATAGCCATGTCGATCGGGGAAGTATTTCGTGATTTGGTGCAACGTATTTCTGCCCGTCAAGTCGCGCAGCGTTCCATCTGCACCCCGAGATAGCAACTGGGCTGCTATTTCAGGTTCGCCAAAGTATGCAGACAACGCAAGTGGGGTGGTCGATGAGTCCAAGTGGTGGTAAATTGCGTTGATATTTGCCTGAAAGGCAATCAGAGTGTCTATTGCTGTTCTGTTTCGAAAAAAGCAGGCCCAGTGAAGGGGTGTTCCGTGGGGTAGCTCAAATGGGCTTAGAGGGAGTTAGCTTAGTATTCTATGATCAGCGAATCACTTACTAATGAAGAATCTGGATCTTCTCTGGATATCCGCCACTATTCTCCTTGACTACAGGCTCCATCTTTGCGTCAATGTCTGCGCCCCCTGCGACCATTCGCTTTGTGATATCGTGAATCGCATCATCTGGAATGGTAAAGAGCCAATGTAATGGAGAATTCTTCTGTCGATTTCTGCAAGATGCATCAGCTCCATGATCGAGAAGGATCTTAATAACATCTTTCTGTCCCGCTTGGAATGCTTTGTATAACGGTGTCTCATCGTTCTCGTTTTTCGCATCCACTTCAACTTCACCAGTATCCAAGATAGCCTGAACTGTATCGCTAGCTCCGAAAGCAGCGGCGGCGTGTAGTAACGTGTTTCCTTTGCGATCAACAACGCTTCCCTTTTCTCCCATCCAATTCAGCACATTCGGTCCACTGATTGCTGCTTTCAAGTCAGGCTTTCCCAAGAAGGGATCAGAGCAAAACCCTCCCTTCATCCTAAATTGATGTCTTGCGCTCTCAATTTCCTTTTCTAACCGCCCTGGTTTTGCAAAATAATATCCCTCGGAAACAGCTTGCAGCATCCACTTGTCGAGCACATGTTGACCGAACTCTGACTCCCGTTCATGAGCGTCCGTAATCTGTCCATATATAGCCCTAGCAGGTGAAGATCCAGCTTTGGCAGCGTCACTCAGATAAGTCAACAGGCGATCAAGATACGTTGGCTTCTTGCCGGTGATTGTCTGGGCTATCCCAAGTAGCACGTCTCCGGTAAATGGAGGCGCATTTCCGTCTTTGCTGAGAGCGTGTTGTGTTTCAAGCTCTGAGCGAATACTCTCGTCTAGTCGGTACCAGAAGAGCGGACCTTTGTTGTAGATTGGATCAATGACACCTGTAGGGGTATTTGTGGAGGTACCAGATTGGATTGAGGAAAGCCTATTGCCAGTCAGCTACTCGTAAGTGAGAAGAGAGGGGAGTTTCCGTACCAAGATGCATATGCCGGTGTGTCAGTTTTAAGTAATGCCTGGTTTGGCAAGGGGCGACTTCTGGGATCTTCGGCCAAGAGCTTCAAAGCTGCTTTGCGAAGCTCCATGCGAATAGCGGAAGGTATATCAATGCGTTCGTTGAGCAATTCAGAGAGCTTATCTGAGATCTCGCCGGAACTTTTGTTGAAAGTAAGGGGTTGGCCATCTGCCGTGAAGACAGACAGTAAAACCAATGCAAGGCTATAAGCGTCAAACCTAAACATCATGTCGGGTGAGAATTTGCCAAATTTGGAGATATCCTCAGCGATCACTTCCGGAGCCAACCAAGCTGGGGTACCGCGATAATCACTCAATTCAAACTTTACATCGGGGGTTTCCAAATCAACACACACCCCGAAATCACTCATCTTGGCCCGGAATGGAACCTTGTCATTTGGACCCGGAAACACGAGCACATTGTCTGGCTTGACATCCCCATGCACGATGCCGAGATTGTGCAGTGCCTCTAGTCCGTTCACGACATCGAGTGAAAGCTGGTATCTCATATCAACCCCTCTCTTCTCGGCGACTAGAAAGTCACTCAATGGCATCAGTGCTTCTTCCATAAAAAGTACTGGCACAGCCATGTCCGCATATGGATAGTCGAATCCCCACGCCAGAAGAGTTGTGATATTTGGGTGAGCACGCATGGTGGGGTTGCAAAGTGACAGAACCTCAAGGCATAGTGTTCTCAACTGAAGACGGTAATCCATCGTCGCGGCAAACCGCTGATCGGCCTTGCTGGAAAGGGGAACATTGACGCGTTTAATGACCTCTCCTTGAAAAGAAGGGTCTTTGAAAACAGTGAATTGGGCGCCGGAGCCAATTTTGGTACCCCGAGTCGAGAGGTTGATCGTTTTCAGAAGACGAGGGCCATGGATTCCGGTTTGGGATAGAATAGCTGTGAACTGGGAGAGGGTGCTGAGGACTGGAGCGGATCCATTGCGGGTGGCTGTGATGGCGGATTCTAACGGGTCAACCCATGATGAGTCGGAGTCGGAGAGATCGAGATCGAAAGTCTCGATCTCTTCAAGGTCAGTAGGGTTGGACCAGTCTTCGAGGGTGGGGGAGAGGCTCCCTCCGTCAAATGACTCGAAAGTATTCTCGCCGAGAGAGTCGAGGATATCGTCGTAGGAGGAAATGTCAGCCATTCTGTTTTTAGTATGGTTTTCAAGATTGCTCGGGGAATATGTCGCAAAGAGAGGCATCTTCAGCTTATCTGCAAAGGTGCGGGGCTATTCTGTCAGAAGCTGTCTGGCGTGTAATTGGGCTTATCCTACTTCGTACTTAGGACCAAGTTAGTGCTTACGGGGGGGCTCAACTTCAGCCCCTCCTTTCCCTTTGCTCTGCTCAATTATTTCAGTCCCCCTTAAAGCGCTGATTTGATCTTCAGATCAAAATCAAAATGGACTTCTATGGCACAGCCTCAACAGCTATAACTCAGCTGTACCAAGTCACTGTCTTCATTCAAGGTGTTATTTCGGACTATAAATCCTTCGATGATGATCGGGCCGAAATTCGAGTCAAACTGAACACCCAACTCGCCACGCTTGTATTCTTCAAAAGGACCTGCTGCCATCCGGAGCATGGATTGATGCTTCCAGGAAAAGCGGACGATTTTATCGCGAATACAGTGAATGATCTCTTGGACCAGATGCGATTGGCTCTGGCGGCGTATGAGCGTGTCGCCGTCAATTATGGCCTCGGATATGAGGAATTCACTATCGAGTCGGTGCAACCCAAAATTGAAGAATCCCTACTCAAGAGATGGAAAAACAAGGCCGAGTCTATTAAGCACAAGGCATTTGACTGGTCACTGTTTGACAAGAAAAAGCTGAATGTCATGCTAGAGGCGTACACAAAATGGTCTGAAGATCTACGCAACATTATGCAGCACATATCCCAGGAAATGCTAGCTATGCTGCTTGCAGGTGACCGAGATGGAGTGAAGGGTACAGGTCTAGAGCCAGTTTTGACGCGGCGCACTCTGGCTGAGAATAAGCCACCGGCAGATTATCATGAGCTGTCTGGTACCATTACCAAAGAAGGAGAGAAAACGGAGGGCTTTCAGCTTGCAAAATGGTCTGCTTCGGAATCCAAAACGATGCAAGTCGTTGTGGAGTATCATGAGTACGAAAGCGAGCTCAAGCGCGATGATCTAGATAATGATGAGATCAATGGACTCAAGCAGCCCATTCGCACCTTGGCTTGGCTCTTGCAAAGTTCCACCTTTAGCAGCACGGAAACGGAATCTCTCGATCAACCCAAGATTTATGCACTTGAATGTCTTGGATTCGTTGATCAGCCCACAGAGGAACAAACTGTTTTCCTGTATCGGCTACCTGCGTTCGAGGGGGAGGTCGGAGACTCTCTCGTGACTCTTCATGCCTTCATCAACGCCTCGGATGGCGAGAACCGACCATCTCCGAAACCTTCTCTGAATGACAGGTTCAACATGGCGTATACACTTGCCTTGAGTCTTTCCAATGTTCATGCCTCATGCTGGGTCCACAAGAACATCTGGAGTAAAGGAATCCTCCTGTTCCTCGAGACACCATCAGGAGTCAGCGCCAAAGGCCTCCGCGAACATCGTGTCAAGCCGAGATCTGGAAACAAAATTGTCTCATATCTAAGCGACTGGGGATATGCTCGCTCCGAGCAGCAAAATACGGATATGCGTTCCGACTTCGAGATCGAGCCGAATCTTTATCGCCATCCTCGTCGACAGGGTCGTCCGACGCAGCAATTCAGTCGTGTGCATGATATCTATGCGCTGGGTGTCGTGCTTCTTGAAATTGGATTATGGGGTACGCTATCCCGGATAATGCGGACGAGGTTTCACGAGGCAAAGGTTAATGGACGACTACCGAGACCAAAGGTCGTTCTGGAAGAGCTGGTGGCGAGAGCGGCTCTCCAGCTGCCAAAGGAAATGGGAATGGGATACACCCAGGCTGTGCTGGCCTGCCTGAAAGAAGACTTCCGCGGAAATGATGGGCCCTCTTTGGCGGTAGACTTTCAAAAAAAGGTCATAGATGTGCTGAAGGGAGGTACTCAAATGTAAAATTGCACCAAGGCATGAGAAAGTCATGTGGGAGCGGACTCGCATATTCCTTTTATCAAGCACACGTATTTGACCATAAATTTTCATTTCAATTAGGCTTAAAGTGTATCATGATATGCCTATATGAATATTGCCTTGTTTGTTCGTAATATTGCGCTGGTGCGTCCTCTCGAATTGCCCGATGGACTTTGTGTACATCATATGTAGTTGGAAAACTGATTCACTTGTGCGAGCTTCCCGACCGTATATCAATTTAGCGCAAATCGCGTCAACATCTCCTTGAGTCTCGTCTTTTCTAGCGCACCCCCGAATATTGCGTCCACTGACTTTGTCGCAATATCAAACAAGTCGGTACGATCAAGTCCAAAATGCTGAGCAGCAAGAAGATACTCATTCGAGACCGGACTGCAGAAAAACCCTACATCATCAGTCTATACAAAATCTGTCAGCTTTGGCCTCCAAAAAACAAGAATGGAAAGAAATTCATGTCAGTAGTGAGGGAAAAACAGACACATAACGCAATCGGACAATCAGTATGCCTCCACTCCCCAAAATGGTGATCCAAAAAATCCCCATCAATCAGCTTCGCATGCACGTTACAAGACATACATAGCTCCAGCCCAATCCGGCGCCTGATAATCTCCCGTTTGAACTCATCGGGGACATGTATGACGTGCCCAAGCCGATCGGGCTGGAAAGAAAGCAAGGTAGCCAACTCGGCCGGTGTCCCCGAGGCGCGTGTCTCGGCAAAGTGCAGCGTTAGCCCAAGCCCATGGCTCTTTGCCCGGGCGAATGCATCCTGGTAAAGGGTGACGTCGCCCCGCGTCGGGTTCCCGCAGATGTCGACGCCAACAACCCCGCGCGGTTTGTTGGCGATGGCGAGATCAATGATCTCGCGTGCTTCGCTGGTGGTTGTGTGCCCTCGATCTAGGGGCGAGAATGAGGAACACCGACATTTCTTGTGTTCTGGCTTTGAATTTGTCGATGGTGTCTAGTATAGTGTTTAGGTAGTCTTCTCTGCTTATGTTGGCTTCTGGGGATGGTCGAGGGATTGTTCGGAGTTCCAGATAGCGGACTCCATCATCGAGAAAATCTTCCAGGACGGAGTTTGTTGCATATTTTAAGCTTTCGAGGTCATTGCATAGCTGGTAGATGAGTTTGGAGAAGACTGAAAAGAAGCTATGGTGGTGTCAGCATTCGTGTAGAGATGCAGTCGCGGTTGTATGTAACTGCCAGTGAATGCCTAGATAATAACATACGTTTGCAGGGTAAAGTCGACTTTTCCTGGGGGCATAAGTACCAGGGGGTCCTCCACTGCGAAGGTTGGGTCTTCGGTCTTCTTTCGCTGCCATATTTCATGAAGGCATTGGCGACTGATACTGCCACTCAGATGGGCATGCAACTGGACTTGGATCAGTCTAAAAACTGCTCCCAAAATCAAGACAGAACCTGCATACCTCGACCTTCGGTAACGCCTTTGTGAATTCGAGGTCAACTGGAGTGAAACTAGACATGGTCACAGATGCGATGCTGCAATGTACCCCGCAATGAGGGTGAGGGTGTTGATACAGTTGGAGGCCTGAGGCATGATATCTCGTTCACATGTACTCTAACCTTAGGTAATACTAAATATCATGGGTGGTTACCTAGTAGATCATTCTAAAGCGATGATAACAAATTGAATTCGAAAAACCAAGGCTTAAAGAGAAGGTCCAGTAAAAGATTCACCTCATCCCAACTTAATCGTTTTTCTAAGCGATAAATTTCAGATTCCTGTTTAATGCCAATCCAATCGCTCATAGGTGACATGGAATTGGCCCAACGGTTTAGAAAATTAAACACCCACTGAGATACTACCCCCATGCTCTTGATCTGAAAGTCCCAGTAAGGGAGGAATCAGAAATTCGAATTTTCTCTGGAACACATCGTGATTCCGTATCGACGCCCCCTAGGATAAGACATATTAAGAACTAGCGAATCCTCGTATGACTGTGCGGCTTCCCTTTCAAAGCATCGGCGTGGTCCCTGCTAGTTGTCCGTTCTTCGTTTGAATTTGTCACGTCTTGCCCGATAAATGCCAACAGTGCTCGCATGACTTTGCCATGAGGGATCCTCATTTACCCCACCTCCTAGATTTATCCATTTTGTCACAGTAATCATTATCTTGGTTTTAAGCTCGCGCATCAGAATGACGGCATATGTGTGGCAACAGGTGTATGGAAAAGAGATAGGAGCCGAAAGTTTTCCTTCTCCATTTAGTAATTTTGACATCAAAGGAGCAACAATATCGCATAGATTGACACAGCATGTGATTCGGGAACGAAGGGGACAAAAGGTATCTTGTGAGTGAAAAGCAATGCGCTCCAATTCTCTCACAAAAACAATGATATCCTGTGTTCTCATATAGAGACCAAGTGGCTCATCACATGTTATTGCTTTTCGTGAGAATAACATGATGAATTCTGGATCAGATACGTCAAGGCGAAGGTTGCTAGAGCCAGCTCTTGCAGCGCAGTGGAGAACTTATCTATAGTCTAGGAAATCAAGACTAAATCCAGACCGTGGACTCATGATCAGCTTGAGTTGAAGTAGAGAAAAGCATGGGTCAAAATCCTTATATCGATGGTGCTTTATCGTATTCCCAGAATTAATCCATTTATGTGTTCAGTCAAGCCGGGGAAATCCTTTCCTATCCATGTAATCAATTTACTCATACTCATTACAAAGGAGGCATATTTCACAAGCAAAGATTTCTCGGACATCTCGTTCTAGGCGGTATAGAACCAATATTATATCGTCTCGGCCGTGTGGAGGTCGCTATTTCAGGCCTCTGAGTAGATGGAAAACAAGTCTGTTGCAAAAGGAAAAGCAAACAAGATCGACATGGGGAAGAAAGTCAGATATTGACAAGATCACCTCTGGTGGAAGCTCTGTGAGGTCACCGAGTTTGATGGCATTACGAGGCCTGGATACTTAGGAGTATTCCATATGCTAGGTTGTGGGTTTTGAGTGGTGAAAGGTCGTGGAATTAGGCTAAGTAGAAAGACTTAAAAGATTTCCAGATGAACACCTCCATGAGCGATGAATAATGATATCAGTTGGTTATCCATGGAACATTGAGCCTCAAACGACTCCGAGTCAGATATACACCAATCTGGAAAAGTTTCGATCTATGCTGTTTACCGGACCAAAATGAATTCGGCTTATTATACAGTTCAGAAATTCGCGCGCCAGTTATTGGATCTCGGACTTACCTACTACTACTGCCCAGGTGGTACCTAAATAATTACCTCTGATCACAAGAACTACTACTGCTACTATTGCATCATCAAAAATCGAGAACATCATATATGCAAAATCATATCCTACCTAGATTTTGACAACCCTCGAAGCATCTTAGAATTGCCTTCCAAGGTTCCTCACTCTCAGGCTGCTGCTTTTAAGCTTATCTAGATATATATTCATGTTCCAAAGTTCTCTTTCCATGCATGCTAAAGTTTTTGTAAAAGTTTCGTGATCAAACGATTGTTGTAAGACAGTGATATTGTAGGCCTGGGTATATATTAAGCAAAGTTTTATGGAAATGCTAATTCTAAATCTAGTTTTAATTCTAATTATAACTCAAATTAATTATTAAATAATTTCTCTGTTATTAAATATCTCTAATTACTATTTTTTTAATTATAAAGATTTTTCTGCTTTCTTTTTTGAGAAAAAGAGGTCTCGTTTTGAAAAAGTTGTGCGAATTCGAGCTCTCTAAGGTTTTCTATAACTTTTTTTTTTTCAAATAATCATCCTTTAGAATGTACTATTCTTTAGTTTTTCTCATAACTTATCATTGAATTATATATAAAAAGTAGCCCATGGGTTGGGTCTCTTCCATTATAGTCTCCCAAAATCCTCCGAGCCTCAAAGAACTCTAGGTAGTAGTGGAGTATATGATAGACACCTTAAATAACTTCAAGTTGAATAACTTGAACATTTAATAAAGGCATAGTTCGGCGACTTATTCTTGACATAGTAGCGACGAACATACTGCATATATCAATCTCAATCTGGAGAATTGTACTACTAGTAGAAACAACTTCAAGTTGAACTTAAACCCAGAGACTCCTTCGAATTTTCTTCTTTGAGTGTATTTTCAAATGCACCAGTGCAAAATAGTATATAATAATATTCTTCTCTTTGGAAATTTTATCTGGAAGTGATTATTCCAAGGTTTCTCGCTGAAAGAACAAGGTCAACTGCCCAGGTAGTGACTCTAGTAGTTAATAGTAGTCACCATACCTATGTAACTACGAATCCTAGTACTTAGGTAGATCACCACATTTACTGGTATAAAATAAAATGAAATAAATGTCTAGGATCTTTCCGTCTAGTCAACATGTTTTTTCTGTCCACCTAGACTGCTGATTGTCATGCAGGACTAAACTCTGCCTCGTATAGACTAAGAATTTGGGTCGGCCACTGGTGGAGACTCTGTGCCGTATCTTCCACATCGTGGTAGGCTTTGGTAGCGAGGAGCAAGCGAATCTGACAGGTAAGACAACCTGCCAGTTCCCCCCCCCAAGGAACCGTTTCCCCATCCCCGTTCCGGCGGTAATCTTTACCTGGAAGTGAAGCCGGTTTACCATTTCCTACCTTCGTACTCCCCTCGTACTAAGCTTACCGGTGGGATCCGAGCCATTCAAATCCCAATCCAACCCCGGCCAGTTTGTGTGTAATAACGTTTCACATTTATTGGACCGCGGGTTCCAGATAGCGATATGAAAAGTGGAGCGATTGGAGCCAGGTCAGGAGGGTTTCCTATTTTTTTAGTCTTTTCTTCCAAGGTTTCTCTTTTGAGTCCCTCGTAAGGCGTGACACTTCACGGAAATTGATTTCCTAGTATGTAGTTTATAGACGAGTGTATTTTTTTTATCTCGCTAGAGCTGGCGCAATTTTACCTAGTTTGCGCGGTCGTCCCATCCGGGCGCGACGCGGCGCAAAACAGTTCATGCTGGTGTCCCGGAGTGCCGGTTTCGCATGTTTCAGACGCACTCCTTGCCAGCTCCTGGGGATGCTCTTATGCATGCCATCAAGAATGACAGGGGGACCACCGAACTCGATGCTAAGAATAGCGATCGGACAATCCTGGCGATTAAATGCCGTGACCCATCCTCATGAGTACCGTAATACACCTCAGACCCTCAGCAGGAAAAGGCTGCCGTGAACAGAACAGAACAAGGTCCACCCCGTTGATCTGATACGTCTCAACCATCAAGGGATCAAGCGAGGGTCGCCAAGACCGCGGGCGAAAGCGTTGAGAACGATCTGAGGCTATCCGGCCGTCCCGCGCCGCGTCCTTCATTTCAATTCCAGTCTGGTGCGAATACCAATGCGCAGGTTAGTTTTGCATTTAACGAGATCAAACCAAGAATCCTTGTAATTGTAGAAAAAACAGGTATTTTGGTATTTCGGCATTTGATCCGGCCGAGCCTCAGCTCGTGAGGGGTTACAATGCGCTGCCAACGCATTCTCGTTGTCCGAATGACAGTAACCATATCTGCAAGTCAGACGCAACGGTTGACGAGGCTGCTTCTTTCGATCGATTTCTGGAAGCCACGTTGTCCACAGCGGGAAGCTAAGTGGGCATGGGCCTCTCAAGACGAGGTATCCAGCTATTTTTCAGCCCCAGATCCACGATAGATCCACATCGTGGACGGCGATGATATTTCCGGTCCTAGCCCTCGCACTCCCATTGGGGGCGGGGCCGGTCCTTTGTATATCGTAAATAACCTAAAGACAGATGGACACGAATCTAGTTGCTTCAAGTAGATCAGGTTCGGAATTTCCTTATTTTTTTTTTAACGTGCCGCACGCGGCTCGCGGTTTCGAAACGTCGCATCCCCCACAACTCACTTTTGTTGTTGAGCCATGCAATCGGAAACGGCAGGGGGGACTCTGGCTAGAACAGTCGGTCCAGTGCCGACGTGCGCCGCTGCTGCGACACTGGGAGCTGAAACAAATTTATAGTTGGAACGAACAAGATAGACTCTAGACACTGGCGATGTCGCTGCAGCCACCGTGGCCTAATATTATAGCCCCCGGTGCCAGTGGAGTCCAATGTGATCCTGGAGGAGCATAAATTAGGTACCGATTCCGAAAGAGCCGCTACGCAGCTCAGAAAGCGGGGCCTGATGGGTCCAAGTATCTCGAAATGCTGAACAGCCCTTGTCGGGAATAGTAGAGTCCCGATCTCGACCCCCGATATCTGCTCCACGGGCTCCGCTGAAGGTCAAGCGTATCGTGTATGAAAATGGATTAATTTGACCACTAAAATTATATCACACATGCGAGAGAAAAGAGGGTCCGGTATTTGAGAAGATCGTTCAAACATAGTGTTCGTATCATCTCCGAGATCAGTCATACGATTTGGGTTCTGCAATTTCCCGTAAGCTCGCGGTGAATGAAATATTTGAGCTCATATCACATGTGTGTCGGTTATAGTATTGCTTTGATGAGGCTGGAGAGC